GTCGGCGGCGGCGGAGCCCAGCAGTACTCCCTGCAGGCGCAGAGCGTCCTGGCAGCCATACTCTCCAACCTGCTGGACGTTGCCTACGGCTCGCAAGAGAAAGACAAGGTGGTCAACATTGTGACCCCGCTTCTGTACAACATAACCCCGTATCTGAAGAATCACACGGCGCGCAACGTCCCCTTCTTCTATGCCTGCTCGGCCCTCCTGGCCAGCCTCAGCGGCTACCAGTACACGAGGAAGGCGTGGCGCAAGGACATGCTCGACCTGCTGCTGGACAACGCCTTCTTCCAGATGCACCTGTCCTGCCTGCCCTTCTGGCGCATGATCATGGACAGCCTGATGACCTACGACAATACCACCTTCCGGGAGCTGATGACCCGGGTGTCGCTCTCCCAGGCGGGTAGCTTGAACATCTTCACCTCGCGAGACCAGGAGTACGAGCAGAGAGCCATGCTCCTCAAGCGCTTGGCCTTTGTTATCTACTGCAGTGAGTTCGACCAGCACAACAAGTACATGCCGGATATACAGGGTGAGTTGTTGAGTCTTTAGCTTCCGGAATTTCGGAAGGAAATAGCTCTTTCCCTTCATTCCTCTAAGACAGCTTAAGATTAAAACGGGGGTTGGTAAAGCCATTTCCTCGTTTCTGTGAAATTCCAAAGATAACTCCAAGGCTAAAGCCCTTTTAATCTGCATGAATCCAGACTCAGGCCCAGATAATCATTTTTCAAGCTTGACAACTATTTGCATTGTTTGCAAAAATACTTTAAGCGCGCTATTATGACGAAATAGTTCCCATTTCATAACAATGCATCGAACTATATTTAAGTGACATATTCTTTAAAATGCAACCATTGCTTTGTATGATCCCCAGAACAACTGGCCAACAGCTTGAGACTAGTACCCATGGGTCCTTCCGTCCAGGCGGCTGTGTTCCTGTGTTTCCGCGTGCTGCTCCTGCGCATGTCGCCCGACCACGTCACCTCGTTGTGGCCCATCATCATTGCGGAGATGGTGCAGGTGTTCCTTCAGATGGAGCAGGAGCTCAAGTCGGAGAGCGAGGAGAGGAGGTAAGTGCCAAATCCTCAAGCCTATGCAAGAGTTTATAAACAGTGTGTCCTGCAGCCAACAAATGCGCATGCCAACCGGCATTGATGTCTCCTGGACCTCCAACTCGGGAGCAATTAATGGCTACAACTCCCAGACACCCATGCAGCACTGGCGATCCGTGCAGCTGGAGGCCTGTAAACTGCTGGAGCTGGGGTGCGTGCTGCCAGCCACCAAGCTACCCCATTTCCAGATGTACCGCTGGGCCTTCGTGGGCACGGAGTTCGATGTGCACGAGGAGGAGGTGCGTCTGCCCAACGGCAGCACTGAGAACCTGGCCACGCTGCCCAGTGCTTTGTACGTGCCGCATGTGAGGCGCGTGGCCAGGCTGATGGACATGAAGTACACCAGCCACTCTCCTGTAAGTAGAAACGGGATGTCACTGTCTCCTCGGAATGAGCTAATCTCTTACCCTAGGTTCTCCAGCGCCCCAGCAACCGGCACTTGATGCTGAACTTCCAGCAGCTGCAGTCGCTGCAGGAGCTGTATGCTTTCTTCAGCACTTTGGGTATCAGTTGCCCGCAGCCAAGGAACTTTGCGGATACGGAACAGGATGTGGCAAACTGCCTGCAAGAGATCGAGGAGGTGCTGGCCAACGACTTCCTGGAGAAGCTGCCCAGCATCACTACGCCCAGATGAAGGCCGGTACTGCCCCAAAGGCAAGCGCAGTCAGAGATCCAAGCAAGTGGGTCTCAGTTTGAGCTCAAGTTGAATCTAAGTCTGAATCTGGGCGAGTCTGTCCTGGAGCCGGTTGGCAGTGCTGGACAAGCGGTTCGCATCCTAGCCGCCGTGCAGGCCAAGTTCACCAGCCAGAGTGCTGAGACGAGCTTCTCGCAGAGTCACAACATTAGCCACAAAAGCTCGAGCAGCTCCACCAGCAGCAACAGCAACAGCAACAATAATAAGAAGACCAACTTTCCATTTTATGTCTAAGTGAAGGAGGAGATGAAAATGCCGAGTATGATAGCTAGCTATATGCATAGATAGATAGAAATGTACGGGGTCCGAATGTGATCGATCGTTTTGACTGTTGAATGTTTAGAGGACCGCGGTAGCCCCATAGCCAATAGCAGCCTGTATGTAATGTAATCTGTAACCATTGTATTTAAAGTGTTAATAGTGTTGCCCCGATATCGATGTGAATAAGAGACGTGTTTAACGACAAAAGCTCATTTTATTGCAACAACTAGAGTACAAATGCTAAAAATCTCGACGGGACATCCATAATTTAAGGGACTATTGACTAAACCACGTTGGTGGGACGCGGTGCGCTGGATTCTCTGTTTTTCAGCTGGACGTAGTACGAGTAGATGAGGCGTGCGCAGAACGCCGCGATTACTGCAAGAAACATGGGGGAAAATATTGAACATGAACAAAGTCATGACCTGGTTAAAGAAAACACTTACAAATTGATATAATGTAGACGAGCAAGGCCCCGAAAATGTTATTGAATCCAGTGGCTTCCCGGTAGCCTCCATAGTGGAAGATTACTCCAAAAATAGCGAAGGGAAAGCCGATGGCCTGGATCAGGGCATAGATGAGCCAGCCAAGGAGTAGCAATCGTTTTTCCTGTAAAAAAAAAATATTGTATCGTGATTCAAACAAAACATTGACGGGTTTTGAACCTGAAATACTGAGAAAAGATAACACCTTTCTGATGGATTCATGTTTTTACCCAGAAATTTCATTTCTAAACAAGAAGTGCAAAATTGTTTGATTAATAAATAGGAAATGGATAACTTTATTATCCGTTTCCTGTTCTTTAATGAAAATTCTCAGTTTTTATTAAAAGAAAATACTTTTTGTTTTTCTATAAGATTTTTTCGTAAACGTATCTGTGAAAAAAGGTCATGCAGCTCCTAATAAAAGGACTATACTAAGGTGTCGTCCTTTATTCCTACGTCCTACGTTATATTCAAAGGTAAACAGGAATAGTTCTTCAAGAAATACATATTTTATCACTTAGTTTCGGAATTCATGAGATCATAAACAATCATAATATTTTAGTATATTCCAAATCTAAAAATATTTGATTATCTCAGTAAATAGCCATGAGGCTTAAATACTTAATCCCGCCAAAAGATGAGAAGGCTTGGTGTGTACATATACTCGTATCAACTTATGTGTATGTATGTATTTTTGATTATTTACCTTTAGGGTTCCGATCAGCAACAGAACATTGGCTACCACAGCAATCGTAAATCCCACAAAATTCACAACTGCAAATATACAAAACGAAAACATCAGTTTGCATATGTCATCGATGTCGTCACCGTGTCAAACTCAAAATGGAACGTGTTTTGCTCGAGGGGATTAGCTCATGGTTTTAATTTATACTTGGCGTATACACATAGGTTTGTTTTTTGAGACAATAGCCATAAAAGAACACAAACATAAACGGCTGGGGAAATGGATAAATGCCACGCCTAAATGCCACAGCACAGAAAAAAAAGATATTCGGAAAATTATTTTTTAAATGTGAAACAAAAGCGTGGCTAACGAATTCTCAAGCATATCAAATTTTTAGTTTTTCCAGAACGAAAATATTTAAGAAACCCGATGCAGTGTGAAGTTTTTAGCGGAAACTGCATGTGTATTTGGATAATTTTTCTGTATGTATGTACCCGTCGGAGCGAAGAGTACTCCGAATGTCATGGAGATGAGGGAGTAGACAGCGATGCCCAAACACCAGCTCCTTAGATCGGTGTTGCATGGTCCCTGGTCCACGACGAGATCGACTTTCATTGTGTATTCCTAGGTTTGGCGGCCAAAGATGTAAATTAGAATTTTCCCTAAAAACCGGTTTTAGAAGCGTCTAGATTCTAGAGCACGGCTAAGCTAAACACGACCGAAGCGGGCAAGAGTTAGATTTCAATTGAATGGATACGAAGAGCAACAGTTGGTTACAACCTGGCGAATGTATGCGTGCTCAGCGCTCAATCGAGTGAGTGGAGAGAGTACGAATGTTTGCGGTCGTTCTTTTAATTAAAAATAAATACAATTTGTAAAGATGCTCACATGAAATTTTTTTGAAATTTAATATGCATGCAGAATTAATATAATTAATTACATTTTTTCTTACATTTTTTGTTGTTTCTTTTTGCTTTTACTTGTTTTTAATTACCTTTTAATTACCTGTTAACTAACCTTTTACTAACTAAAAACAAAAATTTGAAACAAATGTTTTAAAAGGATTCCCCCTTTTCAGCTACTCAATTCAAAAAGTATGGAATATCCTCATTCCCTCAACAAATGAAAGCTTTTAACATGAAGTAACGGATTTTTTTTTATCAAAAATTTAACTTTAAACAGTGTGGCCAGCCCAATAAGAAAAAATCTATACCAGCCTTAGCTTTTTCAGCTAACTTGTGCCGCCAAACATTTTTTTAAGTTTGGAAATTATAAGTTAATAAAAAATGACTAAGCTATAAATTATACGTGTTTTTGGTATTTATAAGATTAATAGCTTATAAATAAAATTTATATGAAATAAAATAAATGTATTATAAATAAATGTTGTATCCCTGTAGAAGGTATTATAATTTAAAGTGAAGGAGACTTTCCCGACCCTATAAACAATGCTAATATTCTTGATTGATTTATCTCCCAATTTTTCTCGAATAGTTATCTGACCCCTATTTTTTAAGATTTCGATTTTATATTCTGTACGCGAACTTCTCTCCTTTGCACGCAGTTTGATGGTATTATTTCCATAAGGGTCGGTAAACTTCGGAAAAAAGAAAGGTTTTTTAACTAATCTCTCTCTATTGAAATATATTTTTTAAACTCATTTTTTTTATTTTACAGAATATTTTAAGGTATTTTTTATTTAATTTTCATTTTAATTTTTTTTTATTACAATTTTACATCCAGAAGATTCCAAGAATTATATTTATACATAAACCCTTAAGTATAATTTAAATTCCAGGTAACTTAGGTGTTAATTTAATTCATTGTTTACTTCTGACTCAAGATAAGAAAAGCTTTTTATTTATGATTGACAAGTTGACTTGTGTTGACACTTTTCATTCAGTTCTTCATCAAATAGCACAGCGCAACAAAGGCAATCTGAAAAAATGGGGGACAGAAAAGGACGTGTATTGTTTATCGGCCGTGTGGATATAATATTATCCTGTATTTTCATAATCCTCTCGGCTGTGGGCTTGCGGTTGGCAGGCGTGATCGGATCTCAAATAGCACAGTTTCTGAATTGCTCAAGTAGGAGTGCAGAGTCTGGTAAAGTTTTCTTTTATATGTATTTCACATATATCGTATAAAAATAAATCTTTTCTTTTAGATTTTCGATTTTTGATAACTCTTTTTTTTATCACAAAGGCAATAAATTTGGCAGCTTCGATTTTGTTGGTTCTTGGCACTGTTAAGGTAATAAAAGAATATTCAGATTATATTAGAAATGTTCAAAAAATTCTTCCTACAGGAAAAAATTAAATATATAGCGCCCTGGGTTGGCTTCAATATTTCATTCCTTATCATGGCCAGTATGATAGCTCTTTTGCAGTGGTCAAAAGTTCTTGATTCCACCGTTCCCTTATTTAGGGCTTTCGGGATAATTCTGATTTCAATAGTATTGCTGGGTAAGTTGAGTATGAATCAAAAACTAAAAACCCCGTACATTTATTTGCTCACCTTTTATTGACTTTCGTTAAACGATATCGACTTATCTGTGCATTCTTTCAGTCATCAGGGGTTATTTATGTTACGAAGTTTATTCCCTGGTGAGAGAAATGCGACAGTCGATGGAAGTCCTTCACACACTTATAGCGACGGCACCAGAGGTCCGGGAGGTTCGCGTAAACGCAGTTTTTGTACATGTGGAGGAACAATCAGAAACAGAAAGAAAATAATAACATATATATGTATGTTTTTTTGAATAGCTACTATATTATACCAATTGGCATACAGTTTCCATTCTTCAACGACTTTTTTTAAAAATGAACCAAAAATTTTCAAATTTTTCGGGAAACATTATTTAAAAAAAAAAGAAACTTTAACATTATGAACTGCTACATCTACGCAACATCTATGAATTTAATAAAAAAAATTTGTTTTAAGTCAATATCAACAAAAAATTTACTAAGTACTTAACAAATCATTACAAAAGAAACTTATATTAAAGCGTGTAAAATGTGTGTTTTCTTTTCAATAAACATTATTCTTAAAAAAAATTATTATTTGAAGGTTTAATTATTTTTATTTTTTCGAGTTTTAGCAAATTTAAATATTTAATAAATTTAAATTCTAACGGCTTAAAATTTAAGTGCAATTTTAAATTCATTTGAATCCAGGCCGCAGCCTGGCCACACTGCAGGAATAAAAGACAAGACAATATATATCGTTTTTAGTCAAGTATCGATATATTGATAATGTGACATATTGTCAACCCTAATTGCGACTTACTTTCAATTGCATTTCAATTGCAAAAAACTTGCTTTGCCGGCTAGACGTATTATTTCCAGAAAGCGAACAGAACAAAGCCCAGTGAAAATGCTACGAAGCGTCTTCTGCATGCGCCTCAACACCTATGGCATGGTGATTGGTTGGTTGGGAGCGATCTTCTCCTTCCTGGCCACCATTATCTTGGCCGTTGCTCTAGGATTCTCGAAGCAGATCGCTGAGGAGATCGTCAAACAACAAACGGATAAGGAAATGACAGTTGACCAAGTTCATTCCGGTAAGTAATTAAGTCAACCAGTAGGGAAAATCCCTTAAGCAGTTTTATTTTAATTTTTGTGTTTTGCGGTTTTTACGGCAGTACTTGTGATTCTTTTGAGCGTTTATTTGGCCTTCAAAGTGATTAATCTGCTGGCTTCTGTCATGTTGGTCGTTGGAACTGTAAAGGTAATTATATAACATGAAAATTTAAAGGATCTTTATAACAAGTGCTCCTGTTTTCTGCAGGAACGTCATCTTTTACTGCTGCCCTGGTTGATCAACAACGGAGCTCTCCTGGCCTTTGCCGTTGTCGCCCACATTGGACTCTGGGTCTCGGTGATCGCCGCCAAGCCTCCCTTCATGCAGGCGCTGCCAGTGATCCTGCTATCGGTGGCTCTGTTTGGTGAGTTGCATATGAGTCACCACTGCTCTCTGCCTTGTGCAAATATAGACAGCGTGCACTCGGTAATGGGATACATACACATTGCTCGCACTTGGTGTTTATTTATTGTGAAATTACTCGGTGTGGGGAACCACACTGTTCTTATCGCTCAACAATTAATCTGTTTTTTTTTTCGCTTTCCGCAGTTCTGGGATGGTATTTGTACTATGGCATCTACTCGCTTTTCAAGCAAATTCAGGCTTCCAGCGAACTCCAGCGCCCACTGATCCCCCCGCAGCCCGCACAGCAGGGCAACTCTTATCCCAGCTACACCAAAATCTAAAAGATCTGGTCAATCAAATGCGAAATTTTTCGAATCTTCCCATTGGAGCTTCCCGAATAATCATTTACATATATTAATCAAATACTTTATTATTTTATCTTTAAATTCGCATTAAACCCCAACATATTGAGGAGTCTAATGCTGGATTCGTATATAAGAAACGACTTTCCCAACTGAAAAGGAAACATTATTTCGATTCTATTTTTGCTCTATATACTTAGTAATACAATTATTCGGGCCCTTTGAAATATATATTTTGCTTACATACACACAATCGTTGATTTATTTTTGCAAAAAGTGTTATTCATACTACTTATCCGGTTTATGGTGTTTCATCTGGTATTTAAAATTACTAGGCTCTATTATTTCATCATAAAACGCGATTGTCGATTTTTAATTCGAATTATTTAATTAATACAAGTGAAAAAATTGTTAACAGGGCCCGGGAGAATTTGTTGCAGGTAGGTAGTTAGAGATCGATTAGGGGCGTTGAATATTCAGTGGGGGAGTGGGATTATTGACATTTTCCCATATGATGATTAGGGCCGTCGAGAGCCATGTCGGGTCCCGGGGCATAGATTCCTCACGTGCCCTTTTTCGTTTTCGACTCTCATTTAAATTACACTGAAGCGTTGCACATTACAGGCTAGTTGGATGATAAAGATAAAAATGACATTTTGAGACCGTTCCTTTCTCAATTTTGGCCATCTAAATTTACGAAAAAAAATTAGATCCCGCTGCCGGGGCCCTGTCCATTGCGGGCCCCGGGACAATTACCCGGCTGACCTCCCCTCTCATCGGGCCTGATTATGACATGATAACACATCATCAAAATGTTTAGGTAAGGATCCTCAAAATAAAGTTATAAAATTTCTTGGTAGCTCAGTTCCATTTGATTGCTTTTTATAATTAAATGCCAGAATATATTTTTAACAATATCCACCTTAACATACCTAAGTACATAAAAACATTTACTTTTTACAAGCACAAAATGCTAAAAAATTCTTTGAAATTAACTTTTTTTTTCATATTTAACTTATTTAAGTCCTCATACTGAAACATTTTTCAAAGTTTCAAACTCATTGCATTTTGGTTCCAAGCCCGATGAACCAGTTCCAAATACAGTTTAAATTGGCGGAAAATTTGATTTAAATGTTAAGTTGTTGAGCATATTGTACCATCTTTAAAATCCTTAAAATATTGTAATAATTTACTTTTACTAGGATTACAAAATATGCTCTGCAATGATATACAAATTATAAATGATTTCCTACATTTTGGAATGTAAATTACTAAAATTAAAGTTCTAATCCACTTTGAGGCGGATCTTAAGTTTTTTTGAAGCATCAGTTAACATTCTTCTAGTGGTTCTTGAACACAAAAGTTTCATTTAAACGCAATATGTAAGAAATAATTCTTTCGGTGGTCTTCGTTTATTAGATTTCTGAATCTTTCGGCTCCGTCCAAGAATCCTGCTGCCTTACAAAACGAGATGAAAGACGAATGCGCAGCTGTCTGTTATCCAATCGTAAAACCCCTGATCAGGGGCTCTGTTAGATGAAAGACATCAAAATGGCCGAGAGGTCAAAACCTCTCAGTATCAAAAAAAAGTACATTATAAACATTTGGGAGCTCAGATTAGGTATTCGGACTTGCAGAATAGATCATTTGAAATTACAAAACAAAGAAAGATCCAAAACTTAAGAATCTAGAAACTCAGATAATACAACCAAATATGTAAATTAGTCTATTAAAAGTCCTGTTGGTGTTCTGTAATTATCGGATGTACTATACTAATAACTAACAAAACTGTTCAGTAAAGAATTTTGAAAAGTAACAAGGCATACTAAAAAGTGGAGAGCTGTTCAAAAATCAATTATGTATCAAGTATTAAAACTACAATTTAAATCGAAATTTAAATAATAAAAAAAACATTCAACTGCTAATGTCCACGTGAAAGGCTGTTTTTTCTGGTGATTTTACCCTCAGATGTTTGTTCTTATATAATTTATTTGTTAATGCCTATAATAAAAAAGAAAGTGAAAACAATTTTTTAATAATTTATACGAATGTATATTATAGGAAAGTTCAATACTTACCAATTAAAATCAGAATACATTTTTGAAGTCCGATGAAGAAACCTCCGGTCTCTCCGCGACCATCCGTATACTCTATACGCAAAGGAAAAAATGTATTAAAAAAACAGAATGTTTATCAAAAACATATTCCGCCTAAATATCAGCTTACCTGAGTAACATGGCTCCTTCAAAGGAGCTGCTCCTGCGAGTCAGATTCCTTGAAGAGTTCTAATTTCGGGTGAAACTGATTTATTCGTTGTAGTTCGGTTCTTGAGCAACTCGCCTATCATTACACATTATGGCTCGTTTCCTTTCAAAATCTTTACTAAAAAGATTTGAGAGGTTTCCTAAGGACTTCGATATTTGCAAGACAACAATTTGATCGGTTAATTAAATCGTTTCCACAATTTTTCGTATTATATGAGCTTTTAGATTCGTATATTGCTGATCGATCCTTTGGTTGCAAAAAACGTTGAAAATATCCTTTGAAGCCGATTATTTATCCTGAACTTCCGATTTTTTATTCAAAATTTTTGAATGGCAAGTTTATCTGGCAAGTTTGAAACTATCTGAGCGATGGTTTCACTTTAGGATAGCAAACGGCTCCACATTCGTCTTCCATCTCTTTTAAAAGAGAGAAAATTCTGACGAATTAGAATATGTTTAATTTAATTTTCTATTTAAATATGTATATACACTTTATGTACTCTACCTCTAGGTTAGATCCAAAAGATACAAAATCAACTAAAGGAAGACCACCGAAAAAATCATTTTTAAGTTTTTGCGTTTAAAAGAAACATTCGTGTTCAAGATCCACTAGAAGAATTAAAACTGATGCTTCAATAGCTTTGGTTTCTGCTATATAATTCACTTCAACGGCTATGAGATGTTCTTATCAGCCCATTTGAGGTGACATTTAATATGTAGACTACATGAACATATTTATGTATGTATATTTATATGAAGAAATATTTATATTTAAAATATGGTCAACATGTTCCATAGGCACTGCGTACTAATGCGGATGCTCAAGTCAAAAGTCAAAAAAATTTGATTAGTAACAGGAAATTATATATAAATTTATTCATTTTTACCAAGTGCAAGTGGAAAGGGAATATTCTTTGACTTCAAATGTTTATCATGTATGTATTTATGTTCTGGATTACGTTCGTCAACCGAGTCGGTTTAATCCAGTTCTTTGTCTGTTTCTATACAAATGTGGTTCATGTTGCAATTCCTCGGAATATCGGATTGGACAACTATATACTTATATACTTACTTATATACAACCGTTTTTATTCCTGATAAATTGTAAATCGAACAGTATATATGTACATATAGGGATATATATATAGGGATCCTATACTTATGTATATATATGTATGTATTTCCGGCATTTCGAGCCCTAGTAAGTAAGCTCAGAACTAAAAAGTTATATTTTAGGTTCACAATTCAATGCTAGATTCGCAGATTTGCAAAGAATAAATAAATTAAATTAAATCAATAAATAAATTAAATCCAATATTTTTAATAACTAATCTTAAAAATTATTAAGATTAGTTTAGAACTTTTAGTTCCTATTAAGGGACCGTTAATTTCCACACGAAAGCAGTTATGGCGTCAAAAAAGCTCTCCCTATACTCGCAGTGTGGGCACACTCGCAGTCCGGACGAATAATCTCAAATTGCGATTATTTCAATTTGCCTTACGGTTCAGACGATTCGGTTTTGAAGAGCGCATTTAAAAAAAAACTATTTAAAATGTTGCAAGGCGTTTGTTGCATGAACCTGAACACCTATGGTATGGTGATTGGATGGCTGGGCGCGATCTCGTCCTTGATCGGAACGATTATCCTGTCCGTTGCTTTAGGATTCACAGATCATTTGATCCATCGACCTATATATGATCCCTATGATCCCTATGATTCATATAGTTCGAAGGAAACTGCTTGTGAGTACTCGAGTCAACAAAAAAGGGGAATCCCTTAATTTATTTGGGTTGCGTGTGTTTTTAATAGTGGCTGTGCTGCCTGTGGCTGCTCTAAGTGTTTTGTTGGTCTTCAAAGTGATCAACCTGCTGTCTTCGGTCTTGTTGATCGTCGGAACTGTTAAGGTAAATATACAATTAAAAAGAAAATTTAAGTGTTTAACAAGTTGAGCCCATCCTCCCGTAGCAACGTCATCTTCTGCTGCTGCCATGGATGATCAACTCTTCTGTGTTTTTGGTCATTGCATCCTTCGCTCACATGGCGATGTTCATCGGATTGATGAACACAAATGGTGCCTTTCCTCAAGCGCTGCTCCCGATCATGCTAATAGGGTCTTTTCTGGGTAAGTTGCAGATGAGTCAACACTGCACTCTGCGATATGAAAATATTCCAGTGGCCGGCAAAGACCAGACTCTCGAGTCTTCCCACGTACAGTATAAACGAAATAAACAACACACACGTATCCAAATTTTGCATATTTGGTACCCACACCAGGGCATTGCAAAAATGTTTAATTCGTGTGGTGCGGGCTATTGAAATATGGGGATTCGCATAAAGCTTATCGCTCTGGAAGTAATCTGTTTTTTTGTGTTCTTTACTTTCGACAGCTCTGGGATGGTATTTGTACTACGGCATATACTCGCTCTTCAAGCAAATTCAGGCTTCCAGCAAGATTGAGCGCCCGCTTAACCCTCCGCAGACCTTAATGCTCGAAAAAACTTCTCCCATCTACACCCAGTTCTGATAGGTCTGGACATCAAAATATGAAACATTTTTCGAATCTTCGAATCTTCTAAATATGATAACTATATTTCTTATATTTTAATAACTTACCCTTACGTGGTATTCAAACTCTATTTTTGAAATGTATATGGTTTGTATATTTGATACTTATTAAAGGAATATACAATATTAAAAATATATGTGCATTGATGATGTGTATTTAAAGCAATATGTGTATGCAAGATTTAAACCGGGGTTTTTCCGCGGTAAGCGTTCATTATACATATAATGAAATGTCAAATACTCTTAGAATTCTTTATAAATTAAAATGAATGGGCGAATTGTCTCCATCAAAATCTGCCCACCCTAATGTATGTAGTGTATAATTGTATTATATACTCATATACTTATGTACATATCAAGTCTTCAACCGCACTATCAGCGATTTCTTCGTAGAAAAATGTAATTGTGATCCGACTTGGGGGAATTTCACATAATTCTTAAAAGTTGTTAGTGCAGATTTAAACTGAGAGTCGTTTTTGACGGATGATTCTGATAAAGAATAGAATAGTAAATGTAGGGTCGGAGAAGACTCCTTTGTTGCGTCGGACCCTCAAAGTTAAAAGGGTATAAAATACAAATTATAAATAAACTCCTGTTGCAAATCCAATGTTAGTATCGGTGCCTAAGTGTTTTTGCCTTAGAATTTTGAAACTGTTTCTTAAATAAATGCAAAGTTACAGTTCCAATCTCCTAGCTCTTAGCCTCTATAAAGGGCTTAAGCCGAAGGTCAAATTTGTCAAGTGACTTACAAATATTAGTAAAAAAACATAATTTTTCTGATAGTTTGATTGCATTTTAATAATATTTTCTACACACACAAATATACACAAAAGGATTAAATTCTAAACGGGGCCAGAGCGTTCGTTGCAGCTACTCAGGTAGTGTTGGATGGAGGGTTGCGTTGAGTGTTTGGTGATTGGGATTACTGTCATTTGCCCAGACCCAGCCACATGTAGCTGGGATCGATGAACTGGGAGCCACGATAGCCTTGCGGGTTGCGCGACACCAGTGATCGAATCTTCTGCGAGGGCCTATAGGAGCGCAGGGCGTGCAACAGCTTGGATGTCTTGAGGTCCTGCTCCTCCTGCTGGGCGGCATCGATGGGGGCCTTGGTTGGCAGCACCTGCAGGACCATAGGATGCGGATGTTTGCCCTCCAGAAGGCGGGTCTCCGACTCGCCTAGTTGCGACTGCTCCGCAAAGCGCACGTTCGCCTCCAGTTGGTTGAAGAAGTCGCCCAGATTGGTCATGGCTCCTAGAAGAAGCAGCAATGGGCACTAACTATGGTGTTCAGGATTTAAATACAGGACAACATAGAAGCACATTAAAAGCTGTTGGAGGAAGGAAACCTAGGACCAGGTGGAGTGGAATCAGGGATATACTATTGCCTTACCATTACCCAATCCATATACCCACCAGCACTGATCGATGGCTTGTATCGGAGCTTCTGCGGTTGCGAGACCTGTTTACGTTTCCAGGGCAAAGTGTGGGCGTAGGCGAAAGGATATCGCGGTTCTCCCTCCGGAGGCTGCTGCTCCTCAGAGTCCTCCGGTGGAGGCCATTGAATAGGGGCTCGCTTGCCCAACGCTGCCGGCGGAGATTGCCACTTCTGCTGGACTTGCAGTTGCTTGAGATTCTGCAAATGCCATTGTCTATCGAGCAGCTCCGGATACGGCGGGAAATAGTCAGCGTCCAATTGGTTGTTTATTTCCGGGCCACTCGATTTCGGCAGGGGACTTCCGTCGGCGTCCGGGTAAAGGTCATCGAATTCGCGTGACGTCGTCTGCGGCGGCGGCTGAATCACCTTGGATTCCCACGCGGGATCCCACTCCCAGTAACGCCGCCACTCCGTCGGATTTTGGCGGTCACGGCTTGTCTGCTTTGGGTTTTGTGCTATCGCCACCTGTGCTCCTCTGAAAGGTGCGTTTCCCAGTGGACCTGGGAATGGAAAGAGTGTACATATCGGACGAATGGCCCATTAATTGTGGGTTCCCCAAGGATTTCGAGAGAGCGGGCGAGGAGGCACGGGGACGAAAACAAACATCCCAAAAAGGGTATGACATCCAATTTCCGCCACCGCCCTACAGATTTTAATTAGTGATAGGCGCAATGACTCCTGATCAAGGGTCAACTTTCAATTGGAAACAAATGTCGTGCCTTGTAATTGAAGGGAATAACTCATCTCATGTTGAACAGTTTGCCCGGAATGTGTCAGAAACTATTTTTAAATTTTATACAAAATGTTTGATAAGAAAACTTAGTAAAGGGTGGGGCATGATATTATTGTACTTCTATCTTGCCTTGGAGTCTGCTAGATTGGACTAATTCTCAATTCTCTCTTAATTCTCTTAAGTCTCTATAAATAAAATATATATGTATGAATTAAGTTTGCTTCTTTTATCTCTTAAATGACTTGAATAAAAAATAATAAACACGGCTTCTTTTGTAGTATGTTAGAAAGACGAATAATAAATTTGAAAACACAATATTCTCGAGATAAGACTGAGTGAATTAGAGATTATTCAACATCCACATTCGGAATTAAACTAAAAACCAATTAATTTTCGTTAAATATTGATGTAATGACTGAAGAGACTTTACTAATTTATCTAAACTACTACTACTACTACTACTACTAAAAAAGAACCCGACCGTATGCTTTCTGTATTTAAGTTATTTTAAACTTTGACAAAAAATGGATAGCGCATGTTTTACACCTTCGATTATTAAAACATTTCCTAATTTATATTTTTTATACAAGCATATTATAATATTTATTTCATATTACAATTTTATATAAAAATAAATAAATAGAACTATACATTTCTTATATTGAAATACTTTTCTTATAACTATTTTTTCATGGGTTGATGTTGATGATGTAAAAAAAATTACTCCAAATTTTAAATAGACTTTTTAATGGCTTTCAATGTTAATGGTAGTAGAAATAAAATACGCCACTGGTTATTGCTAAGAAATTTTAAAACTTTCTTAATTACTAAAAACTTACCCGAAAAAAGCAACACCAGCAGCAGGATACGTCGCTTTATCGAAAATAGCGACATTTTGTGTCTATTTTTTATGCGAATGCCGTCTTCGGGGTGTTGTTACATTTTATAGAAGGACACCAGCGCGGGCTAAATAGTTTTCAAACACATCTCAACCGAAAGTTACACAATTTCAAAGAATGGCCTTTGTTCCTGTTACTTTGCTCCCACGGCGGAGATCGAATTCCACGCCGGAGTCCGTGGCGAACGACTAACGTCCGGGCAGCTAGACCCGACTGCTTTTATAGGACCGCGATGGACGCGAACCCAGCCCAGGTCGACGGCAATCCTTTCGGACCACCCAACCGCCGGGAACCCACCTCATCCTCCGCCCACCTGCGAGCACCTGTTGCCCGACCGACGACGAAGAAACACAATGAAGGCAACTGCGGCACTGGGGACATGCGCACCTGTCCTCTGCTGGGTCTTGGCCCTGCTTGGGGTCCCGGTCTTGGTCTTGGCTTTTCAAGTGCGACTTGAGCTGCGAAAATGTTCTAATATGCACAGAAATGACGCTCGGCAGCACTGGAAATAGGAGTCAAGTATCCAAATCAGAGCACCACACCGCTTTGAATCCGATTCAGCTATTTACTCGCTAACGGGCCAATAAGGCTCAGGTGTGCCAAAGGACATGTGGATGCAATTATCCTGTCATATTGCGCAATTTCCCAGGCAACTGATATTGCCCGCTCGGATGCGCCATCCCTAGCCTTAGCTCCATCCTTAGACATCCATCCATCCGATGTGACGTCAAAGGATTATTTGCTTTGGAGTTTTGCCACTGAATTAGCATAATTGGGTCAGTGGATGGCTGGCTGGCTTTTGGTGGTTTTATCCTCACAATGGCCGGGATGGACATCCATTTGGCAGTAGCCGCGCGGACCTTGGCCTGCTCCAAACACTGCCGGCCAGTGTGCTCCTGCTTTTTTCCCCTAATTAGATTTGTGTACTGTGAGTGCCGGTGGCAGCATCTTTGTGGCACGCTGGGCGTCTAATGGCCCCTCGGTTCGATTCCCAACAACCTGCAACTGCAAAGGCAAAGGCATCTCCAGCGTGCAGCATCACCTCTTAGTCTTCAACGTTTTAAAAGTTTCCTGCACAAACTGTTTGTTAATTAGTCGGGAATTACAAGTTAGTTGACGTAAAGTTACGCACATCTGCATATTTATGAAGCGCCTTTGAGGACATCTAAGCACCTTACAGTCGAAACAATAAGGAATTTATACCATTTATTTTAGCACCGCAATATATGTTGAAATCTTAAGGAAGTATTTTTAACCATCAGACCCACAAGAAGACACCAAAATGTGTGAAAGAATAAGGCAAAGGTCCGATATTGAAACTCAAATATTAGTTTTGCCGAATACTTCTAATAGTTTCCATAAATCACACTTGTCTTTTGAACTTTTCAAGAAACTCGAATAAAAAGGAAAAAATAGTACTCCTTCATGGATTTAAAATATGTATATAAAATATTTAATTTACTCATATACCCTCGGGATTACGACATCATTTGTCACAAATTCCCAGTTCGATCGTTTGTGTGGGAGTTGAAATCGGTTTAGGAAGTTGAAGTCGATAATACTCAGTGTCGGGCGAATTCTGGAACCAACAGTATTTATACATATACACATATGATTCTTATCCGCCATGACGAGGCGGCTTGAGTGGTAATATCCCTTAGTTCTCCTGTGGACCTCATTGTGGGGTTGAATTGTGACATCCTATGAATCTCACTCTGATTACAGAGCTCGAATGCAGTTTAGAATGCTCCTTCATGCAGCTCACAAAAATCACAGAAATAATATTCTTGAACAGGATCACCTCCTGTGTTGATATGAGCATGTCCGTCCGTCTGTCTGTTTCTACTCAAACTAGTCTCTCAGTTTTAAAGCTATTGACTTGAAACTTGGCACACACCCTAATTTTTCTTTGCACGCAGTATATATATCGGAACACCGGAATCGGCTGACTATATCCTATAGCTGCCATATAACTGATTGATCGAAAATGCTGTAGCTTCGGTGTTTTTAGAGTTTGGATTTTGAATGCTATTTGGCAAAATAATACGACATACCAAATTTTATAAGGATCGGCTGTCATAAATGTTTATATCGGATATATCCTATAGCTGCCATATAACTGAACAATCGGAAATGACCCAACTTTCGTGTTTTTGAAGACAAATTGGAAATTCGTACAGATTATATCAAATTTCATAACAATCGGCCGACTATATCATATAGCTGTCATATAAGTGAACGATCGGAAATTTCGTTAGGTTTATTTGGTAAAAATACCAACATTGGTATTCTTGACGATAGAAACATGGGAATTTTTTTTTTTAGATTTTTTATTATAATATATAGTTATAAAATGATATTCTCGTAAGGATCGGTCGGATCGGATGTATACGGTTTTAACAGCAAGGGTATAATAATTAGACTTCGCGCAAAATTAGCTTTCCTTTTTTTTTTTTATTTATCTTAACGATTTTCAAACTACTAACAGATATCTCGTTTTATCTCATATACCTTACTTTAGGAGAGCAAATAAATAAATAAAAAAAATCAAAAGTATGTTTCAAGTTTCCATTATGTTCACTTTCATCTCTTTCAAATATTTCCTGCTGGAGCCAGCAGATTCCATTGAAAATCCATAAAAAAATGATAAAAACAAAGCAAATAAAAAAAATTACAGCACCAAAAGCGACAGCACCAAGAGATTCAAAAAACGATGTTAAGTCACTATAAATAAATCAGCATCAGTATATAATAAAAAAAAAAAATCAGTTGTTTTTAGATTCAGGTGTAAATATGTACGTCGGTAATAGAGTTCATAAAGGGTGATTTGGCGATCAAAATTAGGAGACCAATGATGATCACATTGAATAAATTTAATAATAAATAAGCAAAATTTAAAATAAAATCCTTTAATATAAATAAAAGTCAGAATTAGGAATGAAAGACGACCTTCCATATCCAGAAATCTATAGCAAATTTCATAAAAATTAATATGAACCATTATATAAATAAACAAAAAATCAGTTTCCAAAGATCATAATGAATATGCAAAATTTAAAATAAAATAAGAGAACTAAACCCAAACCAACAAAGGATAAGATCCCAGTAGTGCAGAGTAAAAAAACTAAATCTGATCAGAAAAAAAAATTAAAATTGGGTTTATTGCAGCAAATGTTTTTTAAAAATAGAGTAGCAACAAAGAAAACCAAACCCAAACCAACAAAGGATAAGATCCCAGTAGTAATTTAATAATAAATTAGCAAAATTTAAAATAAAATAATAATACCACACTTTAATACAAAATACAGCACCAAAGGCGACAGCACCAAGAGATTTAAAAAACGATGTTAAGTCACTATAAATAAATCAGCATCAGTATATAATAAAAAAAAAATCAGTTTTTAGATTCAGGTGTAAATATGTACGTCGGTAATAGAGTTCATAAAGAGTGATTTGGCGATCAAAATTAGGAGACCAATGATGATCACATTGAATAAATTTAATAATAAATAAGCAAAATTTAAAATAAAATCCACTCTTTAATATAAAATAAAAGTCAGAATTTGGAATAAAAGACGACCTTTCATATCCAGAAATCTATAGAAAATTTCATAAAAATTAATATGAACCACTATATAAATAAACAAAAAATCAGTTTCCAAAGATCATAATGAATATGCAAAATTTAAAATAAAATAAGAAAACTAAACCCAAACCAACAAAGGATAAGATCCCAGTAGTGCAGAGTAAAAAGACTAAATCTGATCAGAAAAAAAAAATTAAAATTGGGTTTATTGCAGCAAATGTTTTTTAAAAATAGAGTAGCAACAAAGAAAACCAAACCCAAACCAACAAAGGATAAGGTCCCAGTAGTAATTTAATAATAAATTAGCAAAATTTAAAATAAAATAATAATACCACACTTTAATACAAAATAAAAGTCAGAAATGAAAGACGACCTTCCATATCCAGAAATCTATAGCAAATTTAATAAAAATTAATATGAACCTCTATATAAAGTATCAAAAAATCAGTTTCCAAATTTCATAATGAATATGCAAAATTTAAAATAAAATAAGAAAATCAAACCCAAACTCAGACCCAATCCGAAACCCAATATAAAAGACTGAATCTGAACAGAAAAAAAATAAAATTGGCTTTATTGCAGCAAAGGTTTTTTAAAATTCGACTGTAACATCCGAATGTGAAATAAAATAAAAATATATAAATAAAATCAGAATAAATATCAGAAGGGGTCTAGAATCGAACTGGACCATAGCACTAGCCCGAACTCGCCTTATATACCATATATGGTCCAGTGTTGAGTAATTTCCGTTAACCAAAACTTTCAGTGTTCCTAGGATTGCTATCGATACTAGGGTTACCAGGTACTTTTATATTTATGTGAGGCATAAAACGAGAAAAGTGTTTTTTTTTTTTTAAATGAATATTTGTATAGATTTTCAAATAAAAACAAAATAACACACTGTATTGTTCTCTGTCTGTCACCCATACTTCTAGTTTCTATAATGGATATTTAGATTCTCAAACAAACATTTTGTTGCATACTTTTGTATGTTTTTAAAAAAAAGTCAAAAACTCTAAAAAGAATGACTGCGTATATTATATGTTCACCCGATGGCAATCACAATTTTTTGAAAGCGTGATATAGAAATAACGTCTGGTTTTGCGCCACATATCATAATTTGATTTTAGTAGAGAAGCCAGCCGAAAAATGGGGTATTTGGCTTCGCATCACTAATTCATGCTTGGGGCTGAAATCGTAGTCAACTTTCATGAGCTGCCAAATTCATAAACTGGCGTTTATGCATCACGAATCGGCTGATATCGTGAAATGAGTGTTTCAACTACATATTTGACATCTGATATTCATCACTTCCACTATGACTTTAGTGACTTCCACTATGAAAAATAAAAACAACATCAAAGAACTAAAACAATAAAATGTATGCGCCGACTTTATCCTATAGCTGCCAGATAACTGTTTGATCAAAAATGTTAGGATTTTGCATGCTATTTTTGGAAAAATAATACGACATACCAAATTTTATAAGGATCGGCTGTCATATATATTTATATCGGATATATCCTATAGCATTCGTGTTTTTAAAGACAGACAGTCGTACAGAAAGTCGTACTTGGAAAGTCCGAGCTACCGAATTTCATAACGATCGGCTTACAGTATCTTATAGCTGCCCATATACATGCCATGTAACTTATCGATCGGAAATGGTATTTGGTAAAAATTCAAACTTTTGTACTTCTGAAGATAGAAGCTTGGGACTTTTGTTCAGATATTGTATAGTAATAAATATGTTTTATTAAGACATCCGGTTTTTGGCTCCGCCCGAAAATAGCTTTCGTTTCTTGTTTTGTATTAAAATACAGTATTTATTTATTTTATTTCTAAAATATTGATGAAAGCTTAATTTTAAAACTAAGATTAATAAAGAAGTGTGTGCGAAACTAGATAAATTCTTTTAAGACAAAAGTATCTATTTATGTTCATATAATATATGGGACATTTTTTTGAGTTTTTTAGTTTGAATATATTTGCTAACGAATCGGTAATATCTGCCTACAAACTAATAATACTAATTTGATCCAAATCTGATGCTCGTAGACGGGAGTTTAAGAGCTAACGAACCTCATGCCAAGGAAGCTACTATATTTAGCAGAGGAGTTATTAATTTATGTTTGAATAAATGAATAAATCAAATACCAATCGAAAGGTATTGATGATGGGTAATGATAGTTATATTTAGAGGCCACTTTTTGATTCAACGTATGCTTATAAACTATAAAACTATCAAATGTACACATAGATTAAGAAGGTGTAAAACATAAGGCTTTAAAAATTTTGCCGGATGTTTGGGGTTAAAAATGAAATAACACACTCATATATATTTATATAAATATACCTTTATAAATTTAGCGCATCTGCCTGTCGCCCAAGCCGAACGAGCTTTTTCAACGTTTAACACCCCAGAGTTGCGCTCCACGTTTTGAAAGCTTTGGTCTTTGGAGCCCCACTTGGTTTTCAGTCAGTCGCTCTCGAGCTTTCGTGCCGCGAAGTTGACCACCGCCGGACTGTAGTGTCACTTGCGACCCCCCAATTGGCCACACAGCAGTTGAAATTCGTAGTGAAAAGTAGTGGAACTCCGCTCGCACCAAAGGGACTCACCTGGGAGCCATTAAAGTGATGAAGTGCAATTAAAATAATCAAAATATAAAGAAACCAAAGCAAAGGACCAGCCCAAGGAAGAAAACGCTAACAGAGGTGCGGAAACTCAAAAGTTGTCTATATTTTTCGAATTTTCTGGGGTGGAGGTTGTGCACACACATGCCGTTGCATCCTGCCAACTCCTTTGGGACCACCCCAGTGGAGTTTCGAAGCCAGTGCGCCGGCGCCATGGGGGAAAACGGCTGTTTTTCACATTTCCCGCGCTGGCTGGCAGGTTGAACGACCCGTTTTCCTCCCACACCCAAAAAATTGGAAAATGCCCGAAAATGCCGGTAGGCCGAGTGGCATTTTCCGGGCTTTCCACGCTCACTTTCGTTCAATGAGTCTCCCAAACTGTTCTCCACGTTCTGTTACCTTATTACGGCTTTTCCGCCGCTCTAATGTAACACATGGCTTATTGAATAAACCAATCTGTCGGCTTACGAGGCGTATACTCAATATGGGACCATTGACAACTGCCCAATGCTGGCTTTGGGCCGATTGTGTTTACTTGGCCCACATCCAGATGTAACCCTCGGCCAAATTCGGCGATGGGAACCTCTTCACCCGGCACGCACTGGCACTTGAATTTCGGTTTTTGGGCGCGGGCGTCTTCGAGAGGTTTTTGCTCTTTTGGGCCGAAGCTGAAAAAATGTGCTAAACATTTGATTCAATACCTCGATAAGCAAAATAATGGCCATTGGATGCTCTTTAGAAAAGTATGCAAAATTAAAATGATATTCAGGTGAATCACCTTACTAAAGTCACCTTAAGTTCTGAGAAAAAATGGACAAACGTTTAGACTAATTGACTTGGCACCGTCAGCTTCCATGAACCAACAAATGTGTGTCTCTTCTCGCTGGGAATAACCCATACTCTCCTCCTATAATTTGCATCTTATTCACCGATTTTTAGCTGTAACTAAAACTCGACTCTAATGCTCGATTTTCGCTTGATTGCAAAAGTAGTTGGCCTTGACGGGGCACAGAATATTGCATTGCACCAGCACGAAGCAGCAACAATAGCAGGTTAATCATCAATGAAGCGTGCAAGAAGAATGAATCCGAGATCTTAGCCATTTTAAGTTCTTTATTAAGCCAAGTCACGTGGAGGTCTATGCTCCAACAACAATCGAGCGAGTGTTCTTTTTGGCCTAAACAACCGGTTCAATGTTTGCACAATTTTCGTATGGAGCTCCGTGTGTTTTGGTTTTTTGTTGGCTTTTTTACTTTTTCTGCTTTGTCGCCAAAAGCATTAAATATTACTGAATGACTGCGGTCTGGCGGTAGCTTTACCCATTTTTTCTGGCTCTACGGGCTACGTGCGGAGCATGCTGGCCGCACAAGCTCATTTCGGGGGGCTGGCTTGTTAATTTGAATTTCACACTCAAACACTCGCCGGGAGCAGATGTTGCCAGGGGCCATGCAGCTTCTCTTTGGCTCTTTCGTTCCTTCTCTCGGTGCCCCTTTGATAATCATATTTTGTGTAAAGTTTGTTTTATATTTAGTGCCACCCCTTTTTCATATTGAGTCACCGTCGCCCCTGCTCTTTGTGTCCACATGGCAAGGTCAGCCGGAGTTACACCTTTCGTTAAAGCCCGCTTCCTGCTCCACCCTCGCCACTTCCGGTTCCTGCACCTTCGCGGCCTTCTCTAATTTTGTTCACTTGCGGTGTTGCGTGTTCAGAACACGCTGACATGCTTTCCCCCTAAGTTGCACACACAAGTCAACAATATATCTAAATTGACATGGTATTTTTTCAGGTTCATGTTTTTTTTTAAAGGATACTTTATAGTATACAAATTAAGGCGTTCGATGATTTTTTAAATATAAACTATTATTTTTAACACATGTTTATTGTTTATTTATCCACATTCTAATGGATAGTTTCCATTATTGATGGATATCCTGATCCTTTTTTCATTTCCTGGTGTTAAAACATATAAGTAACTGTAGTTTGTATTCTTAAAAAAAGGATGTAAATAAAACTAATTTTTAGAAAAAATTCAAAATAAAAATCTTTATTTTTATTGACATCTCAAGATTGTACACAGACTGTGGATACAATATACCCATTTAATCAGCAAGTACTGGGTAACAGAATTTCATACAAATTCTCTCCACCAGCATGCTCTCTCTGCCTTGCTAGTTCCCGCTACTAACTGGCAAATTAAGTTCACTTTTTTTAGCATAATTCCGTTGTTTCTCGTTGGCCACAAAACCGTTAGCTCAGTTACTGAAGCAACCGCAATGCATTCTGACCCTGGCTGGCTGCCTTTAGTTACTCATACGCCGTGTGTGACGAGGGAGGTGAGTGCTGAGTGCCGGCGCCGCCCAAAAAGAAGAGCCCAGGGGACTAGGCTGGCTGCCTCCACTTGGGGCAAGTGCATAATGCAGTGCGAAATGAGGGCTGTCCCACGATGGCAAACGAAAAAAAAGTGGCCTGCTCTGCTTTTGATTTGGCGGGGCAGTAAACATTTAGCCCGTTGGGGCTTCTTTTCCGAAGGGTGAGAGTTTTGCGTCGAGTACTCTCGGTGTCCGCCGCGGACGTTGCCCTCCAGCACAATTGCGCCCTCAAGCATGGCAAGCCAAGTCGCATATAAAAAAAAAAAAAACAAAACAAAACTAAAACCTACAACTAAACAAGAAGTAAAAAACAACAAAAAAAAACTAAAAACACAATCCGAAATTGTCGTTAATTCGTTTTGTGTGCAAAGTGAAATTTTGTATGTTTTAAGCTTAAGCTGTAACTGTTTTTATTTTTGTATTTTGTTTCGTATTTTTATTTTTCGCCGCCTCGTTTTGTTAATGCAGCGATAAATTCGTGACGTTAATTTTACACACATGAGCCAGGAGAGACACGTTTTGTTGACCCCAAAGAGAACTTTCCAAGCGTGATACGAAAGCTCCACTTTAGATACCCTTTTATAATCGTGGAGTACAAGGGTATATAGTGTTAGATCTTAATGTATGTGAGATTCAGGCATGTATACGGAATATATAGATTCTTGCTTTTAAGCACCCAAAATAATTTGTCTAAATGTAGTTGGAGAGAAGTGTATCGTGTATAACCTAGTCAGAAAGCTTAGCCATATCCTTCCCTTCCTGCTTTTTTTTACACAGAAAGAAAACCTCCTAATCATACCTTACCATTGTTTTTTTTTTCATGCCAACTCCCATAAATCGGTTGGCAAAATGCGCAAGTTGCATGCGACAAGCAATTTGGCGAGGCCACATCCTGCCCCATTTACAGGTCCTTCAGATCCTTCCAACCATTTCCACATCCTGACATCAAACAATGCTCTCTGATGTCGAGCCAACAATGGGCTATGACGACGTTGGCGGAGGCACTTAACCCAGTTTTTAGTTTCATTCGGATGCTTCCTTCACTTTGACATGCCAAAAAGCCGGAATGATATCATCCCCTAAAGCCCCGCCCCCAAACGACCTAAATTTCGTAGAACTCTCGTATATTCCATTCCAAGCCATGCGGGTGGCCACATCAATTGTCCCAGGTATTGATTTTCGGTCTTCATTACAGCCGGAGTTGGAGCTGGAGCTGAACTGCCAATGAATGACAGACAGGAACTGAAGACTGAACTCAACTAGAGACATCACCATCAACATCAACCAAGGACCAAAGGACGAGGAAATGTTTTAGGAGCCAGCAGCTGCAGGACTGCGATAAGGGAAGAAGCCGTACAAGCCCCACATCATTAACGAAAAAATAAACATTCTGCCAGACAGCGTCGCAATGTTTTTGCCCGTGAAACCCAACCAGTGAGTACACAGAAAGAAGAACTTTGACTTTAAGCTTATGATTGGTACCTTAAATATCTTCCAAAATGGTTTGGATATCCAATACCACCTGTATTTGTTTTCTGTGCATCAACCAAATCGCCATTTGAGTGGCGACTTGATGCTCCACGTTCGCTCCATTCAACCCCCAAAGCTGCGGGTTCCTTAGCATAACATAAACATGAAAACATGAGCACGAAGCATAAACAACCCCCGGATTTGGTATCCCGGAAAATTTTTTGATTCAATTTTGCCGACACGTTGTCGCCATCATTATCATTATGTTTACAAAGATTTGATTCGCCTTTTGCCGCCGAGAGTCGTGCGAGGTTCATTCACATTTTATGTCTACCGTTGCAGTTCTGGCGAGGCGAGTGGCAACAACGAGGATGTCACCACCACCAGCAACAATTCCACACAAACGCCCAGCGATCTGAGCCCACCGGGACCTAATGAGGAGGTCCTGCCGCAGGCGCATCATCAAAATCCGGGCCACTGCATCGCCTCATTTGCCGCCATTAACCAGATGAGAAACAACGCCCAGGTGAGTTGAAGGTGTTTTAATTTGGATTTGAGTTCTTAATTGGGGCGGTGTCTAGAACATTTTGTTTGTCATTTTACCTACCTTAATTATTTTAATAATTGTTGAAAAAAGAGTAAGGTACATATTATAACATTTCTCTCGAAATTTTGGCAATAAAAATTCCCTTTTCCAGCCGCAACTAATTAGTAACATTTCATGTTTTTCTGAATTTTTAAAATATTTTGCCACGTTAGGTAACAAAATAAACACTATAAACTTATCCAAGACATGCAATTGCCGAGTGATTTTAGGGTAAATATTTCAACTCTTTCATCCGCCTGAAAAGATCTGGGAATCTTTATTAAAAGATAAGTTAATTACGTTGATCATTAATTAATAATGATTCAAAATTAGAATTATTTTGTGAAGAAATAAAAAATAATACAATAGATTTGGGGTTTATATCAATATATTCATTATTTTTGCAATCTATCTGATTACATACGACAAATATTTAAAATACAAAATACATCCATCAAATATTTAAATTGCATTTCTAACAATATTTTGTTGCAAAATATACAATAAATTATCAAAATATACAAAAGAAAATCTGAAATTCTGATAAGTTTTAGAACCCCTTAGTTTCAAGGTGAAATTGCTTAATGAAACTGATATCATCTAACAAAAAAAAATCATATTTGGCAATTTGTTTCAAAGAACACATATTCTCCGCCAAATTAGGGAAATCTTTCGGGCAATTGACAGATCTTGATAGTGTCGTACTAATTGCATTAGGCGTGAGCATAATTAAAATATATTTATTTAGAATGGGCGCGTGATTGAGGTCGTGGCAAGTCCGCGGGCCCACATGGCGCATACTTAATGTCTTTCGTTCATTTCTCTTTTTTTTTTTTTGGGCGGCTAGTCGGCAACATTAATTGCGCCCCAGGTCCGCCTCCTCACCCCTAACCCCTTTATGGAGGCGGGTGCCTCCCGGAGAACCCGATAAGTTCAGCCGGGTGAGGCTATTAGAGCAAATTGCCGACCAGCGGGTGGGTGTCCGGGTTGAGCGACGATGAGTTGGCCTTAACCAGAAGCCAGCCATGATGTAAGCGACACTTTGCCATTTTTAAATGGCTCCTTTTCCTGTATCGAGGTCATTGACATCCTGGGCTCTGTCAAAAGTTATTGATGAAGGGCCCTTCTAAGGATTCGAGTGGGGTGTGCGGGATTTGGAGTGCAAATTGAGCACGTAGCCGGGTAGCCGGGCATTAATCGGATTTGTAAAGCGACACTTTGTCACCATCCGCCCCCCTCTCCGGTCCGGAGCAAGTCGACAAGTCTCAACAGCTTTTCTGGCTCCTTTCCTCTCTTCCAGCTCTGCGATGTTCGCCTGGAGGTGGGCGGAGACACCATCAACGCCCATCGAGTGGTCCTGGCCTCCGTGTCGCCCTATTTCTATGCGATGTTCAATGGTGAGTAAAGGGTCTTTGAAGAGGAGGGGCTTTTACCTTCTTTCAAAACCCTCCTTATACCAAGAGGATGGCTTTCAAAATTATTTTTTGTGCAGAATGTGATTCATTTGTTTTCCATTTAAAATTACAATGCGTTTTGATTAATATCTTAATAAATATACATATATAAATATGTATAAGGACAATATTTATCTTTTACAAATTTTCTTTATAGATTTTTTATAAATTAAAAATAAAATAAAATTGTAGATTGAAATAAAAATAAAAAAAATCCTAAGTATTAAAATTTTCAAATTTTTTTCTGAAATGGCTTGATGAATATAAACGTCCATAAATTATGAAAAATGGATATATTTTGTTTGATTTATTTTAGCGTATTTGTATATATATATAGAACCTACCTATTTGGTAGTTGTCTTATTTTGTTATACCCTTGCAGAGGGTATTATAATTTTGGTCAAAAGTGTGCAACGCAATGAAGGAGACATCTCCGACCCTATAAAGTATATATATTCTTGATCAGGATCACCTCCTGAGTTGATATGAGCATGTCCGTCTGTCCGTCTGTCTGTTTCTACGCGAACTAGTCTCCCAGTTTTAAAGCTATCGTCTTGAAACTTTGCACACACCCTTCTTTCCTTTGCACGCAGTATATAAGTCGGAACGGCCCGGATCGGCCGACTATATCCTATAGCTGCCATATAACTGAACGATCGGAAATGGTACTTGGTAGAAATATCAACTTTCGTATTTTCGAAGATAGAAGTTTGGGACTTTTTTTTTAGATTTTGTATTGTAATAAATTGGATTATATATTCCTATTCAGATAAGGATCGGCCAACTATATCCGATGTTTGCGATATATATCCGGTTTTAACTGCAAGGGTATATAAACTTCGGCTCCGCCCGAAGATAGCTTTCCTTTCTTGTTTTTGTTTTAACTTTTGGCTATTAAAATAAAATATATTCATGTTTGTTTTCAACACTTATATAACATCTGTAATACCCATAATACTTATCAAATATTATACCTTAACAATGGACTTCATTTGAAGGTTCTGCATAATTGATTTCGATTATTCAACTTATACCTTATTCTTCTTATAATATAAATATTTAATTTATAACTGATCCAATTACCATTCACATTCCATAACTAGACGACATGCTGGAGCGCACTCAGGGATTGGTGAGACTCCACGACGTGGACAGCATGGCTCTCAGGCAGCTTATCGATTACACCTACACCGGGGAGATCACCATCACCGAGCAGAACGTTCAGGTGCTGCTGCCCGCCTCCGGATTGCTGCAGATGCACTCGGTACGGGATGCGTGCTGCAAGTTCCTGCTCCGCCAGCTGCACCCCTCCAACTGCCTGGGCATAAGGAGCTTTGCCGATGCCCACTCCTGCAAGGAGCTGCACACCAGGTCCCACAAGTACGCGCTGCAGAACTTCCAGCAGGTGGTCGGCACGGAGGAGTTCCTGCTGCTGCCCTTCGAGGAGGTGCGCGAGCTGATCTCCAACAGCCAGCTGAACATCAGCTCGGAGGAGCGTGTCTTTGGCGCCGTCTTGAACTGGGTAAAGCACGACCTTCCGGCGCGTCGCATCCACACGGCGGAACTGATGTCTCACGTCCGACTACCGCTGGTCAGCAGGGATTTCCTCATGAGCTGCGTGGAGGCGGAGACCCTCATGCGAGATGACTCCGAGTGCAAGGAGCTCCTACTGGAGGCTATGAAGTACCACCTGCTGCCGGAGCAGCGCTCGCTGATGGGCAGCCAACGGACTCAGGAACGTCGGCCGGAGGGCATGAAGCCGTACGTGTTCGCCGTGGGCGGTGGAAGCCTCTTCGCCATCCACAACGAGTGCGAGGTCTACAACCCGCGGACCAACTGCTGGAGTCCAGTAGCACCGATGCTGTGGCGCCGGTCCCGCTCCGGAGTTACAGCCCTGCACAAGCAGCTGTATGTGGTGGGCGGATACGATGGCGTCAGCGATCTGGCCACGGCAGAGAGCTATAATCCCCTGACCAACAAGTGGAGCAACATTACCCCGATGGGCACCAAGCGCAGCTGCCTGGGCATATGCTCTTATGATGCTTTGATCTACGTTTGCGGCGGCTACGATGGAGCCTCCTGCCTGAGCAGCATGGAGCGCTATGATCCACTGACCGGAATCTGGAGCTCCTGTCCGGCGATGAGCACGCGACGCAGGTACTGCCGTCTGGCGGTGCTGGAGAACTGCATCTACAGCTTGGGCGGCTTTGATTCCACCAACTACCAGTCGAGTGTGGAGCGGTTCGACCCAAGAGTGGGTCGCTGGCAGCCGGTTCCGAGCATGACGGCTCGCCGCAGCAGCTGCGGGGTAGCCTCCACTGATGGCCATCTGTACTGCATTGGCGGCAATGACGGCACCATGTGCATGTCCAGCGGCGAACGTTTCAATCTGCGCAGGAACAGCTGGGAGCCCATCGCAGCCATGCACTCCAGGAGGTACGTTCGGATTACTTTTTGATTTTCTTCCTTGTACTGTAATCCATGTTTGTCTTTATAGATCCACCCACGAAGTGGTCGAGGTGGAGGGCGCCCTGTTTGCTCTGGGCGGCAACGATGGCAGCTCCTCCCTGAACTCCGTGGAGCGCTATGACCCGCGGCTGAATAAGTGGAACGTTGTGAACGCCATGGTGGCGCGACGCAGTTCCGTGGGAGCTGCCGTGCTGGAGTGCTTTCACCTTGAGCGGGGACTGGTCCAGACGACGAACTTATGACCCTTGGCCAGCATAACCGAGTCCTTCGCCGCAGCTGCAGCGAGCGGCGCTAGTAACGGCACCAGTGGGTCAGGACCTCCTCCCACGGGGTCCACAGCTGGAACCCTAACCGTGCCCAGCCGGGCAGAGGCGGCTGCCTTTACGGCCAACATTGCCCTGAGTAGTTCGGCTCCCTCGGCCAGCTCCACTTTGCGTCGCCATCGACGGGAGACTCCGGGCCTGGCCGAGAGCCGGCGGGCCAACAGCAACGCCAGCAGCAGCGGCAGCGAGAGCGGTGGCAGCACCAGCAGTGCCAGTACCGGAGGAGGCAAACCACCGGCGACAGCCTGATCCTGGTCCATGTCGCGTCGCTTTTGAGCAACCAAACAAAAACATTCAATAACAAAACAAAACACTTACAAAGCTAACCCCACGCGCCTAATGCAGGAATTTGATTGTTCGAGTTCGTTATTATGGATAGAAATAGGATAGATATATGACTACTAACTGAAGGAAGGAAGCCCCTGCGGACATTCGATTGCTCAACCAGGAGTCAACACCGCAGCTTTGAAGTGGAAGCAAGCCCATAACACACACGTACACACATTTCTAGTCAAGATCCTTCACACATTACATGGGATGCCGCTCGCGGGGCTGGGAGACAAAAGCAACCTAATCTGCCTACAATTTACATACATATATAAACCTCTATACACTTAAATTATATACTGTACACTCTTATGTACTATTCTTATGTATTTTATACAAGCAATTAAAACTATAAGTCAATGTTTCGTACTCGTATTCGGCGACGAATGCCAGCGTCAGATTCCTCGTTCTGTTCATTGCTTGGTGGATTTGTACTACGACTAGGATCTTGATCTTGAGGATGGCGGTGGCAGTGCGGGGCGACTCACATCATCCGTTGGGCCAAGTTGCTTGCCACCTTGCCCACGTTCTTCTCATCCTCCGGCGCGGCGACCATCTTACGGGCATTCAGCCAGTCCTTCGGCAGACCAGTGCCAACTGCAAAGACGGGTGGGGATTGGGATTAGTTGGAGTGGATCGCAGATGCGACGGCCCTTCGTTTTTTCACGCTAAAATCAATCTGCGAGATGGGAATGTAGAAACGGACAAAAAACGACGATCGACGTAGACAGTTATCAGTACGCATTTATTTCTTTATGACTCTCGATGATGGGACAGGGAAAGTTAAATGCTATGCGGCCATCTGCCCGCGCCGACTCATCGGTTCACGGTCTACGCCGCCGACCGCTTGCCGCCCGGAGAGCGGATGTGGGATGAAGCTGTCCCCAGCCGGCAAGGTCTCATATCGGAGCAGATCGTGAAAAAATGAAGCCGTCGCGCCGCTTGAGGGTGGTGTAAAACTAAACGGTACTTAGGCTCTAGCTCAAGGTGTTTTCTTTTCTTATATTTTGCCGTTTTCAGTGCAATACGAATTAATTAACAACGAATGTGGCTCGCCTCCTAGTCCAAGTCGTCGGGTACTGGGTGGCGCGATGGAATAGAGAAACGTTAACAAAACCAAATACGGTAGCAAAAAGAGAGTGAGAGAGATGGTTGAAGGAAAACGCGTTAGAAATTACTCAATTATTAAAGGCTATGTCTAAGTTTTGGCCAATGTGGGAATCGAACCAAAAGCACAATGGGTGTTTGTTTTCAACTTAAAAGTAAACTCTTTTTGTGTATCAAAACGAGAGCTATTTACTTTTGTAAACCTTCTCGGTCATGTCATCGAAGCCAGAGTCCTGGATGTTCAACATCAAGCTATCCGCCGACAGGTAGACCTTGTTCTGTGAGCTGGCGATCTGTTTAGGAATAAAAGTTTGTGGTTATTTGATAGAACTTTTGTATTGGAGAACTTTGGTCCTACCGTTCGGGCAATGCTTTGAGCGGCACGCAACTTGCGCAGCTTGAGGTAGGCAGGGTTCTGCTTCACGGCCAGACCTAAGTAAACATATCTATTAAGGAGAACCATTGCGGGGCAAAAAATAATGGCAAACTAATAAAGAAATATGGAAGTCTCTGAAAAGTGTTTGTTTGTAAAAGGATATCATTTTGGCAGCCTCGGCTTCTCCCTCGGCCTGGACAATCTTCTGCTGTTTCTCCTGCTTGGCGCGCTCCACGAAGAACACAGCACGCTGGGCCTCCTGCTGGGCCACCTGTTTGGCTTCAATAGCAGCGGTGTACTCCTTGCCAAAGCTCAACTCGGTAAGGGACACATCGTCCAGGATGATGTTGAAGTCACGGGCACGCTCCACCAATTCCTTGCGAATCAACAGGGAGACCTAATAGGTGAAGCAATAAAAGTTCATGAAATTCATTGAAGATAAATCCCCTAAGATGAGGCTCACCTGCTGACGCTGGGTAATCAGCTGCGAGGCATTGAACTTGGCAATCACACTCTTGAGCACTTCGTTGCAAATGGAGGGCAGCACCTTCTCGTCGTAGTCAACGCCCAACTGCTTATGCAGGAAGGGAAGGTTGAGGGAATCCGGACGCGACAGGACACGGAGCGAGATGTTGATCATCTGCAGATCCTTCGAGCCGGTGGGCGAGGAAATTTTGCGGGGACGCGAGCGAATGTCATAGATGATGGGGTACTGGAACCAGGGGATGCGCACATGCAGACCCTCGGAGTAAATGTCGTTCTGGATGCCACCAAGGCGGCTGAAGATGATGGCCCGGTGACCACCCTCGACTGTAAAAACAGAAATGGAGTTTGTTATGCAATCGTTGGGAGATGAAATCAAATAAACTCGGTTTCAGGGGATTTTAAATGAAAATATATGTAAAAGAAGATTATGTTGCAATAAAATCTAATCGATTTCATAAATAAAGTATTCCCTCTAGCATCGTGCAAGCCGGAATATTAGTTATGAAATCCGGAGACACCGCATACACCGTTTGAGGTTATGTAAGCTCGCCGCTTGATATTCCATGTTTTTGGTCATTTTTTGATTAATAAACGATATTTAAATATAATTATGTATTTACCGGTATACAAGGACTGGCTGACACCATAGGCAGCTGCTCCAACTGCGGCCAGGAGCTTCAATCCAATTCCCAGTCCCGGCGGACCACCTTTGCCCAGCTTGCCAGCCAAGTCATTCAATTTGCTCTGTGCCATTTTGCGCGTGTGCTATTCCGGAAAATTTGATACAAGTTCAATTAAACAATTAATTCAGAGTCGACTACGATAAATCCGGCAGAAATTGGCTTATTATTAATTTGTAAAATTGGGAAATAAGAGAAGCAGAAACGCACGTTCTATTTACCTGCAGATAAGTGTGACCGTTCGAGAAACCCTTCAAAAACCTCGACTTTTCTTTTAGTGTTGGTAAATGACCGGAGCTCAATGACAGTCTGGCAGCTCTTGGCGCGCTCTTCAAATTAAAATGTTATCACTGGGGTGAACCACTCTAATTACTTGCAACTGAACGGATAAGCTATAAATAAACCCACAAAAGCTAATGACGAAACCTGTCTGGTACTTTTTTTTTTAGTCAACACCTTTGAATTTGCGTGCAAAATTGCGACAATTACTAATTTTCAGTGCATAACTCTAGTTTGCTGGAGCGTAAAGGAATTTAAATCGGCGATGAGCGGGCTGTTTGCTAGAATTTATGCCCCTGCCATTATCTTATCGCTTCAGTTATTGGGAGTCGGTTTTATGTTTTCCCAATCTGATTTCTGGATTTACGCCCGGCGCTAATATTTATTGCTTAGCCCTGATACGGAAGTGGCCGATTTGCGGGTTATTGGTTTATGACTCCTTGTCGCAAATCGCTAACTGATGGATTTGTAATTAATTTTTTCGGCAGCATCGATTAGATAAGGGATGTGAAAGACTCTGTTTTGTGGCTGTCAACAGGCGTGGAAAATTCCTCGAATTAGTCGCGCTAAAAGCCGGAATTAGGATGCCTTCCAATGACGCATTTTTATCACCACCCGCCCACCTGCTCACCTGCCCACCAGTCACCTCATTTCATCTCACATATCACATTGCGTTAAGATGTTAACGAGTCCAAGTGCCCAAATAAATAACAATAGTTGCGAAATCTGGCTCATAGCTCTCGAAAACGGTGCCAATGGGTCTAAGACAACATATACCGGATCAATGGAAGCATTTTAATTCTTAATTCCCGGCTCCAAAGTGATAAAAAGCCAAAGCCGTTGACGTACGATTTCGCAATCGTAGGAATCCCCAAGGAAATTTGCATAGTGAGCTTCTTTACACTGAGAGAAAATTGGGATTATGATAAGATAGGAAATTAATAATTTACCATAGGTAGTTTATAGGGTTTTAATGGTGAATTGTTTATAAGAGATATAATAAAAGAACTCCTCTCTATCATAAAATCCGTGTTTGAAAAAATAGCAGCTTAAATGTTAATTATAATTTTAAGTCTCTATAGCAGTGTTAATTTTGAGTATAATTACAGACTTGAAGATACAGATTATATGGTTTGATATGGACTTTATGGTATTTATTATTTTTATTAAAGCTCATTAAATGGTCGTGCTTAAATTTAGTATTTATGGTGGGACTTTACGCTTAATAAAGGAATAAAATAATGATAATATTAATTTTAAGATGTAAGTATGTATACCTAAAATATATGATATTGAAAAACTTATATAAATAAAGGTAACTTTTTAGAATTTTTTTATCGAATCTGATGTCCAAATATAAGAGGCTTTGGAAAGCCTTTAAAAGTCAACCCATCGATGCTGCAATTTTTCCGTGTATCTGTATATTTAATGAGTTTGGTTGAAAGACCGCAAAAGTTCACCATTGGCATACCGAACTAATCCACAGAGCGGGCTGGGGGGTGGTTTGGCAGTGGGTGGAAGTACCCCAATCAATGTCATCTGTCCGCGTTAATCGCACAACCGAAATCGGCTATCAGGGGGCAATTAACATGCGCAACGGGCCGCTCAAAAGCGACCGACTATGTATGGCCCACAACAGCCGGCGGGTACTTAACTTGGCTTTAATATCGGCTTTGCCAATTTGGCCGGAGTTTGTTCGATTTCCATTTCCATTTCCACTGGCGCGAAGCGTCAGGCACTTGAACTTGAACATCCATGTGACCAGGAAAAGGGGCACTCGGGGCTGGGGCTGACTCACGCATCCGACTTGTCTGTGGCCAAGTTCAAGCCAGGCAGCACGTTTTGCATATTAAGAACCGCTGGCTCAGGGGGCACTGGGAGGCGCTTATGCAACTCATAGCCTCACAGCACTCGTGTTTGGCGAATCTAAAATGCATTACAAGCTGGGATGTTTATTTAGCTGGGATGTGTAACGGAATGTAATTGCCGGAATGTAATTTTATCCACTGTAATAAAATCCAGTGGAGGATGGGTAATTGCATTGACTGGCAATTATAGTTGAACCAATTCTCCGTCCCTTTGCCGCACCAAAAACTAAAACAATACAAAAAACATCATCGGAGTGTCTATCCAGTGGAGCATGGCGTGATCGGGCGGGATTTTCAGGCGGGGGATTTTCGGGGAGATGGGTTACTCGGAAAATGCCGCATCATCCGACGGCGGAAGAGTTGCCCTAGAGTTGACAGCGACCGGCACTGGGTAGACCTTTCCAATTTACATAAACCAATAATCGATTTGCATCCGACATGAAGAGTTATTTTAGTCACTGAGTGATCTATTAACAGGTATGCTCCGGGCTCTGTTTAAAACCTTTTGTGCCAAGCACGAGATCCGACGTCCGGCCATAGCCACACTACTGATTCGGTACCAGTCGATGAGGTATTAATAATTTATAAGGCGAAATAAAAGGTTTAATAAGCCATTACATAAGCCCGGCAAGTCAGTTAACAAAATAACAATATTATTTTTAAAAACGGCCTGGCTTTGACAGTAATGTGAGGCCTAAAATAATCATTTTGAATTCCCTCTGGGTTTTTATAATCTTTCACTAGTTTTATAATTGGCATTCGGTAATTGATTAAAAGGTTAGAAAGGTGATGTGTGGTTTGGGTTTTCAAGCCCCTAGAAGTATGCCCCGCACCAGGTAGCGTATTGAAGTTAAAGCTATACTAGATACAGCCCGATTGTCACTAAACAGCGGCATCATGACAAATGGATTAACTCCCCGACCAAATAGGATTTAAAATCGTTTAGCGGATCGGTTCTGGGGCATGCGTTCGTATTTATTTATTAGGTTTACTGTTCAAATCGATTGTTTAGCGTCTTTCTGTGGAGTCAAGATTAATCAGTTTGTTTTCATTTGGAGTGACATGAGACGGGCGTGTGTCGAAAAGTATCTCCAAGATACTTTACGTCAACTGTCGCCGAGCTATCTAAGGCACTTGTTAGCTCTTCAGCTCGGTGAATCGAACTTTCATTCGACGGGGGCCGTAAATTCGGCAAAAGTGCCAAGTGCCAGAGATTCAAGGCAATGCGATGTGTGTGTTTCTCTGTACCTACGTGGCTACGTCGGATAATTGCAAGAAATTCCAGTTATTGTCTCAAAAATAGCTACGATAAAACAACAATAAAAAATGCTCACAAAACACAATCGAATCGAGAGAGATCCGAGGCGAATTCCGTTGGGGCACTCGGCCATAAACTATGCATAACTAAGAATTCCAATCCCAACTGACTTTCAGGCGAGAACAATTGTAATTATGGGGCTGGGCTGGGCCGGGCTGGGTGAAAGTGAAAGTAATTCTTACGCTGCACTAATGTCAAGTGCTTGCCACTCACTCCTGGGCTTTTCTACAGATACTTTCAGATAGTTAGACAGATACTTGGTTCGGTCGCATCCACGAGTACGGCAAGTGATCGCTTAACCAGTTTTTTTGTCTGTTACCTCCACGAAGCTACGGAGCTACGCAGCTTTTTTCTCTTTTTAGTTTTGTTTTTTTTTTTTTATTTTGAATATATTTGTATGTACGTATCTATATGTTTTTGTTTTGGGTCGGGGTTTCCCTAGTCGGCCAATAACTCAATCTCCGATGTTTACCAAAAAGGTTTCATTCACATTCGTGGAAGCAAAGACCCCCATCGGGCAGTAAATTTTCCACTGGCCCATTTCGGACTTTACGGACTTTGCGGCCTGATATAGTATATATCATTATGTCAAGAGCATCATATGAATCTACTTTGCCACTTGTAGTACTACGGCCCTGACAAGACCCCGTGGTAATCTAGAGATGCGTACGCCTCCGATAAGATTCGATTTCACGGATATCTGTTGCCGCTACCACCCACCGCCCCACGGGCTGTTCACGGGCCGGGCAAGTGGTCTGGGTCGGGAATTCCTCCTCCTTTCGGCAGCCGTTGTCCGAGTGGATTTCTGGTTAGAGTGGAGTGGAGTGGAGACAAGTGCCGTGCCGCTCGGTGCCCTGGTGACGTACTACCGGTGGAGGCAGAGCGTCGGCGTGCGAGCATGGAGCTCGGAGTGTGGATCGTGGAGCACGGCGACCGGTGATCGGCCATCGGCGATCGCCGTATGGAATACGGAGCGTGTTTGAGTGGCGTTTAAAAAACGATCGGACGGCGTTCGAACAGCGTATAAATGGAGTCCCCAGACCAACTCAGCGTTCAGTCGTTTTCAAATCGCAACGGCGGCGAGAGCGTTTGAAAAAATACAATAGTTTCGATCTAACGACCCAACAGAAACGAAATCGGGCAGAAACGAAAGCGTTTGCAACAGTTGTGAATATGTATATGATAATTACCACGCCGCATTAAGAACGGCCACCCGTAAAGTTCAACCTACAACCTCTCTCCCGCAATCAGATCGAAAGGAGTTCTCCCCAACACCCTAAAAAATAAATATAATTAGCTAAATTAATAATAAAACCAAAAAAGAAACAACAAACCCGAAGATGAAGATCTTGTGCTGCGGTGGAAACAACGGATCCATGGAAATGGACTCCAAGAACCCCAAAAAGGGGGAGGAGGCAGTGGGCGAACGTAAGTGGAGCAGTGCGATAACAAAATACTGTCAACAGTGGTTAGATAACCCTCGAAAGTCCGGCCTCAAGTAACTATAGTCGATGGGAAATTACACAACCCCTTGAATGGTTTAGACAAATAGATTAGACACTCTCCAAAAAACACAGAATGATTAAATAGATAGAACGCTTGAAAGGAATTACCAGTCAGGACATAAATTTCCCTGAATGATTAGACCCAAACCTTGATCAACTTCACAAGTGCCTCGCCCATAAGAGCCCTAAAGCAATTAATTTTCGAGTGCCTCAAACCGCTAATTTTGTCAAAATATGATTAACTTTTGAATTGCTCGACGGTACATTATTTTTTGTGAGTAAATCTCAAGTGGAAGTGACGGTTCACTAAATAGTGGTGTGTTCTGTTTTTTGCGACTTATACAGGTGTTTGGCAGGTGCCGAAAATTAGTTTACGGCTTTAATGGCTGACGGAAGTGAGTGCAGGCTAATTACGCTTCAGGCCTGGGGAAATTATTAATACAAGCACTCGGGAGCTGACTCGGAAAATGGAAAATGATGGCGGGCAGACAGGAAGCTGCGGTCCACAAGTATAAATCATCAAAGTTCGTATGCAAATCGGGTCCCAGAACAAAACAAACCAACTATAATATCCGATTCACGTTTGTTTGGGTGGCCGACAACCGGGCGTATGTGGAATATATATCAACATACGGGTATTTTGTAGACAGAACACAACAAAGAGTGCTCCAATACTCGACTGACTGACTGTCTGACGTGAATCCAGTTTAGTACCGGCGGCTAATGAGCAACTAAAACAGCACAAAAATCTCAGATACTCGCTAGCCGACAGATACGTAGATACGTTCTTTGAACAATTAGAGTCAGGTCGGATAGCCGGTGGCGTATATGGCGAAAACATAAATCTCGCATATTTCCTATTATGTTCCTGCTTTGACAAAAAGTGGAGAACTCAGCTTTGATCTTTCCAATCTCCGCTAGAATGTCTGGCCCTTTGCCCTGGAAATAAAGGGATAAAGAGCCTTGCTAATTCCAAATGCAAACACGCCTTTAATATGTTTATTATCCATAAATCGCAAATCTTTATTTAGAGCCCGAATTCATTAGCACTCGATAAAGCTCTTCCGTCAGAGCATAAATTACACAAGTGCGCTCGAAATAAACAGACCAAGTTTGGATTACTTGTAATTGTATATTTAAATAATTTCACTAAATATTCAAATTGGCAAGGCAGGCGCCATGGCGCCCGCTAAAATATACAAAATACTGAAAACGAGACGCGAGGCTGACACGGAAAGTCAGGTCACAAATCACAGGTTGATCGGAAGGTTGACTCGCCAGGCCTATAGGCTCCAAAATGCACTTGGAGAAATTTTTTATAAAATAATCAATTTAAAGTTTTAGGATATTTTAGATAAAAAAGGAGTTCTAGAGGTGAAAAAGATACAATTCACTTAGATCACAAAAATTAAGAATAAATACTTTAGTATAAAGTAATTAAGGTAAAGATTTAATTAAGATACTTCATCTTTAAAGTATCTTTTTTTAAAATACTTTATTTATTATTTTAAACATTTAAACTTGACTTGAGACTAGAAAGCTAAATTACAAATTTTATATAATATTTCTTTGGCTCTTGAAATTTGTTAAGAAATAACAAAAAAAAAATATAATATTTCAATTCTGTAAGAAAACTGGTTTGTTCATAAGCAGATTGGTTTTTTTTTAGCTTATCAAGATAATGGATTGTGTGTTTCGTTTGGTACTTAAAATTGTACTTTATAGCTCATTACATTTTAGGTGCATTCTTTCTGAGTTTAATATTAAAATTCTTTAAACTGAAAGTTTACAAATTTCTTATTTGACAACTTTTATATGAAAGTATTTTTTTTGTAATTCAATGTGATCTTCAATTACTCTTCAATAATCAGTTTAAAAACCATTATTTTTAAACAAGAATGAGTATTTACTTTAGAAAATCTATTTAGTGTAGTATCACTTTGTTCCTTGAACTGATAACGGCCTATAAGTCGGCCAAAAAGCTGGCTTATCAGCTGTCGATCCGTCCATCCATCCATCCATCTACCCAGCGTTAACAAGGTTGGAAGGGTGGTGACGGGTGACTGGGCCGTTTCCGAGGCAGTTGTGACACCGCTGTCGAATTCGGAGCCACTTGACAAGCCACCCAGTGCCGCCCCTTCTGACAAAACTGTCATCAAGTGGCGCTCGCTATCTCAAAAAAAAGTGAAACAAAAAGATGGAAACCTTTCTGAAGTGCGTCCTGGACGTTTGAAAGTCATTGGTATTAACCTGTTGAGTGAAGGAAACTCCGCCTGCCTGAAATGGGCAATACCACTATCAGTCACGATAAGACCCATAATTCCCATAGGCCCTGATGTATTTACACTTAAAGCGTGTCAAGTCGTCGGCTGGCCCATTCATCAATGTGGGAACTCAAGAATCCAATTACAACCTGAAGTTGAGCTCAGAATTAGATGGTTGACTGATAATTGCTCCGCTAATTGCGTGACTTGTGGTTGGCGCTGGGTTGGGCTCTTCTTAGCGACTGTCCACCGTAGTAAACAATAACATTGCAGCTTTTTGGAAGCTTTCGAATGAAAAGCTTTCCGTTGCAAAGTGATCCAATTTCAAACCGCTTTCAAGTTCAAAGCTGCGGGCCAAACGATTTAAAATCAAAGATAGGAAATCGGATTTCTACCCCTTACATGACTTGGTCAAGTGATCGACCCGTAATACATTCCGGTCCCAAATTGGTTACATCAAGGGGAGCAGCAGATGACTTACGACTGATAAGCCAGCCCACCCCCCTGGGGGCACAAAAATATGCAAGGGGCCAGTGGGGGCTGCCAGTGGGTGGCCGACTCGTTTGCATTGGAGGGGCAACTGCCACGCGCTTTTACAACACAGTCAACAAATCACTCTAGCTAGCGGGACAACTAACGTCACTGCTACAGATACAGATACAATTACACATGCAGATAGAGATACAGATACTGCCACTCGGCGCTCGGATTAGGGGACGATGCTGCTGGTTAGGTGATCTGGCTGTTTGCGAAAAGCACCTGCGGATGCTCGGCCAAGAATCCATCAGTTAGTGAACAGGCTCCAAGCCGAACGGTAGTGATTTCTAATCAAGTCCTCTAGCTAATAATCTCTGTTGTTATTTCTCAAGAAGTGGAAGTTTAATTATGGTTACCACTGTGAAGAATCGTCGTTATGAAGATGAAGGTATGGTGTTCTTAAGGATTACTTTATTTTAAATGTCTCAAGTCTTGGTTTTTATTAAGCTCTTTAAAGAACCATAAATAATCATAAAAATATAAACCTTTTAGAGTGAGAATTAACTAATCAAGTTATTTTTATTTCTAAACATTCACTGATAAAGTTTATTTTTAAAATGTCGCTTACAAATTTTTTGAAAATCAAGAAAATAGAAAAATTAAAAATGTATAATCTATAGGTTTACCAAATGATATTCTAGAGGAAATTATCCTCCTTTGTGATTAATTTAATTTCTAATTTTCTAAAAAATTAAAAAATATAAAAAGGGTTAGATTTTTAAATTTATCCCCAAAAGCAGTTAGAAAATTCGAAGTTTTTCTGACCCCAAAATATTCCCAACCTGACCTCAGTTTTCTCCCAGAGCTCTGAAGGTCAAGCTAAAAATAAGTAGAGCACGAGACGATTTTCTCACCTGACCGCCAAGAAGAGTCATACAAAATCTCTTATCAGTCTTGATAAGAAAATATCCATAAAGACGAGCCCCCATTTCCAAAGTGCCTGAAGTGCAAAAACAAAGCAATGGGTGTGTTCCGGGCATAGAAATGCAAAAACACTTGTATTTTACAAGGACTGTAAAGTCATTTGAGTAAGCCCCTGTAACTGGCCTTTATGGTCTAGTTCACAGCTAGTTAATCACTGTCACTAAGAACGAGAATAAACAAACGAGGGATATTAGTTGTGAGAGACATACATATCTGACGAAATAGAGGGTTAAACGGGTTAGGCTAGTGGGTGGTTGGGAGCCAGACATCGGGAATGAAGTGTGGCCGGCACTTTGGCGCCATATCTATGAATGGAATTTTTTTAGCCGAAGCCCCGCGTCGGTAATCCAGGAACCAGAAACAGAAGCTGCCTCCCAAAATATATGTACTCGCAAATGGTTTGGCAAATAATTATATCTCCAGAGCTTGTCTGCCAGATGATAAGGGATGATAAATTCGGGGCGTAAATCGGGGTAAACATAGGAGAAAGATCCGCCACAGCTTGTACAGTGTCAGTCATAAATCCATTTCCAGTTATTTCTAGCCCACTTCTCTCAGGGGGCGCGTTATAGTCATTTTTTTTGTGGAAAACGCAAAATCTTAGCCACAAGCGACCTACAGGTGACCTACAGACATTACTAAAATATAGCTTCTCAACCAGGTATACGTATATTTTCTACGGACTTGTACCAATTCGAGCAGCTATTGATAACACGGCTGATAGCTGATAACCGTAACTAATCGATAGTGTCCGACCGCCCATTGATTGGGCTGAAGATCAAAACGGGATTCTGATTACACGGACTTACCTAATCGATTACGTTCTATTTTCAGATTCCGGGCTGGGCGTCCGTCACTTCCAGGTCTTCCTGCTCTTCTTCGCCCTCACGGTGGCCTATGCCCTCCGGGTGAATCTCTCCGTGGCCGTAGTGGCCATGACTGATGCTGCCTCCGCGAATCCCGATTTTCCCGTAAGTATACCAAAAGGCAGTTAGTATACGAGCATCTGAACTCCGATAATATTTTAATAATCCTTTATTTCTAAATTTAAATAAATTATTATTCGTCTAACATATTTTTTACATAAACATACAAAATTTTCAAAAAGTATCTCACAGATGACAGACCTTTTAAACACTCTATTATAAATTAAGAAAAGATAATTTTGTTAATAAAATAAATGTTAATAAATTATATAATTTTTTGTATTCAGGAGTACAATTGGTCGGAACAGACGAAATCCCTGCTACTGAGTAGTTTCTTCTGGGGCTATGTGATCACCCAAGTGCCAGCCGGTCAGTTGGCCCGCAAGTTCGGCGGCAAGATCATGATCCTCACCGGACTAACCATCTGCTCCGTCCTGACTGTTCTCACGCCTCTCTGCGCCAAGTGGGGTGGCTGGCAGCTGGTGTGCGCCCTCCGAGTGGTGGAGGGCCTGTGCCAGGGAGTGGTCTTCCCCTCGACCCACACGATCCTCTCGAAATGGGCGCCGCCCAAGGAGCGTGCCACTCTGGGAACTTGCGCCTACTCAGGAAACCAGTTCGGAACGATCATTATGCTGGCCACCAGTGGAGTGATTGCAGCCTCTCCTATCGGCTGGCCTAGCATCTTCTACATCTCGGGAGGAATCGGCTGTGTGTGGTCGGTGGTGTACTTCTTCTTTGGGGCCGGCTCGCCAGAGGAGTCCAAGAGCATTTCGGCGGAGGAGAAGAAGCTCATCGAGATGTCCCACGCCAGCGAGGTGAGCAACACCCCGGAGGTGCCCAAGGAGCAGCTGCCGACGCCATGGCTTGCGTTCTTCACCTCTCCCGCCTTCCTGGTGCTCATTGTGGCCCACTCCGTCCACAACTGGGGCTTCTGGACCCTGCTCACCGAGATTCCCAGCTACATGAAGAACATCCTCGGCAAGGACATCAAGTCCAATGCCCTGCTATCCTCGCTGCCTTACATCTGCATGTTCGCCATGTCCTTTGTGTTCTCGGCCATCTCCCAGCAGCTGAACAACCGCAACTGCATCTCCACCGTGACTAGCCGGAAGCTCTTCAACTCCATTGGCCTCTGGATCCCCATGGTCACCCTCATCGGCCTGGCCTACGTCGACCCCGAGCAGTCCGAGTTGGCGGTGGTGCTGCTCTGCTTCACCGTGGGCATGAACGGCGCCACGTACCTGGGCTACAACATGAACCACATCGACCTGTCGCCCAACTTTGCCGGCATTCTGATGGGCATCACCAACTGCGTGGCCAACATCATGAGCATCATTGCCCCACTTATCGTAGGATTCATTGTCACAAATGAGGTAGGATTAGTCAAGCCTTCCCTGATCGTTCAAATACTAAAAGCAATCCTCTCTTATTCCAGCATGATCCTTCGCAGTGGCGAATTGTGTTCTTCATCGCCTCCGGCTTCTACCTGGTGGGTAACACGCTCTATGTGCTCTTCGGCAAGGCGAATATCCAGCCCTGGAACGATCCCCCGGCCAAGCCCCGTCGCAACTCCACTCCCCAGATCGAGTCGCAGCATTAAATGCCTGCTCAGTGGGTTGCATTTAGTGATGACTGGGACAAGAAACTCCAAGTCCAAGTCCAAAACCAAGTCCAAATCCAAGTCCAAACTGTCAATCCTATACTATCCAGTGGCGATGCATTCTCGCATCGCCCGCGTGTATATTTGTAAATTGTATTTCTTTAAATGTAATCTTTGCATTCCCCCTAAGTGTTAAGTTTTAGTTAGTACCGAAATATATATATAAGGTCAACCAACCGAGAGAAGAACAATAAAAAGATATTCATGTTCAACATGTGGAAATGAAACCGCAGAACTTTTTTATTCCCACGTCAGATGGGAGATATTTTGTGGGTGGTTGTCATTCATCATTGATTCAAGTTTTAAAGGTTAAATCATTTCATTCAACAAATAAATATTCACTTAACTGGAACTATTTCAATTCATTATGATTTTAGCAATTACACTGTATTTCTGGTCTATTCAGAATTATATTTCTCAATAAAGGATTACCTAAAAATGAAATATGAATACTTTTTCTAAATTTCTAGGTAAGTTTTTGAATTAACTTATTTATTTTAAAATTTAAATCATAAAATTGGGAGAGTTTCATTCCTATTTTCCATTTTATTTAAATGAGTTAATCGTACGCCATATTTATATTCTAAAACTATTTATTTTTAATGCAGGTATTAATTAATTAATAAAGTTTTTTCATTCTTAAAAATAACCTACCACAAGAATCTATGAATGAAAACAATTAATCAATGAAATATTTAGCCTCTGAAACGCAAAAAAGTATGCTAACAAAAACGGTCGCACCCCGCCAATTCTACACTGTTCATTTTACACTGTAAAAACGAAGGGTAAAATACAATAGATGTCACGTAGAAAGATGTAGAAAACTTAAAAAGATACAATTCAAGCGAGACACGTGCGGAATCCAGAGATCTCTGAGATTGCTGATGTAGCAGAAAGGGTAGTAGACTCGAACTAGACACTTTTCCAACGGCTCCGCCTGCCAGATAAAGTTGGATCACCGAAATAAGTAGCGCTGGCAAATCAATTCTGCAATCATTTAATCCCCATTTCGAGCGTATCTCGTAGCGTAAGGAGGGTGCCGTGCACATTTTATAGCTTCGAACTCGGCGGTGAATCGAGGGCCTTGTGGAGGGCCGTGTGGGGGAGGGGGAAGGCCATGGAAAGACGCACATGGCAGTGGCGGGGCAAGCTTGTTGATAAGCGGAATTTGAATAAATGTGGGTTTATTTTTTTTCTTCTTTCCAGCACGCGATATGAACAAAGGCAGTATTATATGGCGCTGGGACTTAAAGTCATATGTATATAAATAAAATACATATGTATTTATAGTTGTCTGACTGGAATGCGAGAGTGTTTGACTCAACAACCTACATAGTTTGAATTCGATCCCCAGAAAAAGTGACATTTTAAATCGAATCTCGTTCGGGGTAAGTTCAGATTTTTATAACTTTCGACCACCACCCGTTTCATTCCCCAGCCACATGCTCTGATATCCCCAGAAGCCCCGTGATAACGGAATCCATTAAATGCCCATTTAAAAAGAGTTATTTGGAATCTGGCGAGATCTTATCGGGTCTCTATAAAACCATAAACCGTTGCTGTGTCCAGGGCCTGGGCACTTGTCCTATCGGTCTGCCACTTTCCTATAAATACAATATTTTTCTTTCACAGTAAATATTCTTTGTTTTTGCGAGAAGTACGGTTTTGAAAGCGATTTGCGTTCTTTAAATTAGAGGACTATAAATAAATGCCGTTAGTAGTAAATTAAAACATAAAACTTGGCGATATAACAAAACAAATTAAATTCCTCTTATATTAGTCATTAGTACACTAGTATTTATGGTATTTGCCTATTTTATTAAAGTGTTAAAATAATGAAATGGCAAAAAAATGAAATATTTTTCCCTCTAAATCTCTCGCTGTTGGAGTTCGTTTTGGCCCGGCCTCGGATTTCGGCCATCATCGTAAACTGGTTGACTGGGGGCCCAAAATATCGCACAAAGTAAAGTGTGCAAATCTCGGACGGAATGGGCAATGGGCAATGGGGGGTATGAGAAATGCGTGATAGTCGGCCGACTCAATGTGAGTCGGCAGTTTTCTGAGCACATCTCTCAACTGGCTCTCTTCGAAATGGTGAAATCATATAATGGGTGTGTGAGGCCCCAACTCCCCCCTGTTGCCACTATTTACGTCACACAACAAAAACAAAAATGGCAAACTCATTTTGTGACTCGTTTTCGAAGTGGAAGATGGAAGATAGCGGACGCAGCGGGAAGCAGGAGAGCGATACACATGGTTATCACGTGAACGGGGCGCCGAGCGTTCGACTCGGGTGCCTTCGTCGTGTGCGGGAAACGTGATCAAAGATCAACCGAGAGCGCGAGAGAGACTTGGGGCTCTTCACGCCTCTTCATGTGTGCAAAGTGTCCGTGTGGGCGAGTGTGTGTGTGTGAATTGGATTGGGGCCTGTGCGAAATGACAAAAACAATTAGCACAGTGTGGCGCTCTCTATCTGCTCTTCTCTATGCGATCGCATTCTTTGTCCCCTCAACCAGTGCCACCCCCAGCCCGCCCGCTCATAAGGTTATCGCTTGATCATTTTTGCACTGTTAACGCAAATACCCAGTGGTATACCGTATTCGTTGTTGTTTTTCCACAAATTATATTCGTTTTCGTTATTTTTGTATTTCGGAGCCGACTCTCCGCCTCGATAATGAATATAGTTAATTTTCATTTCACAACAAAATGCGAAAAGTCGTTTCCATTAAACCCAAACGCCTTTTTGCAAGTCACAATCCCAGGCCTAGTGCTCCGCCAGATAGATCTTAACGACCTTATGATGTCACTAAAGCTGCGATAAATCACCGCTACTGGCACTACGCTGCAAATGATAAGACAATAGAACGGGGTGTGCTCTGTTTTATAACCATCTTGAAATCTTCCATCTAGATAAGGTTTTAGGTGCTGCAGTGCGGACACGGGATTTGCCGAATGACTCAAGGCAAGCTTTTGGCCACCTCCGGCGGAAATAACTGCTCCGTGCCCGATTCCGTAGGATCTATTTTTAACGCCAAGCGACGCCAATTAAATTGAATCAAAATGAAAACGTTGTGTGCCGAAATAATAATATTTTCCGCAAATACTGCCGCGTCTTTGAGTGTTTGCCAAATGGCTGACCCAGAGACAGCTTCCTCCGCCGCTGCCTGACAGGGTGTTAATATTCCACCACGCCACGCCACGCCCACCTGTGCCACACCCACACAAATAATCCATAATCCCAGGCCCAGTCCGATAAAAGTTTCCAGGCCCGGACCCGCGCTAATTGAGACTGGCGGGTGGCAGGCCCATTCGCCGGACAATGGACAATTGGGTCTGATTGGACACAATTCAATTAGACCGCCAGTTGGTAACGCCAATATGCCCAAGGAATTCACACACTGGCCGCACAATGGACCTCCGCGGCGGTGTAATGAGCCATTTGCCCAAACATTTAGATGCCCCAGAGTTATAAATTCCTATATTGTGGATTATTCTGACTTATTTGCATGCAAAGCAATCAAAAGGCGCCACAAACCGATCTCCCATCGACCCGGGGATACTCTCTTCCAATTGCCCGGCCAATTGTGGGGCCTTTCAAACGGTAACCGATATTGATCAAAATTAATTACCGCTATCTCCGCCAACGGAAACTTTTGAAACGCTTTTCAAATGAGCGCCTCACGATTTTCGCACATGTCTTGATTGGATTCTATTAATAGCTGGAAGAATTCCTTTTCAAAGAGCTTGTAACGCCAACAGGCATTTTGTCTTTATCTTGTTGGTTTTGGAGGGCCAGATAATAATTGCTTACAAAGTTTCTATTACCTACAATATAAAATGATAATAAAGTTGTCTTTGAAATTCCAAGAATGGTTATGAGGCCTTTCAGATTTTTTTTTTTATAATTTGTACATCCTTTTTTAAGTGATGATTCCATTTTTATTACTCGTTGCGAAATTAATTTCGAAAGGTTCTTAAGTTCGAAGGTTAAAAACTGATCATGGTGGTCTCATCAAACTCATCACTCATCATAAGATGTTTATATTTTCCTTATATTTGCATTTGCTTTAATTTGCCAATTTATTTTCAAGGAGTATACAAAAAAAACAAAAATTAAATAAGCTCCTGTCTGGGTTGACAGAATTTAGACTCTTGAGTCACCTGAAAAAATTAAACTAAGATGAGTTCTCAATCTTGATTATCTTAATTACTTAATATTAAAAATGTTATATTTTTAATTCATTATAATATTCATACCAAATTTTAAGCAATTCATCTGGTTAGATTTGAGATATGGTCTCAAACGTATCGCAGGAAGTAATTTCGAGAAAAACGCTTTTATAGTTCCAGCTCAGCCGGTCTATTTCCACAAAACTCAAATAAAAATCATAAGGGATCAAATCATATCTAATAAATTATGAAAAAATTCGTTTCATTTCCTTAAATTTCTAGACTTAACTTGTATTATACTGATACTGATACTGATTTTAAACTAATAATATGTAAAAATTAATATTATTACTAATATAATTATATTTCAATAATCTGGGACTTATCCTTATATTACCTAATCCTTGTTATTTTTAATAAAAAATTTTTAATCTGGGACACACCCCAAAAATCGAATCGAATTAAATGCTATCGAATAAGCTCCCAAAATGTATATACCCTCCCCGAAGAGCATCAACAAAGAAAGAATCCAAATTTCCATAGACCAACATTGGCGATGGGAAAAAATAAAATAAGTGGCGGCGCCAACGCCTCAAACAATGTCCATTTGTCCGGGGACATTCGGATTAGCAGTGGAAAAAAACTCCCGGCAAACACCGGAGGAAAGGAGCCGAACCAGTACTCTCATCTGATACAGACCAGCACCTGATCAATGATCACAATTAGCCCCCCGTTTAGAGGGTTTTTGTTTGGTTACACCTGGCGTATACGTAATGCTGCGCAAATAATTTTCCACTCACAGATCGTACACTCTGTGTTTGAACAATTTGTGTAAGAACAAGGTTGCATATTAATTAGTCTGAGCCTCTGAGGGGGTGCGCCATAGAATGGGCTATACCATGCGTCTGGCATAGCCCCCAGTCATCCCCATAATTGCTCCTCATCCTGGTGATGACTGGACTGACGTCAAGCGGACAGACTGTTTGCCATTTGTCAAGTGATAAGCCACGGGTTCGCCGGTGCTGTAACACTCGCATCCATCAGTGCCACTGCCTGCTGGAGTGGGCGTGTCATCTGATTAGATTGCCATCAATGGGATTTTACGGTGGCCACTAAATATAGCCGGCCATTAATCCGAAATTCGGCCAAATCAATTCCCAAATATGTCCCATTAGAGGCGATGGTCAATACGTTTTGGTTTGGCAGATCCGGGCCTGATAAGCGGGTTGTGGATCGGCCCGGGGGCCGGCCTAAATATATAACTGCTCCCCGAAATCTGAAGATAAGCCCTCGATCGAACGTCTCGAGATCCGCCAACTTTCGCCATAGAATCGAACGTGCCTGCAAACGTGTCTGCCATGTGCCAGAATTGATTTGCCTTCGATGAAAATGCACTGTAATTAAATATTCCAAAGTGGCAAAGTTTCTAATTTATTGCATTTTTATGGGCAATAAAACTTAAGTAAGCTTCCCTGTATATATTGTTAAGTAATAAAGTTTGTTATTCAGAAAACACTTTTACTATTAGGAGGCGCTGCCCTGCAACGTACGGTTTTAAGAGAGAGATCCAAGTATATGGAAACTTGGCAGAGTTACGACAGAGAGTTTTTGTCAAAAAAGGATTGGTAGTCTTCCTTTTTTAAACTAGCTATATCTTATTTTCTATTATCTTTATTATTTGGGTTTCCCAACATTTTAATTATTTTTTTTTTTAAAGAAAACGACTACTTATGACTTGATTAAATATGAAGCGATGATTATGTTAAGTATGTTTGTATGATAGCTATTGTGAGTTTTATTCCATTCATTACATAAATAAATATCATGAATATCATTTATATTGATGTACTCATTTCTGAAAAATGGAAATTTTTTAAACGTGTGTTTATGGTCCTTAAAATTTCTCATAAAGTATCTTTATGTACTGGTTATATATTATTAGAACATACCTAATAATAGCTTATAAAAATTTTAATTTGTAGTAGAACACTTAAGAATTAAAAATTATACATATTTAGAATTTAGAATACATCAAATACCTTATAATAAAATTTAAAACAAATTATTTAAACAACATAAAAAGATGTATTAATTTTTTTCCATGTACAATTCGAAATAGAAATAGAAATGTGAATCGTTATCAGAGTTCGAACGGCTGTCGTCAGTGGCCTCCTGACACTTGCCCCTCTCCAGCCGCCCTGCCACCCCACCGCCCCACCAGTTCCCCGCTCCTCCCTCGGATGTTTGTCAAAATCAGAATGAATTTGCAGAGCGCTTCCTGGGGAAAAGCGGACGGGAGGAGCGGCGGAAGGGGGCTCGCCGTGCGATCGCCTGGTTGGCTCATTTAGTCGAGAAGCAAAGTCTGAAGTGTCGCCCGCTGATAAGCATAAATAATTTGTTTAAAACATTTCATTTTCAGCAATTATATTCTGATAAGCCGATGAGTGGGGGAAAAACAAGGAGGAAAGGAAGCCAAATAAACAAGTGAAGTAATTAAAGCCCAGTCCAAGTGGGGGAAGGGCTGGCGGGAGGGGATAACTCATGTCATCTTGAAATTGAAATTGCATTGATCAAAGGTCTCTGAATTGTTTTTCGTGTGCTATTCTTATGTAAGTGAGCAATCGATCAATCCAGAGCCTTGTTGCGGCCCTCCCGAGGCTTTGTTATGTCATTGCCCAGAGAGGTTCTACAAGGTGTCGGAGGGGGTGGGCAGGGAGCAGCGTCGGGGAGAAGAATCTCAAAGATGAGGTTGTGCTAGGCTGGTTATCAGGGGAAAACAACGACCTCGTCAGGGGTTTCATTATCTCGGAATACATTATTACAAAAATGCAACAAAATGAAAAATCGGTTTTCCACAGAATCCATTGGATTCGTATTCATGCCGTTATTTGTATCTGGAAGATACCAGAGTGCATTTCGCCAGCGAGTAGGAGGGAGCACGCATATCGGAGCCGTGGAGAGAGCGAGAACGCGTACTGTGACTAATTTTACAGCCTGCAACAACAACAACAACAACAACAACAGCAACAACGAAAAAAAAACAAGAGGACTAACGGGTGCAGGCAAAGCGGAGAAGGAGGAGAGTCGGCGATGAGGCGAGGAGAGTCGGAGGACGAGGAGGTAACCACTTGGCCCGAACTGATAACCATGTGCTGGCTGTGTTGGTGTTGTTTACTTACTCCCGTTCGCTGGTTCGGAGAGAGATCCGCACCCACACCAGTGCACTGCACAGAAAAAAAAGGGTATCTGTGTGTGCGGCGGAGTGCCAGCGTGTTCGGTTTGACTGATAGCGGCATTCACGCGATACACATGCTCTTGCTTTTATTTTTATTTTTTTTCCATTCGTTTTTGTTTTTGTTTTTGGCTCGAAGGTGCGCCAGTATTTGTGAGAGCGTTCGGGCAGCCGCTGCTGAGCACTCGAGCGGCCGAGTTCGATCTTATTTATAAAAGAATCGACCGCCGCCAGTTACTCAAGCAGTCGCAGTCGTTCGCCAGAACGTTCAAAACGTTACAGTCGCCGCTTAAATTTTCTGAAAATTAGTCAGTCAGTCTGCCAGTTCAGCCAGTCAGTCAGTCCTACGCCCATCAGATATCTCGGGATCTCTTGGACCGAGACCCGCGTGTCGATAATATCCCGAAAAAGAGAAAAGTCGCGTAGCAGGCACATGTTTCACAAAACTTCATAACGGAACCGGAACACGTTGCGCGATATATTCGGAAAATCGTATCCAGCAGAGATATATAACATTTTTCGAGAGACTCTCCAAAGTAAATACACACGTACCCGCGCCGCACACATGACCACCACATTGACCATGGTAAAGACGGGTGGAAAATACGCCAACGGTAAGTCACCAGGTGATCTCCCCATCCAACCCACTCAGTGGACCCCACCCTCCTCAGGCCTCTAGTCCGGTCCAGTCAATCCGTACAGCACGTGTCTTATGTAAGCGCCACGAGCGTCCGACTTGATCCGAGCTCTGAAAGCCAGAAACCGCCTAATTGACTCTCCAGCGTTAGCACGCCAGCACTCCCATATTTCTATCTGAATCTTGATCTCGACCGCCGCTCCATTTGTAGATACTTTTGTTATCCATTCGACTGGAAGCGATGCTTCAGCGGTTCAGAAATATAATTGCATTCTACGGCCATACATCAGCCAGTGTCTATAGCCTATAGAGTCTACAGTGTGTATAGAGTCTATAGACGACCTCCACTGCATCTGCATCCTTCGGACTCGGTTCGCTCTCCACGGCGAGATACAATTTAATTTTTCCTCAATTTATTTACGTTTTTTTCGACTTTTTTTTTTGGTTACGCTGACAAACAAAATAAAATCACATTTTAGCACTTTTCAACGTGATAAAAATAAACAAAAAGGAGGGAATCAAAGCGGAAATAGCGAGGAAAAGCGTGTGGGGCAGTGTTTCTGCGCCAATGAAATGAAAAACTTTAAATAGATCCCGTCGTCCCACTTGGGTGGGGGGTGGTTAATGGATGATGGTGGCTAGTGGATGGTGGAGGTGGCGGAGAACTGACAATTTAGTCAGCTGATAAGCTAATCCCAAAAACAAATTCGCCGCCGTTAATCACCACGTCCAAGAAGTCAACTATTTACACGTTCTAAATGCATGTGGGTGCCGCTCCTAACATTCGGTAAACAGTGGGATAGTGGGTGGTATACTAGTGCCCGCCTGGGTTGCTGTAACGCCCGATTATCTTATCGAATACAGAATGAGAATAATAACAAAGTGCGGGGACTTCTGTCCGCCGCGCCTGGAAAGCTCCAGCCGGGCAACCGAGGCAGCCGGGGCAGGCGGTGTTCCAGTTTTATCGGCAATCGGTTATCAATACGGCACACTTGACTCAGTTTTATGTGTGTGTCCTTCGCTTGTCCCGTTACCGGACAAAAGTACAGTCACCACTCGCAATCGGGATCCCTCCCTGCGTCCCCCCCCAACGGTGAGGTGCAATCAATCAAAATCTACGAAAATATACTATAAATGGCATCCAATAAACACTCCAAGCTCTGGTTTTATGGCGGCTCATAATTGCTGATTGATTCGGTACGATCAAGTCGGTGTATTCCGCAGAAAATTAGTTGGCAATCGCTATTTCGATATTCGGGCGGAGAACTGAGAACTCTCGGTTGCGAGACAAAAAGTTCTATATCTTGGCCATAAATTTCGGGCTGATACGCTACGCCCGCGGGGAAGACATTGCGCAAATAAATTTAAAAACGTGTCAGATAAAGCGTTCTCACACGACCACCAGTCATCGCGTTAAAAACCCGATAAACGCGGGCGGAGCAGAGACTGGGGAGGCCGCTGAGGCACCGAGAGAGTGGGGGCCAGAGGAAATGGAAGTGGAAGTGGGAGAGAGTGAGCTCAAAGTTCGAAACTCAAATGTGGGTTTCGACAAGGCATTTTTTTTATTTAAATTTAAAACTTAGGTGGAAAATGTGAAACCAAAAAAGAATTTCTCTGAGTCACACGTAACAATATTCGATATGCCTTTTAGTTCCTAACACTTAAGTATAGTTTCAAGAAGTCGAAGTGTAATTATAATTATGGGCTTTAGATTGAAACTCTGGCTTGGGGAGTTCAATAGACCCCAACGCCTTGTAAGGCCGCGTTGCAAGGTTGCCGGTGGTGAGGCGGTGTTGCAATATCTACCGTCTACCCTCCTCCGTCCACCATCCACCTCTGCGCACTCCTATTTATAAAGCCTAAGCCATTTATGGCCAGCCAAAGTCGGGTTTAAAAATAGCCAAACGCACAAATAACCGCCACAAATCCGCAAAAGGCCGCCAGCGGCCTAAAGAGAAGAGTAATGGGTCCACGACTACCAAACCATTAGCCAAGAAAGAGAGAGCTCACGTCACGTGAGGATCGGCCGAGCGCTTGATCGGCGAACAGGTAGTGTGGGCCACGGGAGGTACCTTACACTTTGTGGCCCGTGCATATTGGTGTAGTACAGCCCCGTCTTGTCACTGCTGTATTGCATTTTACACAATTGCAGTTGCAGTGGCCGATGCAGATGCAGATGTAGATGCAGATACAGATACAGATACAGCACCTGCAGCCGCCACAGATACATTTACATCAAGTCTCTCGATATTCGCTCGGGCGATGCTTGCGTCTCTGTCGCACGCATGTGCGTGAACAAGATTTTGACATAGTCACAGTGTTTTATAAATAAACGCGCCCCACATACTTACATGGCTACCAGTTTGGGCCTAGTCAGATCAGAGAGGGCCAGCCAGAGAGAGAGAGCCAGAAAGAGAGCTGATAAGACAGCGAATGAGAGGGGGCGCGAGAGTGGCGCATTCCGCCGGCGGTGTCTTACCAATTCACTAACCCGATCTCTTCCATTGCACTTCCAGAAAAATTCTTCGGAGTGCGGCATGTCCAGTGCGTCCTGTGCTTCTTCTGCCTGGCGATGAGCTACGCCTGGCGGGTGAACCTCAGTGTGGCACTGGTGGCCATGGCGCCGCCCAAATCGGACAACAGCACCACCGACTCGTTGGCTGATAATGGAACGCATAACTCAGCAGGACTCTTGGACGCCGACGTAAGTAACTTTCCATAATTTACAAAATTTTTAATTGGAATTTGACTGATATTTAAAGTTGGTTTCTTGAATAGAGAAAATATTAATTTTTAAAACATTTAAATAGTGCCTCAACTTGAAAATTAATTTACAATATTTTTGCGGTTTTTGGGGTTTTGAATGAACTTGGAGAAACCGCTAGTTTTAACCAGAAACCTCAAAACAACAGTTTCACGATGATTCCAGTTATTATCGAAATGAAAAAACAAATATTAAACAATTTATTAATATTATTATTTAACCCCACAGCAATACTACAACTTCACCGAAACGCAGAGTTCCACCATGCTGAGCAGCTTCTTCTTCGGCTACATCGTCACCCAGGTCCCTGGAGGATACATCGCCCAGCGCTACGGAGCCAAGATCCTGCTGATGTGGGGACTGGGAATCGCCGCCGTGATGACGATGATCTCGCCGTTCGCTCTGAAGTTCGGAGGATGGTTTGCTCTATGTGGTGTGCGATTCGCCATGGGCCTCAGCCAGGGTGCAGTGCATCCAGCCACTCACTCGCTGCTCTCGAAATGGTCGCCAGCGGAGGAACGAGGAATTCTGGGAACCATTTGCTACTCTGGTGCTCAGTTCGGAACTGTGGTGATGCTGGCCACTAGTGGATTCATTGCCGACTCCTTCCTGGGCTGGCCAAGCATCTTCTATTTGGGTGGAGCTTGCGGATTCATCTGGATATTGTTCTGGCACTTCTTCTCGGCGAGCACGCCCGAGGAGCACAAAATGATTTCCGAGGGAGAACTGAAGTTCATCACGGAGTCCCGCAGCGACGGAAAGATGCAGTCTGCCGAGAAACTAGCGCCCACTCCCTGGCTGGCCATCTTCAGCTCTATGCCCTTCATCTCGCTCTTGGTGGTGCACTGCACCCACATGTTCGGCTTCTGGCTGCTGCTCACCCAGATTCCCAGCTACATGAAGAACATCTACGACGTGAACATCAAAGAGAGTGCTCTACTGTCGTCTTTGCCCTACATGGTGATGCTGCTCATGAGCTTCTTCTTCGTGTGGCTGTCCAAGGTCCTGCAGCGCAAGGAGGGAGTATCCTTGTCCCTGAACCGGAAACTGTTCAACAGCATTGGCCACTGGATTCCGGTGTTCTCGTTGATCGCCCTGGGCTATGTGCCGCAGGAAGATGCCCCTCTGGCGGTGACTCTTCTCTGCCTGACGGTGGGCATTAGTGCAGCCACCTATCTGGGCTTCCAAGTGAACCACATTGATCTGTCCCCGAACTACGCCGGCACTCTGATGGGTCTCACGAACGGAGCTGCCAATGTGATGAGCGGTATTGCTCCTCTGGCTGTGGGCCAGATTGTCCAGGATAGGGTGAGTTTTATTACCGAAATACCGAAAGGAACTTTCTGTTTATTTTCGTCCTTCTATTTTTTAGTCGAGCGTCAGTGACTGGCGATTGGTATTCTTCCTGGCCGCCGCGTTCTATTTCGTGGGGAACTTGCTGTTCATCATCTTTGGACGCACGGAAGTCCAGTGGTGGGATTCTCCACGGGATCGGGAAAACCGCGAAGATGCCGAGCAGGGAACACCACTGGCTCCCAATGGCCACAACAAGTAGAAGGGCCTTCGGCCTCCAGGCATCCCAAATCCTGAAGAATCCATCATCGGGGCTGTTGTTTCGTAGTTTCTTAAGATTTAGTTAGTTAGTCACTAGATAAAAGCTGAAAGGTTAAATTTAGTGAGAATCGCGTGCTTCCATTAGCGATATTATACGGTAATTGATTAGTCGTAAGGCAGCGTAAATTATTATTGTTTGCAGTATTTTCCATTACATGTACATAAACAAAAAAATTAAACTTGCAACTCGAGAAAGCGTTCAGTGTAAATAGGCTGCTAAACAACACACCTCTAGTAATTGTTATGTTTTAGTTTTAAGCTAGGAGCTACGTTAACCAATCTTGTGATGAAACAAAGTAAACTAAAAAAGGCAAAAAGAAAACAAAATCAAAATATCAAGACAAGCCATGAATAAAACAGCTCATATGGTAGCTGAATTTAGTCAAACTGTAACAAAATCGTTCCTTGTTTTATTTCACTGGGATTTGAATTTGATAAAATGGCGCGCATATTATCGATATTCGATAGCTATCGTGTTTGTGTATCGGAGCCTATGTGGATTGATTTTGTTCAGTCACTTGGGAACATGACTTTTAAGATTATTATTTCATAAGAAATGCTCGCCATGTATATGTAAGAGAGATTTTGCAGTTTTTATAGGAAAAAAGATTTAAATATAATATACTGAATGAATGATTATAGTCTGAAACATAGCTATCTTAATCAAATAACATTGGTTAGATTAAAATTAGCAAAATGTGTTGTAAATCTAAATATTTTTTTAAAGAATATTAAATTGTTTTTGTTTAAAAATTTGGTTTGCTTAGCTTAAAAAGTTTTTTTAGTGTAAGCATTGCGTTCTCTAACAAACTATCGGTAACAAGCACTTGCTCCGATAGTTTTAATAGTTGTGGGAGTTATCTTAACTGGTACGATTCCATCAGCTGTGTTATGTTTGGGCGCTTGGGCGAACCCGTCAACCTCCTCCCCTCCGTGAACGCCCACTCCAGTCCGCTACGTGGAAGAGATCGACTTAAACTGCACCTGGAATATGGTGCTGGGATGTCTGCCCTGTTGCAACCGCAATGGCTACCAGCAGATTGGAAATACTGGTGTGTACCCCATGGGATATAAGGCCGTGGCCTTGCGTGGTCTTTGTTTCCGCTTTCTACATATTGCGTTGCATTTTTTGCAGGGCCTCGCTTTGGAGTGCGTCATCTCCAGTGCATCCTGGTTTTCTTTGGACTGGCAGTGGCCTTGTTTTATTTCACTGGGATTTGAATTTGATAAAATGGCGCGCATATTATCGATATTCGATAGCTATCGTGTTTGTGTATCGGAGCCTATGTGGATACATTGATTTTGTTCAGTTACTTGGGAACTTGACTTTTAAGATTATTATTTCATAAGAAATGCTCACCATGTATATGTAAGAGAGATTTTGCAGTTTTTATAGGAAAAAGGATTTAAATATAATATACTGAATGAATGATTATAGTCTGAAACATAGCTATCTTAATCAAATAACATTGGTTAGATTAAAATTAGCAAAGTGGCTTGTAATCTACATATTTTTTAAAGAATATTAAATTGTTTTTGTTTGAAAATTTGGTTTGCTTAGCTTAAAAAGTTTTTTCAGTGTAAGCATTGCGTTCTCTAACAAACTATCGGTAACAAGCACTTGCTACGATAGTTTTAATAGTTGTGGGAGTTATCTTAACTGGTACGATTCCATCAGCTGTGTTATGTTTGGGCGCTTGTTGGACCCGTCAGCCTCCTCCCCTCCGTGAACGCCCACTCCAGTCCGCTACGTGGAAGAGATCGACTTAAACTGCACCTGGAATATGGTGCTGGGATGTCTGCCCTGTTGCAACCGCAATGGCTACCAGCAGATTGGAAACACTGGTGTGTACCCATGGGATATAAGGCCGTGGCCTTGCGTGGTCTTTGTTTCCGCTTTCTACATATTGCGTTGCATTTATTGCAGGGCCTCGCTTTGGAGTGCGTCATCTGCAGTGCATCCTGGTTTTCTTTGGACTGGCAGTGGCCTATGCCCTGCGTGTAAATCTCTCAGTGGCCATTGTGGCCATGACGGATCGAAATGCCAGCAATCCCGATTTCCCGGTTAGTAACTTTAAGTGGTTACTTAATACGAAGTAATTGACTTTTGACATTTTTAGGAGTTTGACTGGAACGAGAGCACAAAGTCGTACCTGCTAAGCAGCTTCTTTTGGGGCTACGTGGTCACCCAGATTCCCGGAGGCTACCTGTCTGCAATTTACGGCGCCAAGTATATGCTCTTCTATGGCATTCTGATCTGCTCGTTTCTGGCTCTTCTGACACCCTTTTGTGCCATGACTGGAGGCTGGAAACTGGTGGTAGTGCTTCGTGCCGTTCAGGGTCTCTGCCAGGGCGTCATCTTTCCTTCAACGCATACATTCCTCTCAAAATGGGCTCCGGCAGAGGAGCGTGGTCGCCTCGTGGGCTACAGCTACTCGGGCTCACAGTTTGGCACTGTGGTGATGCTGTCAGTGAGTGGCTATATAGCCTCCTCCTCGTTGGGCTGGCCCAGCACCTTCTATGCGCCTGGTTGCGCCGGCATCCTGTGGGCTTTTGTGTGGTTCTACTACTGTTCCAGCACTCCGGCCCAGCATCCCACTATAACGCCTAGTGAAAGACGGTATATTGAATCCTCCGGACAGACAAGGAGACCCTCGGATGCGGGACGCGAGGAGCAGCAACCGAGGCCAAAGACACCCTGGTGTCGCATCTTGACGTCTGGCCCGTTCCTGGTCCTCGTTTTGTCCCATTGTGCAAATAATTGGGGCTTTTGGACGCTTCTAACAGAGATTCCCACCTTCATGAAGAATGTCCTGGGCATGGATATCAAGAGCAATGGCCCATTGTCGGCGCTGCCCTACTTTGCCATGATTCTGTTGACCTGCGTCTTCATCTGGCTATCGGATGCAATGAAGCGGAGGGGCACTGTGCTTCCCCTTGGATTCTCCCGCAAGTTTTTCAACACGCTGGGCATGTGGTTGCCAATGCTGGCATTGATCGGCTTGGGCTACATCACCGAGGGCGAAGCCAACGTCCGGCTGGCCATAGTGCTCTTAACCATGGCGGTGGCCACCAATGCGGCCACCTATCTGGGCTTCCATGTCAATCATATCGATTTGGCACCCAATTTCGCGGGCACTCTGATGGGGATAACCAATTGTGCTGCGAATTTCATGAGCATACTGGCACCTTTGATCGTGGGTCTTATTGTTTGGGATGAGGTAAGCTAACCCTCTTAAATATATTTAATCTTATTCTTAATTTCGTCCATCTTTTCAGACCAATCCGGCTCAATGGCGAATAGTTTTTTTCTTTACTGCTTTTGTTTACTTTATGGGCAACCTGCTTTTTATGCTTTTCGGAAGAACCAGTGTCCAATCCTGGAACACCCCCGCTGGAGCAAGGAATGGTTCGTCGGGATCTGTACCAGAAGCCGAGGCTGGGGAGGATCGAGAGCCGCTGATGGGTGCCTAGAGGCAAATATGTGAAAAGGTTGTTTGATAAATGTGAAACTTTTGTACCTAAAAGACGAAGCACATTCCATGGAATTGATTGATCGCAAATAGCTTCGTAGTGCTATTATTTATGTCTATTATATACCGAATATATATGTATATGTGTGTAACTATAGTGTATTTCAATTATTTATGTACAAATACAGCAAGCCAACTCGTTTTGAGTGTATTTTACGTTTCGTTTTATTGGTATTTGTATTTGTTAGTACATAGAGATGCACGTATGGTACAAGACTTAAGGTTGGCTATGTGGTATCCTGACATAAGGCTAATTCTAACGCCTATTCACTAAATTCTCTAAACGGAAATATCAAGGTTTATGCCGGGGAAGATCCTTGACAGGATTTCGTTCTCTCTTCACTTAATATTTAGGTATTTTCGTTACATCAAACCAGAAGTTCCCGGATAGGATCTTCGATATTTGTCCATCCTATCGAAGAACTTCCAGACTCTTAACATATTTGTAGTTAAAGCTAGGTAATTACAAGTGGATACGGCGGATTCCCACCACTATCCCCTCTGCCCCTATGTACATGGAAATGCTCCCCGTCATCGTCCTGCGCTGGAGGACTCTGCTCAGTGCAGCTTGTGGTTGGCGGGCAGATCCTCAGAGCGGATACAGCGTCCGCGGTAGCAGATCTCCGTCTCGGAGGTGACTTTGGTCGACGTCGAGGTGGCGTACACCACATGCTCCATCAGGTCCTTGTGGAAGCTATCCTTTTTGCTCTCCGCCACGGTTGCCTCCGTGGTGGTAGCAGCCTCCTCCTCCGCTGGTGCCTCAGTTGTCTTCTCCTCCGTCGGCGTGGCAGGGCTGGTGCGACGGATGCTTGTGTACTCCTGCCGGCGCTTGCCTACCGCTGCCAGGGCGGCGGTCACAGCCTCGTCCTCACTCTCCTCGATGGCGAAAAGATCATGCAGCTGCTTCTTAACTTCCGAGAAGATGCTGGGCTGCGATTCCAAGTCGTCCACATCCGCTGCCGTGTCCATCCGGCGCGTGGCACTCTCCTGGCTCATCGGGAACGTGGAGGTAATGGTGGCCTCTTCAGTGGCACGGGATGTGGTCACCTCGTACTCCTCCGGAGTGGTGGGCGAGGCCACTGTGGTGGTAATCGCCAGGGTTTCCGTCTGGGCTTCTGTGGATGGAGTCAAAGGCGTGGTTGTCTTGGGCAGCTCCTCCTTTTCGCCGGCTGCCTGAATTGCGTTCAACAACTGGGGACCCAGGTTCTGGGACTCGGCAGTCTCGAAGTTTTCGGAGTTGTCCGATGCTCCGGACACGCGCTTCTTACTCCACTTGCCACGGCGGCTGAGGCGACCCAGAGTGGTACTGCTGGGAGAGTCAGTGGACTGCTCCTCAGGAGCCTTTCCCATTACCTCCTCCAGGAGCTCGGCAAAGGACTTCTCGGGTCTGAAAAGAGTTCGTATTTAATAGGAGTTCGTCATGGAAGTGAGACCTCAGACTTACTTCAGATTTGGTGCCTTCAAGGTGGTGCGTTGACCCGAGGCGCCACTTAGGTCAGCTGCCACATTGAACTCGTAGGTCTCGGGCTGCTCCGTGGGTCCCATGGTCACAATTTCGGGTTCGTTCTCAAAATTGTGCGTCTCGGTTTTGGATTTGGGATTCAGAGGCTTGAAGCTGTTGGAGTTGGCATTGCTGTTAGCTGTTTCCGACGAAGGGGACCACTGGGACTCCTGGCCATCCAGCTGGAAGGGCTGTTTGTAGCGGCGTCGGTGGATGATGGGCGAAGTCTTCAGGAAGGTTCATGTGAATAAAAGTCAATAAAAACTCCCTCTCTAGCTTACCTCCTTTTCCCTGTTCTCCTGATTGCTGAAGCGACTCAGCTTACGAAGACTGGGCTTCTGGGTCACGGGTTCCGATTCCTCTTCAGGGGCCACAGTAGAAGACGAGGCTGGGTGGACAGGACGACGCTGGCGTTGGCGCACCTTTACAACTCGACGGGGTGGCAGACGAGAACGGATCTTTGGGGTATCAAAAGTATTAGAAATCTATCAGGGTAAAGGATATCAATTAACCTACCGAAGGCCTCTCCTCCGATGGCGTGGTGGTGGTCACGGGAGACTCTGTGGTCGTTGTGGTCCTTAACCTTGGATAGTTCCTCCTTACAAACGGTGATCGTCGCGTGGTTGTGGTGGTGGTTAATGGGGCCTCGGTGGTCGTGGTGGATGTGGTCGTCGAGGGCGTGGTCGTGGCCAGGGTGGTGAAAATGGGACTGATCTCGTTCCGGACAATAGCCTCTGTGGGATTCAGGTCCTCTTGGTTGGGGAAGTAGCCGGGACCGTAGTTGTCCTTGGAAAACTCCTGGTAGTGCTGAGCAATCTGCATAGGTTCCAAAAGATTCGCCGGGAAACCTCCTTGGTCAACGCTGCTTCCGTCGATGCTGTTGCTTGGAGTGACCGTGTAAACCTGCTGCGACTCGGAGGCTGGTCCTTCAGTGGTACCCTGGACATCGTAGCTGCTAGGAATGGCCGTTGGACTGGTGGGTCGCCTGGAGGAGGCCTTGAACACCGGGTAGTTCTGCTTCAACACATCCCGCTGGTAGTCCAAGTCCTGATCTTCGCTTGGCTTTCCGTTCTTTGAACCCTTCCTGGGCTTGGTCTTCAGGGTCTGGCGCTCCTCGGTGGTGGGCCTGTAGCGAATGCGATTGGGATTGCGGATCAGAGGATTCCTGGCGCTGGTGGGGCGACGAGTGGGGGTCGCAGCAGATTCCTCCCCTTCGGCAGCGGGGGCGGTGGTTCCTCGACTGCTGTACGGCCTCCTAATCCTGGTTGGGACCTTTGAGCCAGTCGACTCAGACTCGGAATATGACACGGCAGAAGAAACCTTGGTCACAGCCGGTTTCCTTGTGCGCAGAATAGGCCTCCTGGTGGGTCGGGTCTCCGGTTCCGGCTCAGCCAATGGCGTGGTGGTGGCCAGAGCCGGCTGGAGCTTGTCCTTCTCCTGCAGGTTGTTTACCAGTCCGGGAATATCCGGAGTCAGAGGAGGGAGCTCCGAGGGCACATGGTATGGGTTGGGTTCGTAATCCACGTTGCTGTTGTCCAGAATCTCATTTTGCACTTGATTGTAGCTGGGGCGGTGGTTCAGGGGGGCGTCCACATTGTTGTAGCCCACATCCGAGGTGGTCACTGGCACGGCGGCCGGGGTGTAGAGATTCAGCCTCTGCTTGGTCTTAATCCTCTGCGTGGTAGTTGTGGGAATAGCAGCAGCCTCGAAATCCAGGGAGCTGGGAGTATATTCGAAAGGCGGGTTGGTGGTGTGTGGCCTCTGCCGGAAGGCATCCTGCTGGCGGAAGTACTGCTTCATCCTTTGCTCCTCCTCCGCAGTGGTACTGGTGGGGGGTCGCGTCGTCAAACGGGGCAGCGGATCTTGAACAGGCTCCTGCACATACTGGGGATACAGTTGGCCACTGGAGCCAGGGAACTCCACCTGGGGTCGAGTGCTGTACGTGAACAGGGATTGCGGGGCAGCGGTAGTCGAAGTGGTGGACGACGTGGTGCTCGTCGTGGTGGTGGAGGTCGAGGTGCTGCTAGGCTTACTGATCAGAGACTTGAAGAAGTCGTCGCCTCCGATCTGGTTGAGGTTGTCGAACGGGCTTTGTGACTGGGGCTTGGTGGGACTGGGCCTGTAGACAGACTGATCCACCTGGACGCTCTGCGGCCGCTTCTTCTTGTGCCTTTCCTGCTTGGCGGGCACCTTCGGGGAGCTCACCTCCTGGATGCCGTCCTGGACGTAGTAATAGCTGAACTTGTTGCCCCTTCCAGGAACGCCGCCCTGAGATTGCGTGGTGGTCTCGAAGGGGTTCCGGGTGCTGCTAACCGTGGCATATGGCCGCTGGGCAGGTCGCTGGGGTGCCAGAGAGGCGCCACTGTCCTTGGCCCTGTTCACCACAATGGAGCCCACATGGGGCTCTGGCAGCAGGATCTTGTTGAAGCCATTCGGTGTTCGGTAACTCAGAGGAGCCACGAAGAAGGACACATCGCTGAGGTCTCGATTCTGTGTCAGCTGTGACAAATAGGGGAGGTCGAACTTGACATAGCCATCGGGAATTGGCATACCAGCCGGGCCCACAAAGATCTCGGGTGTCTGCTTGGTGGGTGAGTCAATCACGGAGATGCTGTGGGCATTCCTGAGGGCAGCCACCACATCGGAATGCGAGGGGCGGGAGCTGGACCGGAGCAGGAACATGGCCAGCGGAGGCTGGTGGGCCTTCGGTTTGGGCTTGGCGGTGGTGAACTGCGTCTGTGCCTGGGGCTGCGGCTGTCCGAAGCTCTGGAAGATGCTCTGGGGCTGACTGGTGGTGGTGCTTGGCCGGGTGGTGGTTCCCGTACTGAAAAAGTCACTGCCCACACTAGGATCCTGCGTGTAGAACTGGTTGATCTGGTAAGGATTCACGGCTGGCAGTCCGGGATTTACGTTGAACTTGTTAACCTCAAAGTTGGAGCTGCCTGATGATCCCGCTTGTTGGCGCTGCTGGTTGTACAGAGTGTCGTAGGGCACGTAGAGGAGCTGCACTTCCTGATCCCTGTTGGAGGAGGGAGCCGCCGAAGGAGCTGCCTTGTTCAGTCCGAAGAGCGACTCCGGCTCGGGGTCGACGGGAAAAACTTGTGGGGTCACGCTCTGCAATGAGGGCTGAGTGGGCAAGGGCTTCCCCAGGGTCTTCGGAGGCAGTATATCCTGCACATAGTTCTGCTGGTGGAGAGGCTTGTTCAGAGCCTGGGCCAAGGGCTTCTGGGAGCCCAGAAACTCGGACCCAAAGGACGGAGGTGACTGCTGTCCGAAGAGGGAGGGGGGACTAAACAGCGAAGAAGGAGCAGGGATTCCGCCAGCTCCTGCTCCGAAGGTGTGTTGGATTTGGTAGCCAGTTTGGAGAGTGGGTGGCGCCTGGGCCTGGCCCTCGTTGTTGCCGTTGTGGAAGGGCATCTCGAACTTGAAGAAGGACTGCGAAGTGGGCTCCTGACCTCCCTTGGGCGGCGGTGGCGGAGGAGGTCCCTGTCGCAGAGGCAACGCCTGGCCGGCTCCATTGGGGAACCGCTGGAACTGGTAGGGATAGTCGAACTGAGCGCCTCCGGCCTTGGTCAGATCTCCGAACCGAGCACTGGGAGGGAAGGTCTGGGAATAGGTCAGCACTCGTCCATTGCCAGAGCGGTCCTTGCTTCCGTCCAAGGGCTGGGCCAAGGGCACCCAATCTAGAGAGTCCGTATCGGCGGTGGCAACACTCTCCAGTTGGCGCGACCACTTGGCCGAGGACTCTTGGTTTTGGGCGAGACTAGCTGTGGCCAGGAGGCACAGCCAGGCGGCGGTAAGTTGCATGCCTCGCATTATAGCTGAAGTGCCTGTAAGGAAGCAATATTAATGAAGTTGATTAGATTTTTTGCGAGAAATTGAGGAAGCCAGGTGGCAAGGAGTGTCTGCATTAAAGTAAAACTTAATTTTTTATGATCCCCATAATTTCAAAATCAATTTCGCACCCATTTTTCGGAGCAAAGTATTTCCAACTACAATTAAAAATGTTGCAATAAAAATACTCCCCGCAACCAACCAAACGCTCATTATTTTTTTGGCCAATTAAAATTGAAAGAAAGGTCACCAGAGTTAGCCTTTGTTTTGGCCAAAAAATTAAAAACTGCCAGAACGCCAAGAAGTACCTAAACCAGAACACCCAGAACCGGTACTCGATTGTCAGTTGTAATTATAAGAAAATGCAAATGTTGGGAGTATCTTAAGGTATTAACTTGGCTTGAATGACTGCCAATGGGAGGCTTTGGCCAAGGTCGCTGCTGGCTCTGAATTGAATTCTGAGCCATTTGCATTTTTCATGATCGGCCACGACCGAGGGGCAAGTGAAAGGTTTCTCCCCGTAAATCAACGGATAATTGCCGGGTCTCGGGTCTCGGCTTGCTATTTTGGTCTCTGAGGTGGATGATAATTTAAATGGTGGTTTGCTGGCTGGCTGTTTGTTGGTATCTGGCGGTGTGGCAAGTGTAACTGTAAGTAACTGGTCGGGAGCGGGCCATAACTGCCAGCCAAGTGGCCATAATTGTGCGCTTGTTTTCATTTGGCCAATGCGAGAAATTGCAATACTTAAGGCGAAACCGACTCTGGGACTGCCGCTTGGTAATGCACCATTGAGTAGCCATGATCCATGAACCACGATCAATGATCGACGACAGATTTCCTCATTGCAGAAACGGTTTTGCATATGTCTGGGCAGCTCCACCTCTCCAAATTGCATCATCTGCGATTGCGGCTTGGACTTCGACTTGGAACTGGTAATCGCAATAATCATCCAGTTGGGCCTTATTTTCATTTATTTTTTCTTCGGAGCAAGTAGCAGCACCAGCAGCAGCCAGGGGCAGCCAGAAGATTCGCTTTATGAATATGAAAACGAAAGTGAAGCTGGCAAGTGACCAAACCTGAACCTGACCGACCACTGACCAAGCAACTTGCCACTGCAGCTTGCCCCGCCGATCCCCAATCGCCCATCTCCCATCTCCGACCGGAGCGGAGCGGAGCACTTTCGTTTTCACTTTTTCACTGAATTAATCGCACATATGCCTGCCTGGTTGGCCCCCTCCGAACGGATGCCGCATTAAATGGGTTAAACGAAAGCAAAAGTCCGCGAAAAAAATCGTAAAATAATGCGAAATATCGTAACAGCGAAAAACGGAACTTGCAGCGGTGCAACAAGTCGGGAGAGCACTGTCTACAGGTGGCACAGTGAAAGAAGAAAGTTCATTCAGCGGTCTCGCCGTTCAGTGGGCTATTAAAAGTGACACTGCGATAAATTGGACTGTAATTTGTTAAATGAGAGATAATTTGAACTTCTTATGTAATAAAAATTTACATTCATTCAGTTACCAAAAATTGAAATTATGGTGATATTACAAGTATAGATTTTGTGAAGACGTTTCTGATTTGTATTATTTTTATATTTTAATCTAAAGTAGTCAAAAAGATACAAAAGGTATTATAAATAATAGAAATACGAATTTTAACTAAAAATGATGCAAATTCAAAGAAGGTATGAGGTAAAATAAGAAGGTATAGGTACGATTCTTTGAATGGAACTTTCAATAGAATGATCTATAACTATTTTCAATAAATCGGAAATTTGGGAATATTTTTAAAATAAAAAGAGATGATAAAGACAACTCAAGCCACTTAAACCTTAATTATCCTAAAGTTGTGTTATCATTCCATCGAACTAGAGCTCTTTCATACCCCAAACCTTTACGATTAATTGCTTTACTTTTTCTCACTGTACTATAAAAAGAGATGGCTTGAAAATAATAGAAATTAGACACACTTGCGGTCAATATTTCGGACCGCCAATCCAAACCAGTTGTCTCGAAAAAACGAAAACGAAAAACCAAAAACCAACAGCACAACCCATTGTCACACCTCAGTGAATAGAGCAAAAAAAAAAAAATAAGACAAAAAAACTGAATAGAAATGGAGAAAGAGGTAATGGACATGGCAGTGCACTTGAAATCTCCGGCGATCACTGAAAGTGAAATGTGACAATGCCCTCAGAAAAGTCGGGAAGAGGTGGCGACTCGAGGGGAGGAGATGTCTGGGCCAGGTAACAGGCAATTTCCCTTTCATTTCGAACCAAAAACTGAAAGACATGCACACACATCTGGCGGAATCGAAGCGGACTTTCCTTGCTGGCGGGGGCGTGTATCTGTGTATCTTACAGATTAATTGCATGGCAGCCTGGGTCGTTGGACGTTGGTCGCTTGTTTTGGCCTGGCCGAAGCCACAGAGCCGGATGTAAACAACAGAGGGCTGAGTCGGCTTTCAATTAACCGCCAGATCTTGGCTGAAATCCATGAAGGGATTATGTTGTTTGGCATTGACATTGTTTCACCGCTTTGCTGATCATTTGGGTGCGAGGTTTAATTGGATTACCCGCGTCCACACCCAGGTGCGTACAGGCCGCGCCGACACACCCACCACGGACTCAGTTCGGTCTTGGGGGCGGCAAGGTTACCTCATTGTGCCCCAGACTCACCATAAACAGCGGCAGCAGATGACAGCAGACTGCTAACTCGGAATGGGCCCGAAAGATCGCTGAGGCAACAAGACTGCAAAGATACGTGTAGAGAAACAATGTGGCATTAGTTGGCGAGCAATTAAAAGGAATGCAAATACTGGGGATTACAAGATCTGGGGCTCTTGAGACGCTGTTTGCTTGCGATGTGGCAATGCCACCTGCAGATACATTTGTATCTCGTTATTTCTAGATCTCCAACGGCTCTGGCATTAATTGCATCTGGAGGCTGCAATGGCCACGCTCAGCTGGCCAAAACACACCCACTCCCCGCTCACTTTTGCTGTCTGCATTTGTTTTTATTGCTATTTTTGTATTTTTTTTGGTAACGCCTGCGGATCCGTGAGATACTCGTACTTGGGGCTGCAACTGAGTTATTAGAGCGCAGAGCCAGAAAAGAAACCCAAGACCCAGCGCCGTAGGAATGTGCGTGACCCGAACGGATCAATTTGGTGACTCACTTCACTCACTACTCACTATTGGTAATACATTTCGATTTCGGCAATCTGGCCAATCCACGCACTACCAAACTATGTCAAAGCGTGACACACACGACCCATGCGATACTTGCCCAATTCGCACATTAAATTATTAACTGATTGTGAGGCCAAATAGCCAAAAGACTGCCTTGCCAGCTGCACACACTAATTCAAAAACCATAACTTTAAATCGCTTTGAAAATTTCCAAGAAATTTGTCAATGGTATTGCCACAAAAAGTGATTTTAGATTTTCAGATTAATGAAATATAATAATCGGCAAATTTTTGTAAATAATAACTAATGTTTTTGTTAATTTTTGTTTAGTTTATAATTTATTTATCTTATTATTTATCTTATAATTCAGAATCTTATCTAAAATTAAAAGATTATTTCAACAATAGAAAGTGAGTTTTTACAATCACACACAACTCCCAAGACTTCCCTTTAGGAATTTATGGATTTCAAATAACTTAATTAATGGAAAATGTATCCAACTAATTCAAAGGTAAAAAACTATGTGTAAACATTAATACATAACATACTCGCAAACATTTTTTTTTTTAATATTAAACTGACAGTCATTTCATGTAACTTTTTTCTGGTGCAGTCCTCTTTGAATCACAGTTAAGGCCAATTAGCGTGACTGGCTAACAACTAAGCCTAGATTGATGACATCCGTAAATAATAAAAACATAAACACACAGAAAGAAAACAGGTACTTTAAGCAAAAAAAAAAGACATGATAACGACAGAGTAATTGAAAAGCTGAATGAAAATTAAAAGGTTTGAAAAATGAAAACAATTATTTTGATGCAAGTTATTTATGATTTTTTAATGATTTTTTACCCTTATCCAAATGCCAGTGGGCTGGCAACGCATAAATTATTCAAAGCCATTGAACTCGTCGTCCAAAACAAAAGCGATAAAAAAATAAAAACGAAAGCGACAATGAAATGCACTCTCGTGGGCCTGGCATTCAAAATTGGCTCGAACCTGTAGTATTCGGTTTCAGATTCAAGGGGCGTTCCTGCCCCCATGATGGCCATGGCTTGAAAGCTACCGGAAAGAGTCAACCTAACCAGAAGGAAAACAAGACACAAGGCAAGGAAAATGCCCATTTCTTGTTCGACTAATTCCTCAAATTTTATGCCACAGCGACCCCGAAGAAATGTTCGAAATTATTAAACGAAATGTAAATTTCACGCAACGAAGCTAAAAAACAAAAACTTTCATTTCTCGCTGCTTTCCAAATGAGGTAAGTGGCTGAGGTGGTGGAGGTGGCATAGCTATTGGCTTCGGTATTGGTGCCTCACCTGTTCAGCAAACCAAAACATGCCCCGGGGCCGTAGCCGTAGCTTGCGCAATCTCAAGAATTTATGCTCGAGCCTCGAGCATTTGAAAGCGAAAGCATTTCTCCAACGCTTCGATTTGGCATGCGGGGGAGCTAAGGTTGCGTAAGCTTTATGTTTCTTTTGTCTTTTGATTACCAACAAACTGCCAACAAACAAAAACCGGATGCTCTGGGCCGTTTGACGAACGGAATTCACAGTTAAATTGTTTTAAATGTTTAAACGCTTATCACACAGCTCATCGCAAATCGAAAGGCGACAATAATAATAATAGGAATAATAAAAATAATAATAATAATGAGGGAAAATTGCACAGCTCGGGCTAATTACAAAACTCCTAGGTTGCCAAATGTTTTTCTTAACTGGCCCAAAACAATGTGACAATTGCAACAGAGCGATACTTAAGCTACCTACTCCGTATACACTCCATATACAATGTATAAAGTATATGAAAAACCATAAACCAGGCTCTGACAAAACAAAGCAGCCGGCGAAGAAGAAAGCAAGAGTTGCTGGCAAAAGACTGAACACCCAAGTGCTACAAATAGTGGCTTATTCTGGTGGCCCAGAGTCAGAGCCACAGCCGGAGACAGACGACTTGTGCAAGAGGGTATCCACATAAATGCCCAGATGAACATTAGCAATCAATCCACATCCGTGACCAAGACAAGAGTGTGAGAAAAAATTCAGTAGGCCAAGACACTTCAACTTGTCGGGGTCTAGAAAACCAGCAAAAAAAATCAGACAAAAACAATGGCTAAACGGAGCAAAAAGGCTGAAATTGGTTGCCAGCCAGTCAGCCGGGTGCTGACTAATCAACTGTGTGGGTTTCAAGGGGAGACTGCCATGAGGGGGCCGAACATGCAACTGCAACTCACGATTTTGAGGCAGCAGACCAGCAATAAAAGGCCGGCCTGGAAGGCATTTCAATTGAATTTGTGGCTCAAATGTACTTTGGATCAGATATTGCCGAAGTCTGGCCGGGTAATTATTCACATTTAGAATTCAGTGCGTGTCACAAGTGCTGCGAGATAATTATTGTTTTGAAAGATCGCTGAGTCGATTTCAGATCGATTAGATGCATAAAAGTATTGATTTTTTAATGTTCTTATGGGTGCGGGTTTTTGTCTTGTTTATACATTTAATGTAGGACTGTAACAAATGGTTGTCTGGAATATTTATTACCATATTAAAGTGAATAATTTGCCATGGAGGTTAAAATTTAACACCATTCATTATTAATATTCATACCAAGAAGTTACCAGCTACAAATTCCTTGTAGAAACATTTTTTCAAGTCACACTAACTTTTAATAACTCAATTTCACAACTAATTTAGTGTTTAAGCTCCTAGAAAATGTCTTCTTACATTCTGCCCGCCATTTCACCGAACAAGACCAACTAATGAGGCAAGTTCGCGTCTTAAGTCTTTTGTTTTCGTCGGCCGCGCTGAGAAAGTCGTAATCGCCAGCTGAAAAAACTTGACAAATTGAACATTTTGCGGTTGAGTAATTGAAAGCCGCGAAAGAGGAGAGACCACTCTGGGGCTATATACATAGGCTTTATGGCGATATGGCTATGAGGCAGGGCACGTGCTGAAATGTTGGAAGCTTCTGCAACTACGCAGAGCCATTGGCACGTTTCACTTTCATTTGAGAAGGAGGAGGAGGATGAGGATGAGAAGGCCGCGGAGTTGGTGGCAAATAAACACATCAGGCGCCGCATTAAGACATGACAATAAAGAAAAAGTGAGTCTGAGCGGTATTATATTTTCTTGACACTTTCGCGAGTTTTGTCTTCTCGCTCTCACCCCCTCTTTGCCATTTGCGATATCTAGCCATCTCTCTGGCATCGGTTTATTGGCTGGCATTGGCCGACGCGGCGGCTACGTGATTTCAGCTTGCTGCCAAAGGCTACGAAGTGTATTTATAAATACATATACAGGTCTGGACATTGGCCGGCCGGCGGCCATCGCCTGCGTTTATTGTAATTAGAAAGTATTTAATTTCGAAAACGCTGACCGTTTTGTACGTACGAGCATAAAAATAAATAAAACCAAATCCAAGAAAAACATCAAACCGAATCGCGTAGGTTATGTATTTATCTTCCTCCCAGTGGCTGGCTTTCGACAAAGTCTTCTCGACAAACAAACGAATAAGTGCAGACATTAGTTCCGTTAAGATCAAGAGCCAGATCTCAGATAAGGCCAAAAGCGATTATGTCTGGCCCAGGGCGGAGAGCTCCGCGACTTACGTATGTAAATTGGCCCGATAAACAAGATTTTTCATGTTGGCCGAAACCAAGAAACCAAAAGTTTCTCCCGGTGAAAATTGGGTTAATGAAGTGCGGAGTGGAAAACCGAGCAAAGAATAGAGATGGACCAGTTTGGTCAGGGGTCTGCCCGTCCAGTGGTCAGTGGCCACCTTAACTTATCGTTCGTTTAATGAGGAAGTCTGCCCATAAAGCTTGACTTGGCCCGACTCTCTAGACTCCCGAGGATGGTTAGATGGATGAATGGTCGGTTGGTCGGTTGGGTTCGCTTGGTTAGGTGGATGGATGTGGTGGACCACAGCTCTTTGGGCAAACAAATTGCATGCCAGTTAACGACGAGCAAAAAAAAAAAACAAAATGAAATTTCCAAATAATTAGAGCATGAAAAAATAAATAGCAACCGCACATTGCCACACACATGCGTTTTTCTTATTTTTGTAGCGAAAAAAATTTCTATTCGCCTTTTTTGGCAAAAAACAGAAACCCCCACTTACCACTCTCGTCTTTCTCTTTCACTTGGCTTGAATTAATTCCAGCTAACAGCAATCCAATGCAACAATTTGTTTCTAACTGATTTGTTTCTTTTCTATGTTTTCTTAAAATTTCACTTGCAACACAATAATGGCAGGAAGCGCTAGCACTTTTGCACGGGAACACTGTGCGTATACTCGATATTCAGTTACTGATCAGGTCGGCCACAGTCTTGTGGGCCACAATCAAGAGTAAACAGTTAATAGTTAACAGTTAGCCGGAGCTGGAGCTGCGCCGCGTCTGCATCGTTGGCGTGCCGTTAACAGACTGAAGAAATGAAAAGCGTCTCGGCCCAAAGTAAGTAAGAGTGGTTCGCTCGTGGTTTTCTTCCAGACGTCGGCGCCGACGCTGCGGTTGCCGTTGCCGTTGCCGCCGCAGTCGCAGCTCGCAGAGGCAGAGACAGAAGCAGTGCAGTCAGCGCCCAAAGCTGAATGTGGCTTAAATATGAAAAAAACCACAAGTTGTTTGTAAAGCTTTTGTAACTATTTCAGGCCAACCAATGAGTGGTATGGCTTCCAGTCAAAAGATCCTCCATTGATCTCTTACGGCTAATTGAAATTAGCGGACAAAGGAGTGGGGGGGTGGGGAGGGGGATCTCAGCCATGTCCACAAGAATGCACTAAATGCAAATCAACTTGGCCATAAATGCTAACATGTTTTAGCATTAGTTGCGGCTATGGATGCTGTTCCAGTTTTGCAATCTGTGGGGGACAAGTTTTTTTTTTCATCGAGCTGCAGTGGGAAAATCTTTATGTTCGTGCAACACTCCACTCCCAACGGTTATGTACACCCGATCCAGCCTTAATTCTGACTCATTGCCAAGTGTTATTAGATCAGCTTTTAATTGGCTTTTTTAAGGCTTTCCGGAGACAAGGTCGCTGCCAGCTGATATTGTTACAGAAACTCCATAACGAGTTCAATTGAATTGTTTGTTTCCCCCTTTTCTTCGAGGTATTTCGAGTTAAGAAACCCGAAAATTGATTTACCAATTATAAGCATGCGTCTTAAAAACTGACCTTTTTCCAAATTAGTCAGGGCCCCAATTAAAACATTGGCAAGTTCGGTGTGTGATAAGCTTAAACGGTTAAATGTCTATGGTTAAGGTTTTAGCCATAATAAGCGGATGGCCAATACTGTTGGCAAACAGTTCGTGGCAAGCCGCGGCCTTAAAAGCGGCCTTTTCAATTCCCAAATGGCCACTAAAACATTCTCAGGCCAGGCGGCAAAGAATTTCCGCCAAGACACACAATTGTCTAACAATAAGTGAGACGTTTATGGATCGTGGAAATTGAGTTAATTAGCATATCCCCCATTATCCATTATCCACCATGCATTGGGTAACCCAGACAGACGATTTTCTTTCAACTGTATCTATAATACATACATATTTTTTTCAATTTTCCATCGGCAGTGGGGAGAGTGCATTGACAGGAGTAGGCATCGGCAGCCTCACCGCAAATCCAATCAGTCAACTTGTCATAACGCCTGCCCACCTGTCTAACCCGAAGGGGTCTCCTCTCCTGACAGGTGGGCGTGAGTTATGTGCCAACTGATGACGTACGAGGAAGGTTTCCACCTTACAACCTAAGTTATGCGATAGAGTTTTCAGTTTTTTTTGGAGGCGAAGCTTGAGGAGATCATTCAACCGTGAACACTCGGTACTTCCGCTGGCCACGACTGCCGGCCCCTAGAACAAAGCACTTTCACCTGCCGCAGAATCGAACGATTGAATTGCAATTGAATTCCAAGCCTCGCGCGCAATTAGGGCTGACCTTTTCACAGGTGTCTCGCCCAAGGCGGCCCCGGGCTAAATGGCAAATGGCAATAGACTAGACCACACCGTCCAGCACCAAATACCACTCGACCTTCAGGCCCGTTTATGAATGGCTTTTCCCAAGCCTCTAACCTCCGCTCCTCCAACATTTTCCACGACGTATGCGGAAAAGAGTCACCATATTTGCATAAAATTCAAGCCAATAGCTTGAGAGTTCCCACCAGATCCAGATAGATCAACTTAATTGATTGCGAGTCTGGCATAATTCAGTTTAATTACCTGTAGAATCTTTTTGACCCGCCTAGAGTGGCCAAGAGGCCCAGACTGTAGCCCAGACGGTAGCCCAGACGGGGGGACGAAGTCAACAGCGAGGCTGATGCAACATCGACAAGAAGACATAAATATCTCGGCCATTATGCAATGCACTCACCTGGCGGGATTTGGCCCGCTGGCGAGAGTTGGCCAAAACGCCAGAGCCTCAAATTGGAGGAGACATTTGTCGATGCGTCGACGCAATTTTTAGCTCACGAAAAGTAAGACAACTTTTTTCGCAGCCAAAGCCACTGGCGATGGCCAAAATCGCTTTGGCTTTCTGCGCTACCATATAGCACACAAAACGCTTCCTGCTCCATCGCCTGCTGCATCTCTGCCGACCACTGCAATGGTCGAAATGTGGTCGAAATCTAAACTGGATTGCCAGGGGAGAGCCTCTCCAGTTTGGCTCTGCCACTCGGATTCCTTCCTAGTGCTCGGATTTGGGTTAACCAAACATTTATCCGCCGCTGCAACTGTCGGCCGATGGCAGGCCGAGATTAGAGGCCCAAAAAAGAGGCGGAGTAGTGTATGCCGGACTAGTGGGTGAAAACCCCGGGAGCCTGGTCCAAACAATAGAGGTTTAATCAGTTCATTTACAGCTCTCTTTGGGAGTTTTTTCTGCAGCTATTTTTATTGAATTTAAATTAATTTATTTTCACTTCCTGTTGGTTTATGGCTTGATTTGAATTTTGTGTTGAAAAAGTAGTGTGTTGCATTTAAATAAATTATAATACGATTATTACAAGCACTAATACTATATTAGTTAGACCATAATTTAACTTAAAGTATAATGGTTGAACTTATTTTAAAACTTTTTTTAAAACGATCTTAAAGACACCTTTGTGATCTGTATTTTATTTTTTTAGAGTACATTTTTAAGTTAAGTATCATAATTTTATTGAAACATTTTTTTTCCCCCAAAAGAGTATCCATTCTGCGCTCTCCACTTTCGTCAACTCCACTTCTTTGGCTTTACTCCGCCGACTGCAATTAAAATTTTGTAATACGGTGACCAAAGAAACACATACAGACTACTTATAACCAAAAAACTGCTCAAAAAACATGGAACAACAACAACTCGATGAAGGAAAATTACGAGAAAAAAAACATTCGCTTTAAACGGTCATCTGGAATGTGTGTTTTGTCGGGCAGCGAATAACTCGCCACTTTCAAAAATGATTTTCAATTTCACTGAAACTATAGGCCATGGTGCCGACTAAGTGAGGTCTACGTAGTCGTACACCTCAAATGTGTGTTTCCATAATAATTATGCATGCGGCGTATTAAAAAGCGCGAACCTTAGAAACGATTCAAAAATCGAATGAAATCGAAATCGAAATTCGAATTGAATTGAAACACTCCAGTGACGCGGGGTGGGGCGGTGATGAATAATTTCACTTTCCTTTCCCAAATCAAACCTGATGCAGTGACTCCGTCGACTGCATTACAATTTTCCGTGTTTGTCTTGGCCAGTTTTTCATTTTCATATCGTTTTTGGAGTGGTCTCTTCAATCTGGCATGTTAATGTAGGTCCGAAAGTGTTATCGCGGCGAGTGGGGAGTGTGGAGAGTCGAGAGCGAAAGTCTGGAGGAAATACTTATAACATAATTAAAACCCCATGAATGTGATTATCGAACGCAATTTCACTGCCAAATTTTTCTGGCCAAATGTAATTTCAATTACGTGCTAGCCGGAAACGAAATCGAACACCGGCTAACTGACTGACTGCCTGACTGCCGGGACTGCCTGAAAATGTCAGTAGTCGCTCACGATGTCAAAGCCCATGGCTGGCGAATTGTACGTAAATTGTAAAGTGTTCCTCCGATCCGGTGAGTCACGGATCTACGCTCCGGCATGCAGATATTCAGACATATCCCATTAAACTTGTCTCATTCATCAAATTGCGTGCAAAGAGTTCAGGGCGGGTCAAGAAACCAGGCACGAAGCCACATACTTGCATTGCTGTTTGCGGGAAAAATTGCTTTACTTACAATGTTGGCTGAAAAGTTTTAAATAAGTTTCTACATAAATCTGAAATATACATAAATTTATTGGTTAAAGGTTTAATATTGAATACGTAATTTTATAAAATACATTTATAATATTACGGGGAATTTTGTTTCGTTTTTATACTCCATAGAAGGGTAGAGTCATCTCAACGGTCAAAATATTATTCTGTTGACTGTTTCTATAAAATAAACTAACAATTTTATAAACAATATGTTTTTTGAAATTATTTTTCAGAATTTTGAAATTAAATTAAATATACCCAGTGCTAAAAAATTAAATTTATGTTAAGTTTCACTTTTTGTACAAGTATTGAAATAATTACGATTTAAGGAACACATTTTTGTAAAAAGTCTATTCCCTGATTTCTATTCCATACGGTGTTCATTATTTTAGATTTCCAGAAGTTCTCTAAGATAGTAGGCTTTTTTCTCTTAATTTTTCCTTTGTATTAAAATCTAACCAATGAAGTGATAGTAATCTATCGGTACTACAAAACTTAAATATTTTATATTTAATCAGCCGGTATCGGTTTTTAATTTCCATTTTCAAAAGATGCCAATTTTTTTAACACGATGAAGACCTTACCTAGCACTTTTGTAAACACCTTATAGGAAGAATTAAATACACTGGTAGAAAACTTCTCAATAATTTTCATCCAACCAGATTCCTCGTTTTTTTAATGTTTTTTTGAAAATGTGTAGAACAGTTTATAAAGTTTAATATGAAAGTAACTATACAAACTGTAACTTAAAATATTTGGAAGAACTATAGTGTTGCTATTTTTTTATGTTACCTTTTTGAAAAGTTTCCAAAACCTTTCCGAGCTGTGTAAATGCGTGCTTATATTTCAATGATTTGCAAACAAAATTGAATCTTGAATTATTTCCCGGCACTGCAAAGGTGGGTGCGTTGCGAGTTGCTGTTGACTGACTCTGAGTGAAATTTCGTAGTCCGTCTGTTTGACATGGAAATTAGTGGCAACAACAAAGCCTGCGCTGTAGAGAAATGTTATAATGCCGGCCTAATGAGCTTGGCACACCGCTGCGTATACTTGATGTTTATGTCCACATGTATGGGAGTACAGTATGTACAAATGCCATGGACAAGCCCAAAAAGACGCACACTTCATGCTCGTAGTTTTTGCGCTTTAATGCTTCACTTGGTTGTGTCTTCTTTTTGGTGCCTGTGGCTTTTTGGGTTTTGGTATTTGGTTTTTTTTTGCTTGTAAATTGTAAATTGTTTCAAAGAGACGAGCTCTCCGCCATGAGTTTGTTGTGCTTCATATTGGTGTTAATCATTCGCTGAATTGCACTTTATGACGTTAGATAAGGTATTAGTCGCCGTGTGAGTGTGTGTTTGTGGATTTTGGACAATTGACAACCGATTATGTAACCCCTTGATGTCCCCTATTTTGATTTTTGCGCCTTTGTTGTCATCGCGATTCGTCGATTCGCTCCACTCCCCAAATTGAAATGCACTTAACCGACCGTCGTCACAATTTCACGTTGGCGGATGCTGCCGACTCACTGACACACATAAATCACCAAAAATATCAAAAAGAAAATCAAAGAAACCGAGAGATTGAATCCACTATAAGGCAGATATATTAACGTACCTCTTTTTACTGGTTCTCTTGGGCGAAATCGGGTTTAGTTAGGTGGTCGGCAAGGCACTAAGAAAAATGGATGGCTTTTATGTGAAAATAAATATACTTCATTTTAAAATTATTTACAAATCAAAGAGATCAAGTTCACGAAAAATTTTATCTTGAAAAAGTCACATACATACATAGTACATGTATGTTCAATAAAAAAATATTTCACCTAAGAAACCAAACCTTGGTTCTAAGTATCCACGTATGTATCTTTTTATTTCAAAACATTGTGATTTAAAAGCAATACCACCCCGACCCTAATAGCTGACTTTAGTTGATCTTTTTTTACTTCAAGTGTACTTCTGGTCTGTTTTCTTTTGATAAACCATAACCAGGTTGACGCCGAAACTGCGCTGACAGCCAGGTCCTGACTCCGGAGTCCGGATTGCGTAAGTTTCGGGCCACGACAGGCGGGTCGTAAATTGGCCGAGATTTTGCGAAACGCAGCAGTTCCAGCAGTTGCAATTTCATGCATGCCGATTTTAATGCGAACAGCAACAACATTAAGACAGCAACCACGATGGCAACAAACCTTATGACCATTGTAAACTGTTTGGGTGCAAAAACTATCTCCTTCAATTGAAGTTCGTATAGTATTGCTAAAAATAGCAAAAATAAACGTAAACAAAGAAGTAGAGACAATAACAGAAATCGCGAAAAGTCGCGAAACATCAAACTGTTTATTGTGGGATCAGATATTGGCAAAGCTCCAATGCAAGAAAGGTGCAAAAGAAAGGAATACGTTCCAAAAAAAACTTTAAAATAAACGAATTTTAAATGCTTTATTTTTAAGTAAAATATTTAATATTTAAGGTTGAACATTTTTAAGTACATGTTATCTTAAGAAATGTTATTTTAATATTTTAATATAACATAAACTTAACATAATTTTAATTTTAAATAACATATATTATAAATAACTTATAATATGAATTTAATTTCTTTTTTTAAATACCATTTGAATTTTCCAAATATTCAATAAATACCCTTTCTTCAAGTCCAAAATTAAACATTAGTTGAGAAATAATGCGTGCGAACTTAGTTATGCACGAAATTTAACGAAATTGAAGATAACCCTTAACTGTCATTCAAGCAACCAAATATTTCGTGAATTAAAAAAGCCAACAAAAATACAAAAATTAACTCTTTCAATTGAAATCAAAATCTAAAAGTCGGAAAGAATCTTGGAAAGCTTACAGTTTGGGAGCCACTGTCTGCCTCTTGACAGCAAGCTGACACACCCACAATTTTGTGGGCATTCTACAAACACAAGCCCCCAATTGGTTGAAGGTCAAGGAAAGTAAGTGAAATGAAATCGAAAGTTTTATATTCCCCCATTGATAAGCGAAACAACAACAAGGCGGCACGTGTATGCCAATTAGAACGTAAATAAAAAAAAAAGCATTGGAAATGACCAGAAGAGCTTTAGCGGCGGCACTGGAATATAATACACAGATATATGTACATAGCGAGATATACATATGTATATATACATGGGCATATGTACAATATTTATCAGGAGAGCCGAAAGAGAATGAGAGAGTAGTTTGCTTGGGAACTTGTTTTGATCAGACAGAGACGTTCGTTTAAGTACACTGAAAAAAATAAAATGGGTAATTGATTTGTAAATTAATTTAGTTCTTTAAGAGTATTTAATCCTATCCTTTTTTTAAGATATACAAATTAAAAAAGTTGGAAAAGATTTTGCCATTTTTTTAAAAACATTTTTCCCAGTGTACTTAGGCGCTCTCTGAAAAGCGTCGACAAGTGTTTTGGCCTCCCTGGAAGCAAATGAAATTACGTGACTCTGCGACTAGTGGAGCACTGTGCTTTTGGCTTCTGGTCCGATCAGAACTTTCAGATTCCCTCCGACGATTTCCTGCTCTACAGGTGGGTGAGATCGAGTGCCTTACATAACACGTTGGGTCAATAAGATATATTATTTTCCATTCAGCCATGTCGCTACGCTTGATGTCCCCCGCCCTCCTTAATGCCTGGAGCCAGACCCTCGTCCGGGCCATGTCCACCCAGGGCGGCTCCAAGAACATCGGCTTCGTGGGCCTGGGCAACATGGGCGCCAACATGGCCAACAACCTGATCAAGGCCGGACACAAGCTCCACGTCTTCGACATCTCCAAGCCGGCCTGCGACGGCCTGGCCGCCAAGGGAGCCACCGTCTACAGCAAGACCGCTGAGCTGGCCAAGAACTCGGACTTCGTCATCACCATGCTGCCCAACAACGCCATTGTGGAGTCCTCGTACGAGGAGATGACTGCCGACGGCGTCAACAAGAACACCATCTTCATCGACTCCTCGACGATCTCCCCCGAACTGGTGCAGAGCCTGCAGAAGAAGATCAGCGCCAAGGGAGCCCGCTTCATCGATGCCCCCGTCTCCGGAGGAGTTCCCGGCGCGGAGCAGGCCACCCTCACCTTCATGGTGGGCGGCACTGAAGCGGAATACAACGCCGTCAAGGCTGTCCTGGAGTGCATGGGAAAGAAGATCACCCACTGCGGTGTCTACGGCATGGGCCAGGCCGCCAAGCTGTGCAACAACATGATGCTGGGCATCGCCATGATCGGGGTCTCCGAGGCCATGAACCTGGCCATCCGCCAGGGCCTGGACGCCCAGGTGTTCGCCGACATCATCAACTCCTCCACCGGCCGCTGCTGGTCCTCGGAGGTGTACAACCCGGTGCCCGGCATCTGCCCCACTGCCCCCGCCAACAAGGACTACGCCGGCGGCTTCTCCTCGGCCCTGATCAACAAGGATCTTGGTCTGGCCGCCGGAGTGGCCAAGTCCACCAACACCCCGATCCCCCTGGGCTCCCTGGCCGGCAAGGTGTACACCAAGCTGGTGGAGGAGGGACTGGGCAACAAGGACTTCTCCGTGGTCTACGACCTCATGAAGAAGGAGAAGTTCAGCCTGTAAGGACCCACTCGACCAGAGCCAAACCAGTCTTGCATTTATAAATTAGGAAGTGACTGTGCAATTACCATGTTCTTGTATTTGTTTAAAATAGTATGCAAAAACCTTAAAAATATATGTATAAATACGTATTGTATAGAAAAAGTTCCATATGAGTGGCGTTGCATAATCGAGGGCTGGTCTGGCGATCGTCTGACAACCGAAGCCCGTCAAGTGATAAGCCCCACAGATGTTGGATTTGTTTTTAATAGCCACTTTTGCGACCCCAGCGAATTAGAATTATGACTGGGGCTTATCTCTCCCGCACTCGTGGCGGGTCGGGCTCCACATGGGTTTTTGTATATATTTTTTATTAACTCACAAAGCTTCCCAGGTAAACACAGTGAAATGAGCAAAACAAAGAGCATCGAAAGACACGGGCATGGAAATTCTTATGGCGTGTTCGCCGAAAGCTCACAGTTGAGGAGCTACTGGGAAGTATCAGTATTTAAAGGGCAAAACCTCTATACTTCAGGAGAAATATCTATAATAAATATAAATGCAAAGATTTCAATCAACAAGTAACAAGTGAATAATAAAACATGCTTTCCAGGTGTTTTAAAATAATACAACTAAAAACTTAGAATTTAGTGTCCTTTCCATGACTTCCAAAGTATTTTGAGATAGCCAGTCACAAAACTGACTGACCAAAGATCAGTCCTGTTTTCGAACCAAGCAAACTATTTTAAATAAATAGCAAACCAACCCGTATCTTAGTAAATTCTATTTCAATAATCAAGTAAAATATTTTAAACATTTTTCGGTTCAATTCCCATTATTCTGCCTCAAATATTTATCACAATTTAGCACAAATAAATGGTTTATAGAATAAAAATTACAAGATAAACTATTTAATTAACCCCAATTTTGATGTTTTTGAAAATAAAACAAAATATTCGATACAATTTCATTAGCTCAACCGAAAAAAAATCATAATTAAACAAATCAAAGTGAGTAAACAAAAGTGATACCCGAGATAAACATATACTATCAAATAATAAATAGTGCTGTGATTCAGAAAAATTCTGATAACTTTTTGATTTATTCATTATCTGTAAATGTTACCGCTACTGCAACTATAATTATATTTCAGATATAATGCAATCGATATATATTACAGAACCACTGGTATACAAATGAATCGACTTCTGCATCTCCCCGCCTGGCAGCCTACTCGGAATATGGCGAAAATCGGTTTTATAGGACTTGGCAATATGGGAGCACCTATGGACATAAATCTTCTAAAGGCAGGACATCGGCTTAATGTCTTTGACATTTCAAAGAAAGTCTGCAGAGATCTTCAGGAAAAAGGAGCTACAACTTGCACAGATGTAGCAGAGCTAGTGAGGAACTCGGAATATGTGATTTCTATGCTACCCAATAGTTCTACAGTGAAGACTGTCTATGAGGAAATAAGTAAGGATGATCTTAAAGAAAACATTACCTTCATTGATTGCTCTACCATTTCTCCGGACCTTGTTAGACAGCTGCAGGAAAAACTCGCCAAGAAAGGTATCCGTTTTATTGAGGCTCCCGTTTCCGGAGGAGTTCCAGCAGCGGAGAGGGCCACCCTCACATTTATGGTTGGAGCTTCCAAAGAAGATTTCAAGAAATCGGTAAATACCCTGAAGTGCATGGGTAAAAGGATAATACACTGTGGCGACCATGGAATGGCACAAACCGCCAAGCTTTGCAACAACATGATGCTGGCCATTTCAATGATCGGGGTGTCAGAATCCATGAACTTGGCCATCAACCAGGGCCTAAGTCCCAAACTATTTGCAGAAATTCTTAACTCCTCTACAGGATGTTCCTGGACCTCGGAATTCTATAATCCCGTCCCGGGTATTTCCGCCACAACTCAGATGCACAAAGTGCCCATTTCCCTGATCAACAAGGTCTGGATCTGGCTATCGGCTTGGCCAAGGATTCTAACTCAGTAATACCTATGGGTTCATTGACACACAAGATCTATAGTTCCCTGATTTCTCAGGGTCTTGGAGATAGGGATTTTTCAGATTTTTATGATTTAATGAAGAATAAAAGGTTTGTTTACTAAAATTAACCTTAACAACTATTTTTTTATCGCTTTGGGTGGAAAAGTTGGTTGACTTTGTATAATTCCATTGGGAACTGATAAGCAGTGCCAAAAAGTTTTGGTGTATTTTTAGTGACTAGTTAGAGCTTCATGACAAGATAATATTTTATACATTTCTTAAAAGCTTGATAAAAACAAACAATTTTAAAAATAAACGAAAATCCAAGAAAACTTTTAGTTTCGTAAAGCTTTTAAATAAAATAGCCATCTATAAAAGCTAAAAGTAAAAGGTACAATTAAACCTAAATAAAAATAAATATATAATATTTGAATTTTAGTAAAATTTAAGTAAAAACACAAGAACTATAACTTCGAATTTAATTCTAAATATATTTATATGGCAACTTCAATGGCCGCTTTTTTATACAAGAATTAATTAAATTTTTAAAAAATAAATTCTTAAAAATACACAAAAACTTGAACATAAGAGAGGTAAAATAAAATAATTATGTACTATTCCCCAGCATACTGTTTGAAAGCAGGCCTAGTTGCCACAGTTTCACAATTACCCTCCTAACAGTTTGACAATCACTCAAAGGTATATATTTTGAGCGAAATCCAAAAATATGTTTTTATTTTTGCCGCAATATATGTATACATATACATTTATATAAGTATATTGAAAAATAACAAACTTAACTTAGGTGCTAATTAGTTAATTGAGTTCGGTATGTATATAAAAACTTTGTTGTTGCTCATCTGTGGGGTACAAAATAGTTGAACTATCTAAATTTTATCAAATGGATCGATCGGAGAGGGTTTACAGTAGCAATTTAGTTTAATTGATTTAGTTATACATAAGTATGGCTGGGCCTGGGCCTCGACGAGCTGATTATCCTAGACATAGTTAATAAATATATGTATATATATAGACTTTAGCAAAAAATGTTTTGAACAATTCTCTTCTCTTTTTGGTTTTTGCCGAATGAAATAATTACAATAAATTAGATTTATTAAATTTAGTTAGAGGCTGGTTTAGGTATAACTATAGGTGTATATATAAACGTTATAAAGAAGCATCCTTAAACAATTCGAGTGCAATCGAGAGGTAAATGTTACAAATGTAAATGGAGTTTAGGGAAACTTCGGTGCGGTTGTGGAGCTTCCGTGGATTCGTAAGTCACATAAGTAGTTGTAAGCCTAGTTGCAAAATTCTTTGAAAATATCACAAATCGAAATATACAATACAAACAATTGGATCGCATTTGGAATCTGCATTTGGAGCTTAGCAATTTGACGTTTGGTAGATATTTGAATAGTTAAGAGATAGTTTTGAGAGATGGGGGTTAACCTTAGGTACATGCAATGTTTCAATTAGAGTCCTATATGCGGGCCATATCCTCGTGTATGTACAGTAGCTTTTTGTTGAGTGTAAATAGTTGGATCTCTCCATACATATATAGTACATTTATATTCTCTGGTATAGCTCTATATATATAGTTTTTAGGAAAATAAGTTAAGCAAACTTTGTGCTGCATAATTGAGTCGAGTTGGGTGGAGTTTGATGTTGAATGTGGTGTGTTGCCCTAATATCCTTAATTAACATTGGTGTCTAATTGAATTCGCTATGGCTCAGACTGAGGCTCTTGGCCTGGCCAAATTTGTGCTTCAGCTGGCTGGTATTGGCCCGGAAGCGTTGTATCAGCTGTTGGCCGCTCCCCCCTCCACTGGTGGCGCTGGACTGCGGCAAGGAGGCCGCATCCGCGCCGGTTATAGACTATGATCCTTTCAGTTTCTTTTTGGGATTGTTGCGAGTCTGATCGGTGGGCGCCGAAGGAGGCAGCTCTCGATATTGGTTCTACAAAACAGTCATTATTAGAAATCTTCAAGAATCTTTTGAAGAAAACTCACAATTTCCTCGTTGTCAGGCACCCTGGACAGAAAGTCCAATAGCTCGTTGTTGGGTATGGTGTTGGGTCGCAGCAGGCGCCTCGAAAACTTCATTAGGCCCCAAAAGAGCAGGAGCCAGCGGAGTGGCACGAAATGCAGGACCAGAATGGCACCCAAGAGTAAAACCACAGCCAGCCAGGTCAGTTCGGGGACGGAAAAGTTGAATGTGCTAATTGGAAACATTTTAATTTTTTATCAAAACTATTTGTTAACAAAACTCACTTGATGGTGCTCTCTCCCAGGGAGGCCAAATACCCAATGGTATTCTGCACTGTCTGAGAGACTTCCTGGATGGCCTGTAACCGCTCCTTGATGGACTTTTTCTCCTCCTTCTCCTTGTCATCGTCGTCGTCCTCATCGTACTCGTAGTCATAATGACCCGCAGAGGCATCTGTTGTTCCAGTTATCAGGCGAACAAGCCAGTTTCTAATTTAAAAATAAAATATTAATAGCTTTCTTTACATGACTAGTTAGGTCACTTGACTCACTTGAGTATGATGAGTAATAGTACTAGAGGAACTGTCTCCAAGTCGCCGTACACACAGGCCACTATCCACAGAACGAAAGCTATGCTAGAACGCACTGGGGATTCCCATTCAAAGCAGCTCCTGGAAGGGATACAAGTATGGATTATGTTAACGGATGAAGTCCTGGCTATAAAAATAAAAGCAACTCACTGAACATATCGGGCGGCATCTAGTATATCCATGATGATCTCCTTCAAGCGGTTGACGTTCCGCAAGAAGAGCTGTCTCTTGAACTTTGCCTCCTGCTGGATGAGTTTCTCCTCCTTGGGCTGCAGGGCTCTGCAAACAGCCCGTATCTCGTTCCAAACTACAGTCAATTCCAGTTGAATTTGCGGCGAGTTTCCCTTGGCTCGGACACACAGATTCTTGTCCTTGAGGGTGTACCATCTCTTGGCCCCGCTCTTGATCCTCAGCAGAGGAATTACAAGCTTGCCGAGAAACTCTACACGATGGTCGCGATCCTCATCGTAGACGGTGATCTCCAGCACCTGTGTGATGTCCTTGACATTGCTAGGAAGGGATTTCATTAAAAGATCTTTCAAAAAGGATCATCTATAAGCTCACAAAGTAAAAATCTTGTTCCAGTTTGGAGTCAGGGTCTTGTACTCGGTTTGGGTTTGCAGACGGGCGTTACCCAGTTCCAGGACACAAAAAGGATCCGATTTTCCGCCTATGTCTGCCGCCGCCAACCCTGTGGCTCCAAAGACCTTGACGGTTAAGTGGCCCACATCCCGCAGATTCTGCAGGCAGCGGATGAATTTGTATCGATCCTTCAGTTGCTGTGCCTCTCGGGGATCCTCCTTGAATGCCTTCAGGTCGCTGATTGTCTCCAGGGCCGTAGTGCCACTAATGGTGAGCATCAGGTGGACTTCACCTGGACAATCTTCGAGCGGTTTCCAGATGCCGTGCGTGGTTTCGCGCTGGAACACGCTCAAGTCGATGATGGCCCTGCCGTAGAGAGTGTTGCGGTTCCAGAGGGCCAGCTCCAGGTTCTGATCCTCATCGAAGAGGTGTAGGTCGAACTGCTCCAGCCAGCGCTCCGTCCAGGAGGTCTTGCTCTTGTACTTTTCGTTGCCCAATCTGAGGAGATGGTGGCTGTTTTCAAAACAAGAAATCAAAATCGATGAGCTACAAACCTGAATTTAAAATGTGTATCGTTCAGCTTGCTGCCATCCTCCGCCAGGGGCAGGTCCTTCGCCTTCACCAGGAGAATGGTGACCACCGAACTCCAGATCTGCGACTTCAAGCGCTTCGATGACTCAGCCAGCTTCGAGTTGCGCTGAAAGTGCTGCATCAATTCCGGAAAATGAGTCTCGGCCACATCTCTCAGGTCATCACAGCCCTGTTCCAACTGGTCCTTAAACTCCCCGTGCTGGCGCCGCACATGTTTCAAAACCATGCGAGGAGCCTTCTTATAACCAGGCCAATTGGTGCCCAACATGACCCGGTACAAAAAAAAACACCAAAAAAAAAATCGTAAACAAACAAAACTCAAGCCCGCACTTTGCTTTCGAAGACGCGATCGCCGACTAAAATCAGTCACAGAGGTCTTGTCTGGAGTCACAGTGAGATTGCGAGAAACATAAAGCTAACTATATATAGGGTATTGAGGTATGATGGGCTGGACTTTTAATTCATGATTATTACAGATTGGTTTAAAGCTCTATATATTTGGATCATAAAATGGAAGCTAACTTATTTTTGAGAATCTTCTTTAGTAAAATATTATGTATATATTTTCTGTTTTGGGTATAATATGAGCGATTCAAAAAGTTTCACATAAGTCATCATGTATTTCATGTATCATGTAAAACATTTATATTAAAAATTGTGTAAAACGATTCTCCAAGTGTTTTTATGATCTAGATTTTTATGTTTATAAGATTTCAACTAGGTGCAATTCTTTATTAAAATGAATATTTATTAAAATGACCACTATTTTATTCACTGACCAGATTAAAAGTAGTTTCACCTTTTTCAAATTATTTAAAGTTTTTATTAGCCTTTACTTTTAAAAATATTTAGTTATTATTTGCAAGGTATGAGACTGTGCGACTATCATCCCATTTCCACTTTCTCCCATTGTGTTTTCATGGAGTGTGTGTTTTGGTGCCGCCACCGTCCAGAGATAACATGTAATGAGAGCTTTTGAGCTTTTTTTGAGTCGCTACGATCATGCTAATCGTTGGGTTACTCACTCGCTCTAAAAAACCCTCGTAGTCACGATGAGTGCAACGTTAAAAAGCGGTCAACATTTTTCCGGTCAGACCCAACCACCCCCTCGAAAATAATACCCAGGGAAGTTAACAAGCTCTGTTGGGCCGTAAATAAAGATTTGGGGGCAAGCAATCGCTTATAAATAGGTGTATTCATGGAAAAGGTTCGACAATAGGCCGACCAGGGGTGGGAGGGTGCCGAAAGGCAATTAAGAGGCCCAGACAATGGGTCTGTCGGATTGGGAAGGGGCTGATTGATGGCCCAGACCGGCGGCTTCCGTCTTATGCCACCCCGCAAATCAGACACACAATAGACTCTATGGATTTATGAACGCCACTTACCATTTCCTTGTCCTCTTGGCTGCGCGGCCATAGCGTCAAATTGATGAGAATCTCGCCCATGCCACCCTCGCCGTTTCCGCCGGTATCGCACAGCCGCAGGTGGATGTCCTCGGCCTTGCCCAATTCCAATTGGGTTAAGTCCAGCTTGGCCGAGCCCATGAAATCGTCCTGCAGGCCCCAGTCGTAGTCGAAGACCTGTCGAGAGGGGCAGAGGACCAGGATAGAACGGAAATTCATTTTGATTCGTTTGCGGAGTGGAGATTTGAAGAGGTCCTTCTCAGTTTTCTGTCAGCCAGGGATTTTCATATTCAATGACTTTTCTTTAAATTGATTTTCAAATTGAATCTTTGAGCAGAAATCCAAAAGGAGCACCAAATAAAGGACCTGCGACTTATACTTGATGAATAATTTTAGTTCAATTTCATGCCTTTGGGTGGTATTTTTGATTTCGGGAATTGGGAAAAAAAAATACTCCCTTTATGGCAGCGGTGGGATTCGAACCCACGCCTCCGAGGAGACTGGTGCCTTAAACCAGCGCCTTAGACCGCTCGGCCACGCTACCAGCCAGTTTACAGTTAGCCTATTTTTTTCCGCTTATCATTGTTTTTTTTTTTTATCAAAATGGAAACTATTTTTGGAGGCCTACAAATTATGACCAAGCTTGGTATGAACAGAACTTTTTTAATTGAATTTACGCAATATATCCATTTATCTATCCATTTATATCAACTTAAAAAAAAATTTTTTTTTTATTAGACTATAGGTACAACTATTATATTATATGTACGTTCATTTATTGCTGCTATCCTTCTGATGATTAGTAACAAAAATAAGTACTTATTCATGTTTAAAATACTTTCAGTTATAAAGCAAAAAACCATTTTTAAAAGTCTCAAATTATTTAGAAGCCTAAATGTTTTTTTTTTTTCATAAACGCTAATAAACTAGTTATTTTTTTTTATTTTATTAAAACCTAATAAAAAATTGAACAGAGTTCTTAATAATGTGTTCTGTTAGGACTTAGATAGGAATTTCTATAGATATATGTATATTTTCTATTTTTGATCCACCGCTCTGATATATGCCTCAGCTGCCTATAGAAGCATGGTCCTTTATGGTATAAGGTAAGTAAACTAATAAATTATTTTGATAATGAGATTCTCATAGGAATTGGGCAACTATATGTTATATTTTCCATATATGTATGCCCTATCCTATATAAAAGTAGACAGAAAAGTGTAGTTTAGAAACAAAAAAAAACCAGTTTTTGCTGCTTTCCCTTTTTTTTTATTTAAGATTTATAAAAAGCTCTATATTTTTCCTTATATATACCATGTTTGGCTCACCTCAAATATACACAAGTGTTTTGTAAATGTAACCCCCACCCACCCATAACCCTCATAAATATGCAAAACTTACCTTAACAATAATCGGCTGAAAGGGGTCCTCAATGGGCACTATGAAGACCTCGTCCCACACAGGATTCAGGTCCCTGTGAATGGTGCGCGACTTGTGGAGGAGCCTGCCGCCGACCTTGAACTTTACATAAGGATCACTCAGACCTGCGGCATTGGGGTGGCAAGACAAAGGAAATTTCTCACTGCAGTGGCAAGTACTTGATTAGACACAAAGGGCCATGTGACGAGGGGATGCTGGGGCGGGCATGGGACTTCTTTTTGGGGCAAATAATGTGGTTTCTTTCTTACCATTCTTGTCCATGGCCACCAGGTCGCTGCCGGACTTGAGATGGACGCGCAGCTGAAAGAAGACGAATTGACGTAATTGGGCTTCGCGCTTGCGACGCTGTTCGTCGGCCTGATCAGTTGCAGTTGCAAGTTGCAATGTTGCATTGTTGCATAGTTGCATGGTTGCATTTTCATTTTCAGTTAGTTGTGCAGCACAGCAAGTCGTTGACAAAAGCGTAAAATGGAGATTTTTAGAATTTACCAAGTTAGTGCCATTGAAGGAAATAAAAAATTGCCGGTATTTTCTATTAAGGAAGCCAATGTTTAAGTTTAAAAGCTTGGCAACTAAAAAGCAGACAATTGGTATTATTTTAGTTTCCATTTTGAACCAAAATTGCCAGGGATTACGTAGCATAAGTAATATTTATTCTATGAGCAAAAAATCAATAAGAATTACCACGTATTATCGGTACTTCATGTATCATTAGTCCCCAAAATACTATTTGTAAACACATCCTGTGGCAATTTTTCAAAATGGAATCCCCAAACCCACATCCAAGCACCTAGAAACCACACCCACCTGCAAAGCCTCCAACTGCTGTTGGGTGGTTAGTTCCGGCGGAGGGCTGGCGGCGCCATTCTCCGGATGCTCATCAATCCGCCCCTCCATGGAGCCCCCGAACCGCTGGATGACCTGGGCCATTTTGGCCGTGGCCCGGAATTCTCGGGCCAGAGGTGAGCCACCGATGGTGGTGCTGCGATGGCGAGGACTCTGGGTTACGGAACTGCTCTCCGAGCTGTAGTCCGCCGCATAATCGGTGCTTTCCTCGAGGAAATCGCTGGGCGACTTGCGGCCCAAGCGGTCTTTGCTCTTCGCCCGACTCCACCGATGCCGGAGGTTGTTGAAGAATCCGTGCGTCTTCTGCAGCACGCCCACCCCGCTGGCCACGCCCCCCGCTCCGGGGGCACCGACTCCCTGGCCGGCTAGCTGCTGGGCCACGGCACTCTTGGCCCGCTTGGGTGATATGTGCGGCGATTCGTTGTGATGGCAATCGTGACCATTCAGCTCCGAGGCGGATTTGCTGAGGTGCTTGCCCAGGCGCTGCGACTGCTGCAGCTGGGGGGAGCCGTGCGGCGAGATCCGCGACGGGGGTGTGGAAACGCCGGAGTGCAGGTGCCGCAGGTCCTGGACCTCCTCCTCCGCCAACTCTCCGTGGTATTCCACCTGGTCAACGTAGTGGATGCGTGCTTCAAGAAAACAACCGAAAAAATCACAAATAAGCGAAAATGTGGAGGTGTTGCCGGTACTTTCCGGCAGACACGCAACTCCCCCAATCGATTTAACAACCTCGCCGATGATAAGCCATTCCACACTACATGCCACATCCATTTGCCAGTTGCCACCACCCGCCGACAATTCGCCACCCATGACATCACTTTAGTGATTGTCTTAATTATAAAAAATTTACGAAAAGCAAGAGCCATAATAAGCTGTCCGAGTGATTCTTGCCATTTGTCGATGTGGTCAGCAGAGCCAGAACAGTATAGGGGAAAATAAATATTTCAGCCGCAATAGGGGGCGACACGTAATTGCAATCTGGATTATATTTGTTGTCAGGCATGGAATCTTAATTTTTGCCAACCGTTTTCTGTCATATATCTTAGAAAATTAAAATATCAGAACAGGCCTAAATAAATGTGATTTTTGTAGCGGGATAAGATATTAAAATATATGGGCATATTAAAATAAATGGTCAACCAGGATCGAAAAAAAAAATATTGAATGCTTTGTAATCTTATAAAATAATATCCAAAACATTTAAAACACTCCCTATATTATTAAAAACCATTAAATTTTTCGCATGGAACACATATTATATGTTTGCAATCTTTATAACAAATCTCTTTATTTGCTGTCTTAAATTTAAAATAAAAGGCTTCTATTTTGTGTACCGATAGCGAAGCTTTGCTTTCCACAAATTACTTAAAAGGAATAAGCCCCCACATTTTGCCTTTTAGAATACAACTAGTACTGGAAACTGATATTATTTGAATGAATGTAATGTTTACGATCCTGGAAATGCCCATATATGTAGATAATACCCACTGATATTTTATTTTCATAAACATAATTGCCTAAACCAACCGTTGACATAAATGATATAACTAGAAATTCATTTAATAAATTAATAATGGGCATTATATTCTTAATCATTGTTTTCATGTCTTCAGAATTATCCATTAACTATGATACGTGTTCGTCTAAAACATTTCTTTTAATTCCTTTTCAAGAAAAACTAAAACTTCACAAACTCACAAACACTTTCTTTTCTTTCTTAATTTTCCCAAATGCTTTAATAAATTATTTATAGATAATCCTCCTTCATTTGTCTTGTCCCAAGCACTGAAAAACTGACAACCACTTGGACTATCTCAAGCGTTATGCATAATAAATATCCAACGGATTGTGGCTTGGTTCTTGCCACAATTTTTAACCTACATCACGTGCTTTTTGGCCCCTCGGGGATCCTGGACTGCTGCAACTGCCTTTACCTGTGGCTGGGAATATTCTATTAATTTTGTGGCACAACGCAAAGGTCGGTGGCTTCCTTGAGGAGCAGGAGGACTGCCTGGACGTGGCCCGGAGATGCAGCGGTTGCATGTCATGGCCAACGCCCGCGAATCCGTTTAAATTGAAACAAATAATTGATTACAGCACTTCTCGATTACAAGTCCAAGTTGGAAGTGAAAGTCTAAGCTTGTTTTGCTCTCGGCACGCGAAAAACAATGTAGATAAATATTTTTGGCAACTTGGTAGTTTCTTCCTTTCCCTTTATTGGTTTATGGCCATAAATCACTGGCTGGATGTTTTCCGCGAATTATTCGCCGAGCGGAGCGACCGAGCTGGCTGAACTGCACGCTGGCAGGGCCCCTAGAAGACTGCTTCGGATCCGGATCCGGACTCGCACTCGCTGTCTGTCGTTACAGTTTCGCCTCCCACCCCCTCGACCTTAGGAGCACCTACCCCGACCCACTCTTAGTGCTCTCTTTTGGCATTTTGTTATGGTTAACGGTACCGCACACCATTACGGAGGTGCACTTTGAAAAAAAGAGGGTTATAAAATGTGGGCATATCTTAATAATAATTTTGTTATTTTTTTATTTAATTAGATCTTTACAGATATAGTCTAAATTAAAGCTTTAATATTTAATATTTCCTCATTTAAATAGACTATTTTTGTTGAATGAAATTCATCAATAGGTATGCCTGGTACTTGGAGATGACAAAGTATACTAGTAGAGTAGTATAGGAAATATTTTAATAAATGAGGCTATAGACATCCTCAATATATCTTTTAATAAGCAAATCGATAAAATATTATTTTTTAATTTGCATGAAATTTAATACTATAGGTATTTTTAATGAATACATGAAAAAGGTAACTATTTGACTTAAAAATTAACAGAAACTTTAAAAAACTTGCATATTAAAACAAAATACATATTTATTTCCAAAAAAAAAAATTAAAACTATAAAACTCTATAAGCCAAACATAATTGTTTCGAGTGCACTGACACTGTTACAGTGCGTGTCATGAATAAAAAAATGCCAAAATTTGTGTTTGTGTGGTTGGTACTTGGCATTGAGTGGGTGGCTGTGGGTGGGTGGTTGTCTGGTGGGTGGCTGACTGCGGCTGTGCCGGTTTTTTACCCCTTTGCATTATTAATGCTCTGCGATGCTGCAGCTGGCCTTTATTTTCCTCTGATGCCGCGAAAATTGGAAAAGCATCCAACGATGGCGTCATAAAATCACATTCCCCCGACCGAGTCAGAGTGTTGTGGATAAACTACAAAGCTTTACGCAGCCCGAAACCGAGAGCTTTATTTTTTTAGGGGTACGATGTATTTTCTTCACTCCAGAGACGCTCTGCTTTAATGAATGAAAGCCCAGCCAGAGGGGGTGGGGGTATCCTATTGGGGCAAGGACGCGATTGCTGTAACAACAGTGGCTGCCAGTCAGACAGACAGGCTCTGACTTTCCACTCTTGCCTCGAATTTTAATTAATTTAATGCAAGTCCGACTCGGACCGGAAACTGCTGCAGATTCCACCAGGCGAGGTGTGCCACTATCCCCCACCACCTCTACCCTCCTACCCGCCGCACCCAAGTAATTCCGATTATTCCATGACTGGCAAAATATTCCCAGGGGGGCACTTTGTGGCATATTCGCCCCACACCACGCCCCCAAGTGGCGCATATGTTTCATCAACTTTTCCCTGTTTGCTTGCCTCTGCGAGCTGAACAGGAAAAGTTGTGTCCAATAGTTTGGACACCACTGTGTTCTGGCTTTTGCTTTCGGACTTTCGGTAGTTGCTGCCTACTTTTGGGCGGAGGAGTGCTTCCTGGCAGGTTTTTGGAAAGTAAATTGACTTGAGCCTTGGATGCGTTGCAATTAGCCAAGTTTTCGTTTAAGCCGTAAAGTTTCCACTGCTCCCCATAAACCTTGAATGTGGCTGGGCAGGAAAGTGCCTCCGAATTGTCGCTCATACGCCATGTGGGCCGCCTCATTTAATGCCATTAACGATGTCGAGTCGCATTTCGTTAGCCTAATGATCGCATCAGATGGCACGTGCTCTCCGTGTGCGTAAAAAAGGGAATGTTTTACCGCCGCTTTTACGGCCAAAATAATGAAATTTTATGCGGCAGACATATCCCTTTTTTATGCACCGATCAAAGAGGTTAATGAAAGGGCAAGTCATTATATCGTTTCGGCTCCGTTTCCATATCGGATGGCCTGCGTAATCGGGTAACATGAACAGCAACATCGGGTATTAATAATTCGATGGCCGCGCACGACACGGGCCTTTTATCGCAACTTTTTTCAATAAATCAAGCCCAGGGTCAGCCATCAATTATTTAGACATGGGTCAGCAAGTGTCATATGTCACTAATAGCTCCGTCTCTCTTTCACTTTCCTTTTGGCATTCGCCCGTCTGTCTGTCCTGCCTCGCGCTCACCTGTTGACTTTTTAGCTGACATTTGGCCAGTTCTATTTCCAGGTGACAGCACCGGAAAAAAAGAGTAGGGTTTGATATTAAATAATATATATAATAGATAGATATAATATATAATAATAATATAAATAATAAAATGTGCAACACAATTAAGTATATAAAGATATATGTAATTTATTGTATTTTTAAAAATAACGAATATAGTAATTTTGGTAATGCAGTTTGAGTTTACAGTTGCGTACAGTTACGCAGTTTTGAGCTTAGTGGTCCAATAATAATTAAAAAAAGTTGCTAGGAATCAGAAATTATAATAAATAAAGCATTGAATATTAATTTCCGGATAACAACAAAGCATACATTAAAATAATCATAAAATAATAACCCAACGTACATTTTTATGTTATCTTAGAACCTTGTTTTTGATAAATTCCTAACAAATCACTTACAATTTTTGAACAGTATCTTTGATTCTATGAACAATGAGATTGTAAAATCCTTGTATTCAAGATAAGATTGTATTCAAAACATAATAAACTAAGAAAACTATTTTAGAAAAATAAAAATAATATTTATAATAATAATATAAATAATAATAATAATTCAAAAAAAAACCTTAAAAAATCTAAATTAAATCAATATGTATTTTATAAATATTTTAAAAATTTTTTACTAACTACTACTACCCTGCAGTACTATCTTTCATACTTATTATCATCAAAAACCTGCAAGAAGTATAGAAAAGCAATTCTCCCACCAATTTCTCTCAGTGTGGCAAAAGTTTATTTTCCTACACGGGCGCTTTGAACTATTTTCGCCTTCTTTTGTTTGCGACAAGACTTTTTATGCCCTTTGGCGTGTTTGTCCATACATTTGTGTATATCTCCCCCCACATACACTATAGTATACCGCTGTTAGAAGTGACGTCACACATTCATGCGAAATTGGCTCCATGTAGCGGCTGTCTGGGAGCCCCGCTGTTCCCCAATTTAGCCGGTTGACGTTGCTGTTGGCGCTCTTAGGGACAGGCCACTGTAGGGGGGGGAACAGTGAGCTGGTTTGCTGTTTGTTGTGGTCTTGATTATCATGTTTACCGAACACGCAACGAACCGCAACTGAGCTTATCACAGGCCTAGGGTCTAATCGCTTGTCGCGGCTTTGGCGGGGAGCTACTTTTGGATTTCCAGGTGGGCGGCCAGGTGAGCGACAGAACGAATCAATGGAATCTATTGTGCCCCCTTGACAGCCTCCATATGGAGCGAAGAACTCATAATTAGCACACTGCCGTGCTGTCTGAAAAATAATATAAAAATTCAACATCTGCTTTCAGTTACTCGAATTTCGATGGGAAATTCCTCAACTTTGATTTGCATTTTGCGGGCCTCGCTGCACAGCTCTCGACTGCTCGAGTGCTTGGGGTCTTGGATAAATGATTTTTCCCCAATTCGTTGGCAACTTTGAATTATTCATGGGCCCTCTCTTTACATATAAAACACACAATATTTCCTTGGTCACCATCATACCCAGAAAACACCCAGCCCCCCAGCTGGCGATTTATTTGTTTTTTTATTTTGTTGCGTTCGGGGCTCAAGTGCTGAATTATGCATGGATTGTTTATGCGAATTTTGTCCTTATTTGAAGACCACACTCTTGAAAATGCACACAAAATTGCAGGGTCTTAGCCAGGAGACTGTAGACCGGGCGTATACTTTATGTAGATTGCGTATCCGCACTGTGGGCCGCTGATGGACAGCTCATAAATGCCGTCGAATGGCCAAACTGCGGCTTAATTAACTGCCAGGATAATGACGAAATTAAACGGGATTACGCCAGTCTTTTTTGATGGCCCGGCTTACACCATGATGCCACATAAGAGACTGTCTCTAAAGCGGGGATTATTCACCTCGCCAGTGCGGACGTGCGTTTCCATGTGTTTGCTCACGTGTGCGCGCCCCGGGGAGAGGGAATCAGAGAATCGGAGAGGCGACAGGAGAATCCAGGAGACAGGCTGGCATACCGGGAGTCACAATACTGGCCCGAAGCTGCCCTGAAGCTTTCATTTTAATTAACTGGGTTACCTGTGCGGGCCAACCATTTCGGAGCCAAGTAATTACAATTTGCCAACATAAACAGGGAGGGAGGGCTAGATACACAGGGATAATTATCCACTAATGAAAACACAATAAAGAGTGTTTAAGGCTGGAGGTTATTTCATTTAAAAAGCTCCTAAATCATGAACAATATTTATTTTGTATTTATTTTCAGAAATAATGAATAAAATACAAACTTTATAATAATTTATCTCTTGTTAGCTCTCGTCTAAAGACCTGAATTATTTCTCACAGTGCATCTTCTAAGAGATGCAATAAAAACAACTTGTCACTGCAGCGTGAAGTGCTCTCTGCGTTCTGCTCCTGCTGGCGCCTTGTTTTCCCAGACATCTGAGTGGAACTCGCCAAAATGTCCTCATTGGAAACTCTACACTGACTTTCTTCCTCCAGCTCCCAGCAGCAGGGGAACCCTACACTGACTTTCTTCCTTTGAGCCCGTCTGTCTGTTAGCCATCAATTTATGCGTTTATACTCGAATTGCTTTGTTCAATTTAACATTTTCTCGTTCCCATTCGCAGATGGCAGCTGCAATTTCAATCGAGAAACACACAAGCCGGGGGGCCCTAAAACAGCGGGGCATGAGGAGGACATAAAAGGGCAGACACCTCGAGGTCGCCACCAAGGGCGACAGATCCGCCCAGCCTCTTCTCGGCCCGGCCAAGATGTTGATTTGTCAAATGGCCGCATAAACAGAACAAAAATTAATCACGAGAAAGCCGAGCAACTGGCAAACGGGCGCCGGGCGATAATTAAAAACTATATCAAGCGAATAGCACGCGACATCTAGACAGAACGAGTACAGTCCGAATGGTTAAGCAATGGGTCGGCCATTCATCTGGCCGCGCCAAGTGCCATCGAGGGTACTTGCGTGTTTTTGTGAGTATCTGTGTGAGGCATTTGCATATGTGTGTTTGTGTGTCCACACCGGAAGCGCAGCGGCATGCAAAGACGCCATAACCGACATGACGAACAGCAGCAAGAAGTCGGAACATCCGCGTCGCGAACCTGTGCGTGCGATTCCCCCAGGGGTCTACTGGGGTTATCGGTCCTAACCCCTTTGCTGACATGGCGCCAAAATCATAGCGAGGGCTGGCCATCCAGTACTGACTAACTGAATATCTATTGAGGTCTTGTTACTATCTATTACTATCTCTTTTGGAAAAAAGGGAGTGGTATTATCATTTAAATTTTAATTATGAATAAGATGAACTTTTAGAATTTTTAACAATTTTTGAGATAGTGATATGTTAATCGGTACTTTTGAAGTTAATTTAAATTTTATTACAATCATAAAACTTTTTCGATTATATATTACTTATTTTTGAAACATACATAGTAAGAAATATAATAATACGCTATATGGGCATTTCCAGAAACACGTCCACAGTACCAAAAATTTTAAGTTTTAAGAAAATCAAGGAATAAAGAGTTGTCAAAATTCTTTTAATAGCATTATATAAAGTAGGGTTTAATAAAATACCTTAGTTGGTTTCATGGAAATATTGGCTCTTAAAAAGCCCAAAAAATTGAAACGAATTTTAAATATTTTTTGAAAAAATTTGAAATTTTTTTTGAAATTTTTTGAAAATTTTGTATTTATAAAACTGAACAAGACTATTTTTATACCCTTGCAGAGGGTATTATAATTTTGGTCAAAAGTGTGCAACGCAGTGAAGGAGACATCTCCGACCCTATAAAGTATATATATTCTTGATCAGGATCACCTCCTGAGTTGATATGAGCATGTCCGTCTGTCCGTCTGTCCGTCTGTCCGTCTGTCCGTCTGTCCGTCTGTCCGTCTGTCTGTCCGTCTGTCTGTTTCTACGCGAACTAGTCTCTCAGTTTTAAAGCTATCGTCTTGAAACTTTGCACACACCCTTCTTTCCTTTGCACGCAGTATATAAGTCGGAACGGCCCGGATCGGCCGACTATATCCTATAGCTGCCATATAACTGATTGATCGGAAATGGTATAACTTTGGTGTTTTTAGAGTTAGAGAGTTCAAATTTGACATGTGAGCTATTTTTGGCAAAACATTACGTCATGCCAAATTTCATAAGGATCGGCCGACTATATCCTATAGCTGCCATATAACTGAACGATCGGAAATGACCCAACTTTCGTGTTTTTTGAAGATAGAAAGCTGGAACTTAGTACAGATTTAATTCTTGGTCAGTTGATCCAACCTACCAAATTTCATTAGGATCGGCCGACTATATCCCATAGCTGCCATATAACTGAACGATCGGAAATGGTATTTGGTAGAAATATCAACTTTCGTATTTTTGAAGATAGAAGTTTGGGACTTTTTTTAGATTTTGTATTGTAATAAATTGGATTATATATTCCTATTCCCATAAGGATCGGCCAACTATATCCGATGTTTGCGATATATATCCGGTTTTAACTGCAAGGGTATATAAACTTCGGCTCCGCCCGAAGTTAGCTTTCCTTTCTTGTTTTTTATAAATAACTCTTCTCTTTGAAGAATATTTACTATAAAACCGTAAAAATATAATATTCGTTACTTAGTATTCGTTGCTTCAAAACATAACAAATTAACACTGTGGATGTCAGTCTACGTAGGTGACGAAAAGAATGTATTCTTTAGTATTCGCAGAGTATTATTGAAAAAATATAATAATGGAGATTCAATTCAAAACTAAAGTGTAGTATATCATTAAATAATAATATATAATATATATTATACATAATAATATACCATATATGTTTATAAAATATTATCCATGTAACTTACTAATTTAAAATAAACTTTACTTAGTAAGCACATTCTTTTAATGACTTAAGGTACTATACTCCGAAAACTAAAACCAATAGCCTTAAAAATAATAAAACATTAGGATTTTACGTTTTAGTTTTATCCTTTGATAGCAGTCAAGTCTAAAATTAAAGCTTAAGTTACGGTATAGGTTCCTAATTAGAGTAAGTTTATTAGTGTAGTCTTCAAGACCTTATTCCTGAAGTAATTCCAGAAACTGGTCTTAATCAACCCAGATAACAAAACAATAGTTGACATCTAGCTTGGATTAATATTTAAACAGCTGACATGGAGAAAATTCTGCCAGTCATCATTTGACTTAAAGACGTTTCTAAACGACATGCTTTTCTTGCCATTTCACCCGGATCTCGTTGTAGGCTGCCACAGACTTGCCAATCCGCCCCGTCCGAGGGCTGTGGCAGATTTATGCGCCAACTAATTTGGCCAGAGCCGCACTCCACCCGCATAAAAATAGCAGGCCAAATTGTGCGGCGTCGTGGGCTTTTCAGAAACGGCTCGGCTTTTCGAGTGGCGGTGGAAGTGGTAATGGCGGGGCCTACCACCAGCCAGCATCAAAGGGAGTCGGCCTAGGACCCAAAGGATACAGGATAACGGATTTAAAAATACAAAAATGCAAAATACACGGAGAGAGCAGCTGTCGCTGGTGGAAACGAGTGGAGTTTATGGCGGCCAGGTGGATGGATGGTAACGTGGCTTATCATTGGCAACCGTGGAGGCCAAACATTTTTATTTCGGGCCAGGCACTTACACATCCTGAAAGCTAGCTGGGTCGCTGGTGTTTGTGTGTCGGCCTGTGTGTGTGTGGTGTGAGGTCACCAAGACAAGTGCATGGATATTCCGCGACTACATCCTCCTCGCAGCTCCTGTTACTCCTGGAGCTCGTTTTCCCACGTACTGGCTATGATTTCAATTGGAAAACACATTCAGCCTTTGCCCTGCTGCCTGCATTTGCATTCCTTTTATTTTATTTTCCGCACAAAACACACTACACACGGTTAAACACGCTTTCTATTTTATTTATTTATTTTTATTTTTATTTTTTGGTAGCACACACACACACACACGCGAGATGAATGGGTAAAAGTCGGGGAAATGGTTGTAGTTGTTCCAGAAATTGACGAAGAGGGCGGCGGGGGCGGTGCGGGCGGGAAAATCCACAGAATTTACAGAACGCGCGTGCCAGCGAGAGCAAAATGGAGGAACACGCGCTTCCGGATGTGTCCGTGTGCCGCCGTGGAGACAGAACCGTGGAGTGAACACTTTTTGGACAATATTTAATTCGACTCGAACTTTGCTTCGGTTCCTCTCCGCAACACACATCCGCTCTGAGCATTGGACAAAATTCAAGTTTCGTTCATTCGTACCTGTCTTCCCGGAAAACGAGAGCGCGAGCGTTTTCGCGCAACTGAGAGAGCTTTATAGCCGTGACAGGGCGAGAAAGCTTTCGCCTGAGCGAAATGCGAAAATTGAGTGGAACACGGTCGAGTGGCTCGTCAAAACTGCAGAAGGACCGGAGGACACTTCAAAACAGGATAAACAAACCAGGTAAACACGAATGTCATTGGCGATTGACTTTAAAACCAATAACGGGAGGCTTTAATGTGTTGATGTTTTCATTTGGGCTTCTGTTTTATTTTAATAATCGATGAAGGGCACCCTTTTAGCATTCCCTAATCCAATTACGGCCCTACTGTGCCCAGGGCTCTCTGAAGAGGCTCCAGAGCTTTTAAAGGACTCTTTAATTCGAATTAATTCACTTGCCGGAGTGATTTCACACTTGAAATACGATTATGTACATGTCTAATTACATTTTTAATTTTATTTTAATGAAAAGTTAGTTCGTAATGAATTTGGCAATCGAAACAAAATAAAAAGTTATTTTATGAATAAGAAATTTACAATTTTAAATGTGGGATATATGCTTTTAATAGCAAATTAATATACATTAATTGGGTTAATATTATGTAGTTATTATAATCAAAATTGTATTTGTATTCAAAAAGTAAGCTCAATTTGGGTCAATTTTTAAAGTAAGAACCATATTATCTTAGAATAAAGTAAGAATATCTTTCGGATATTGGAGAAACTATGGTATTGCTATAACTCCGAAGGTTTTATAGTAGTTATTATTTAAAGACATTTCATATAACTACGTTTTCATACATAATTACTCTGCATTCGTTTGTTTTCAGTTATATTTATTTTGTCAAAGTTATTAAACAAAATAAAATTTATTAAATGATGCAAATTTAGCAGAATATACGCGATTTTCTATATTTGGGTTATTTATCGTAAAAGTATTACCACCCTTTTAATGCTTTGCTTTTTTTATAATCCCTGCAGAAGAAACCCTATCTTTGGAGATTAGAGAGAGATTCTGGAAAGAGCGAGAGAATGACAGATGGAAAGATTGCTCGGATTGGTTGCCGATCATGTTCGGCTTCGGATGAGCGGCTCAGAAACCCGGACACCCAAAAGACTCGATCAGTCGCTCGGGAATTGTTTGTGAAGAAGAAAGCTTGAAGCTTGGAGCCGGATATTGTTGGCCTGGATTTTGGGAAAAGTGATTCTCCAAAGGGATTTTCAGTTTTGAAAACAACTTAGGACTAATTCGAAACTAGCGGCCGGAACGAGAGTTTCAAAAGTCGAATCAATAAAAAACCTTCAAAGTTACTGCAAAAGGAAATCCAAAAAAACACCGGTAAGTGGTCATGCTTGTTCCACTGCTCGGCGAGCGCCATTGCAGAAAAAGCGAAAACTACCGTTATCAGCCAGGGTTCCAGTGCCTTGCACTTTACACTTTCGTTCGCTGGCCACTGGCCTCTTTCCCCACATCTCGTCGCTGCATCCATCCATCCATCCCCTTCTTCGCAGGTCCACTCGCCGAGAACTTCTGCATTTCCATTTCTCGCTACAGTGATCCGTCCGTAGTGTGGACTCGTACTCGTGTGTATATTTTACTTCTGCTGCGCTATGTGCGAATTTTATGGGCGATACACTTTGATCCCGCCAACAAATTTTTTTGATAATTTTATTATGCTTTTTTCTTGTTGTTTAATTGAGGTTTTCGCGTATTTTGCTGGCCGATGCAATAAGCGCTATAAATATAAAATAAATAAATGTGATGCTTGTGTAACTTTATATTATATGCCAGATTTCTTTCATCCTTATGGATCGCAATGAATGGCTATCATCAAATTAAATTTATGCGAAATAACACAATAAAAAGCAAAATAGCTGTATTTTATTCGATTCGGTGATAGAGAATAATCGCCAACGAACTGTAAAAATCACTAATAACCCCAGCCGAATAACCTCACCCACACCACGCCTGCACGGAGAATTCCGAGACGGAGATCTCCCGTAATCACTCCCGAACACCGAGCAGAACTATTCCATCTCCTCCCGACGGAATCGAGCAAAGTTCATATGGTCTAATTTTATAATACTTAATTTGTTTTGATTTTTGTTGGTGCATCGCTTCTTAATTTTTTGCCGTTAGTCATTGTAGCTATATAGCGACTATAAGTTTTGCCAGACGGCAGCAACAAAAAACAAAAGCGTTCCTCCGTCCCGGGCTCGAATAAGTGCGAAGTGCCGATCTGTCCAGATAAGCGATCCACTTTCGGTTCCACTGGCAGACGACCTCGCCTCGTCAGGTTTATTAATATGGTATTACCGTGCTTCTCGTATTCCCGTGTTCCGGTACTCGGGTTGTTCAGCCGGTAATCACGCGCCTCATCCGCACGGATACCTTTACGGCGGAACTAACAATTTTCGACAATTAATTCGCAATAAACAATCGCAATAATTCGCAAAGATAGCATATGCCGACATTCGGTTTAAAAATCACGTTTGGTTAAGTATTAAATAAAAAGTATTAAAATGTTTATACATAGTTACTCGTTTAATTATGTATATGAATTAAAAAATTATACACTTTTAAATGGTAAATGATAAAAGTTAAGATTTTTAATATCTATTTTTTTGTTGGAAATATTTTTTTAGGAGGAATACCACTGACTTAGGCATTTCTAAATATCTTTCAGTTGTGTCGTTTATTTACATTGGAATCTTTTCTCTATTTTGAGTTATTATGGATTTTTTTAGGTTAATATTAGGCTAATATTACTTATTAAAAATTAAATTGTAAATTAGTTAAAAAAGTTAATAATTTGATGAGTTCAAAATTCTCAGGGGGGTTTTTACTTTCAAAATAAAATAGAATCGAGGGGGTGTTCAAATCTTTAAAGAAAAGATAAAAAATCGTATAGGCGACTAAATTTTAGACTAAAGTTAGGATACAAAATCCACCAGCTATTTTTATGGAAGCTGACTATCAATGGTATGATTATTGGAATATAGAGATTATTATATTATTATTTAATGTTATACATATTGAATAATTCTTAAATCCAAGCATTAATTAGTCATTTCTAGCTTTGTCTATTTTGTTTAAAATTTAACACTAAATATTATATTTATAAGAGAGTTTTTTTGTTTGCTTTCTTATCTAATTATCTTTTTTTTTTGTACTAAACTAAACTTTGTAAAGAAACTTAAAAAAATACAATAAAATCCAATAAAAACCGATTTATTTCAATCAGCAAGATGGCTCAGGAGACAAAGACGGTGGCGGGCGCCAAAGATAAGCATCAGATGCAGCTCCAGCAGCAGCAGCAGCCGCCGCAGCCCCAGAGGCAGCAGCGCACCGACCACATCGACGAGGATGAAGTCAGCGAACTGCAGATGCCGCGCAATTTCTACGACCGAGTCCGGGAGCAGGCGGAGCGGTTCGCCAGCACGTGGATTGGTCAGTTCGTGATCGAGCGCACCGACCGCGCCCTGCGGATGATCGAGGACACGGCCAAGTGGAGTCTGCCGCAGGGTGAGCTTAAGCGCCTCCAGCCAAAAAACATATATCCTCTATATCTATATCCAGAGAAAACATCCGCTCCCCTGGAACGCCCCCTGCCCTGGGGTCCCTTCCTGATGCTCATCATCTTGCTGCGTCTCACCCGGGTGTGGTTGTCGGTGGGCGCCCTGATGATCGGCAACGGTCCCATTGCGCCCTCGGACATGGTCTACTTCATCCAGACCAGGCGGCGTAAGCTGCGGGCCATCCGGGTGCACGGGTTGAAGGTTATGCGACAGCGCCAACAGGAACTGGCCTACAGCAGTGGCAAAGGACTCACCCAGAAGCTTACCCAGTGGCTGTCGAAGGCCATGTGTCGCCCTGGGGTCCAGCGGGCCAATAGTGGACGTCTCTTCGCCGTGAGGAATATGGAGCAGGTAGGTCTAGGGTATCTGTACTTTATGAGAAGGATTATTAATTATTATCCTTCTTTTTTGATTACCCAGACTACCCAAACCAGTCCGGCTGTCATGAAGCGCCCACGGGAAGAGGATCCTTGTGCCGATCCAGACCACAACCTGACCATCGACCAAATGCTGGCCAAGTACGCCAACGAGAACTCCGACAACGACTCCGACTTTGTGCCCAATCTGGAGGAGGAGGACTCCAGCAGCAATACCAGCAGCGATGAGAGCAGCTCGGAGTCGCACTCCAGCGATGAGATCAGCAGCGGCGAGCGCGAGGAGATGGCCAATCAGGTAAGTGGACTATCAGCCAGACAAGTAACCAGAAAGTAACCTTTATCTCCCAGGTGAAGCCAGTAAAGCCCGGAGTGGTGATGGAGAACGGAGTTCACAACAAGGCCGAGGAGAAGGAGAACGATAAGGGAAAACTGAACACCATCCCAGCACCCAATACCAATGGCAGCAACGACAAGGAGCAGGCGGAAGTTGGTAATGGACATTGAACTTGAACATTATTAGACTCTCGTGCATAGCCCCCTAAGATTAGGTTAATCCCAAGTATCGATTACCGATTTAAGCGTAGATGAAACACTGAACTTGAAACCTTGTCATGAAATACAATACAATACACTATGGTTACCACAAAACTCGAATGTATGCTCAGTAGTAGGAATTCAGATACTCTCTTGTGCCTTTTGGCCCCTGACCTCGAATCTCTCTCTGTTTCCCCCCCAAAGCCCCGGATCAAGCCCTTTCCGAGAAAGCAAAGCTAAGCCAGTTCATTGTTTCCGATGGATTTTCATCTTGTGAGTTTCGAACCCTGATCTTGCATCTGAACCGCCTGTATTTGCCCCTCTGGTTTCTTTCAGTGCCCATTGCCAAGCCGGAGAGTCAGTGGAAGTCGTCGCCAGGACCTGTGTGTGCCGCCAAACCGAATCCTGGCCACCTCAACAGCACCGCGGCTGCAGGTAACTCGAGAGAGATCGCTCCGCTCGGTCCTAATTAATATTTTAACGTTAGTATTCTGTCTCTGTTTCTGTTACTCCGTGCATGTCTTCAAACACAACAGCCTCCACTGATCCCGACCCAGATCCTGAAACCGAATCTGACCCCGAAACCGAAACCAAACCCGAATCCAGCGTTACCCCGATCCCAGATCCCCAGGTTCAACAAATCCTCGAACTTGCTGCTACACTAACCGCCCAACAAATGTCCAACTATCCCACAGTGGATACCCTCACTCCTGCCACCTCCTCGGAGGATATATTCTATAGCCCAATCGGTGGGTGTTACTATCCATGAATTCTTAAAAATTTTACATCATAAGTACTAGATCTAACTATAATTTTAAGAAATGTTTCAAATTCCTTAAAAAACAGGCTCCCCAACTTACTTCAATAGCAACCTAGGAACACAGGCTCCTCCGAAGACCAGCCTTCCATCTGCTCTGGGCAAGTAAATGCTTTAATTGGAAACTTATCTTCCAGAAGTAATAACTATTAAGAGTTCTTTGTAATGTAGCTCATTCCACCCCCGATTCGAAGCCCAATGACGGAGCCGACATCGAGTCAAGTGAGAACCAAAAGCATACCCACCAGCAGAAACAGAATCACCAGAACCATCAGCGACAGAATCATTCCCACCAACGCCATCGTGGCGGACGCAATCGGCGCTAGGAAATCGATACTCCAACTGTTCGATTTTCCCTTCCAATAATCCCCTTTTTTTTACAAAACTCCTTTTTACGTAATCCCATATTGTTAGTGAATACTGCGAGTAAAGCTCTGAATTCAATCGGTTGTCTGTACTTGAGCGTAGGATAAGTGTATCACATTTAGGAAATATAATGTTTTGAAACTCTGTAGCTAAGAATCCTGCACAGGTTCCAGCTTGAAGCGAATGTCGCCGCACGGCGCCAGGATAATAGTGCTCTCGTATTGCATTGGACTTTCTGGCAGCCAGCTGATCTTGTAGCTCCTCAGTAGGCGAACCAGGAGGGTCTCGATTTCCAGCTCGGCGATCCGCTTACCGATGCAGGTTCTTGGTCCAAAGCCGAAGGGCAGGTACACGAACGGATTCCGGGATCGGGCCTCGGGACAGGCCTGGACTCCGGGCGCTGAATCCGCTTTTAGCCAGCGTTCCGGCAGAAAGTCAGCGCTCTTTGCGAAGTACTCATCGCTATTGGACAGCTCCAGGACACCCATTAGTACACCGGTTCCGCGAGGCACTTGGTAACCCGACAGCACCAGGTCTTTTGTGGTTATGCGGAAGTTTCCAGGCGTAATAGAGGTGATGCGCAGACCCTCCTTGATGCAGGCCCTTAAGTATGGCATGTTCTTGGTGCTATCTTCGGAGAGAGATCCTTGGGGATCGGGTAGAACCCTTCGCAGTTCCCGACGCAGTTGCTCTTGCTTTTCGGGATTCCGGGAGAGGTGGTAGAGGATGGTGAGCAAGGACGAAGAGGTCTGAAGAATGGATTCAAGAGGGTTAAGATTCATGGAATTATTAGGGTATATTCCTCACCGTATCAATTCCAGCCATCAGCATGTCCATGACCATCACCACAGCTACTTGCTTGTTAAGACCCAAGAGCTGTTGGAGGACGCAATTGGTTTGACCCTCTTCCTGGCTCTGAAATCGTTTGATGGCCTCCTCTATGTAGTTGGTGGTAATCTCTGTAATATCGTCGTAGGTTTTCAGGAACTTCTTAAAGCCCGGTGTCTTGTAGTAGGGCCAGATGGAGGGCTGAACATCGTACTTGAAGCTGTAGTTGAAAAATTCACCCATATGGTGGGCCAGTCGGGAGGCATTCGGATCAGGTTGATCGGTCAGTAGGCCCATTCGAGTGTTCAAGGCCACAAAACTAATGCTTTCGAAGGCCCACATTTTCAGCTGATCATGGAAGTTATTATCGAGGTGATGGGTCTCGGGATTTCTTTGGGCTTCCAATCTATTTCAAGAGAAGGTGTTTTTGAAATATTTATAATTTGTGGTTTTAAGACAACTTACTTATCCACAAATTCCTTGGCTATCAGATCAAGTTGTGGCAGATTCTGCCTTACATTTTGAACCTTCATCAAAACGGGATTCACCTTGTTTCGAATATCTGCCCAGGCTTGGCCTTGTCTGAAAATTTAATTAATTATTTCTGAAGACATTCTGAATAGAAACAAATATACTTACTCTGAGACCAAACCTCCTATGCCTCCGAAAACGTCTGGTCTTTGGACTTTTCGGTAATAGCTGAAACTCTCCAGGCCAATTCGAATAGGCCAAAGGCCCTCGTTGCGATAGGTCACCTCAAAGTCCTCTGGATTGTAGGTGAAGACCACATTGGGTCTACCCATCAAGCCCGGCATACTATATATATCTCCGTACATCTCCCGCATACGTCGGTTCATTTGAATCAGATTCGTATTGTAAAGAACACCTGTGGATTCAAGAAAAGGAAAAAGGATTTAAAGTAAAAAAAAATTTGTCTATGTAGGTGACGAACTATTCACAAAATTAAATATAAAGAGAAAAGTGTAACAAGCACAAAAAAAAAATTTATTTAAATTCCGTATTAAAGTTATATTAAGATTTCAACACCAAAAATTCAAGGCAATTAAGGCAATTAATAGGCAATTAGAAGGAAATTAAATACTGAAATTAAAATTGGATTTTTTCTGATTCTTTGTTTTAAAAATCACTGCTAAGGATTCTAAAAACTGAGACTAACCTCCCGGCATAAAATAGGAAATCATACGCAAGCTACTAGGTCCTGGAATATCCTTATAGAGCTTAGCTTGCTGCCATTTTTCATCAGCTCGTGGTGCACTGGCTTCTGCATAGTCCAAATGGGTCTGATCAAAAAGAAAACACAAAAAAAATTTAAAATGTTTTTTGTTTGTAAACAATCGACATATACAACCGCGAATTTTATTGAAAGCTTTTCTTTTCTTCTCTCTCACTCACACACTCACCTGCTGATTGAAAATCCCACCCACCGAAAAATCCCTAACAAAACACAGCTGATAAGCAAACTGCCCTGGACCTTTGATAGTTTTTCCAGTGTTTTTCCACATCATGACCCTTGATACACGTAGTATCGATTTAAGAAACCTGAAACTAGTATATATTATAAATTATACTATAAACACTATTATAATTAGAAAATAATGAAAACCCACTGAAGCTTGTCAACCGATTGCGCGAAACGACAAATTGCAACTGGAATAGTGTCGAGCTATAGCAATAGTGAGCTTTTTTGATTTGAAAGCTTTTAATAGCCGGTGGTTGTCTTAACAATAACTTGTTTGAATAAAAATAAATACATTTTTTCATTTACTTGTCGATTTATTTGATAAATTCAAAAAATCATTCCTCTTCTAAAATGATAATTTAAAAGACTATCTGAAAAATTAAAGACACCTTTTCAGAAATGGTTCGTGTCAAAGCTAGCAATGGACTGTTATACCTATTGACTGTTAAATGTATGTAACATAGTTTCTACATGTATGTTACATCCCAAAAAATGCCACCCAATAAAAACCTCGAATTATTTTCGTTTTTTAATTACATTTATTTATTGCATGCGTAAAATTTCCATAGCTTAAAATGTTGATTTAGTTTCTTTGGTTTTATTACAATTTGTTGAATTTCTATTCGAATTTTTTTTTCGCTTTTCTTGTCCTTTTTGGGGATTGTTTTTAAATACACTTTTGTTATGTACATTGAAAGTTTTGAGTAAGTTGCAAGATTTGAGTTATCCGTAGAGTTAGAGTTAAAGAAATAGAGAGTTGATTTAAGGTACATTATAGTTGTTGAGTTTTGCACGTTCAATTTAATAAGTAGACAATACATCAATAATATCAATATCTCAATATCAATGAAGGATCTAGAGTCGAGTTAAACTTTTGATATGTATTTTGTATGCAATTGGCGTAGTTCGAGTTTCGAGTTCGAGTTTGAGGACAAAATGCAACTACAAATTGCTCTTTTGGATATATATTCATAATAATTATATAATTTCGCGTTACTTTAGTGTAATCTTCTTACTTTTCCATTCTGGATATCGGCTAATATTTAATTTAGTTTTTGTATAAAAATATAAACAAATTAAAAATGTTCGTTGTCTTCTGCTACAATATTCTTGTGGTTTCTGTTCGGTTTTCTAAATTAGAGTCACTGTTAAAAAATTTTGGAATTAAGGAAAAACAATTTGCGGAGGACCTTCAGTCTTGCTTTGACTTTATATTGCTTGGTTAGTTTCAATTCTTATATGGTTCCATTGTCGTTGAGAGATCATCTTGGTGTTCTTGTATATGAGGAGATTCACTGTAAAAATTAGGTTTATACACATTCCATAGTCTATTTTCTGTTTCATAGTTTCTGCGCTGAAGATCCCTAACAAAGGGGGGGAGGTATATGTCATGTATTTATCGAGTGGTAAACCGAAATTGGATGGATCGTCTCGGGGAGCATTAGCCTAGATTAAGTCTGATATGCATACGAAATATTTAAACTTTAGCCAAACAGCTGATAAGTATATACGTGTATATTCAATATTTATCTATAGGTAGAGTTTCCGTAATTGATTAGGGCTTAAAAAACAATCTCGCTTAAAAATGCTTTAAAAAAGTATCTCTGATAAAATTATGATCTAGGGGGTGCAGTATAATTATCTAATAGATATCTCATCTTTGAGTTTAGTTTAGGCAGTGCAGGATTAACCTAGGATATGGCTATATATGTATATTCAACTATAAGTTTGTCTATGACGATTCAGTGACACATCGCGCCCTACAAACTAGGTCAAAATCAAAGTCATTTACAACAAGTTTGATGCTCGACTTAGGCTCTAACAATGGGGCTTAGGTTTTAGGTCCTTGTATATATAATATATAGATATGCTTGTGTATAATTATGAGTTTTTGCCGACATTGCAGCTGATATGTTTCGATTTCATGTTGGTTGGTTGGTTTAGCGCCACCGGATATGTAACGTAAGTTTGAAATATTCGATTCTCGATATTCGAGTTGTATAATTGTGTATATTCTGGAGTAGATATTTATCTGATATGTTTAGTTTCCATGCACACTTTTTATTCAGCCGACTGTTAGTCTAAATACATTTTTAATTGCCTCCAAGTTTAGTATACTTCCCCTCTCCTCTCGACTCTCTCTCTCTCTCTCTGTCGATGAGCATCGCAATCATTTTCAATTTCTCCTAAGCTTACATGCTATAAAATCACATTTAGTTGCTTAATTAATTTTTATGCTCACAGACACTCGAGTTCAACAACACTCACATACACACACACACACACCCACGCATGGAGAGAGAGGAAATAAACATATGTAGAAAAGGTGTAACCTTCGAACATCGTGTAGATATTGCTTTCATTTCGCCCTATATACATATGTCCTGTTCAAACGATATATATATATAAGCGATTTTTGTGTCGCACACACACACACTTTCATGGCCTGCTGCACAGCGAAATGCGTGCAGTTTATTTCACTATTTATTTGTTTGTTTTTTATGCTTTTGTATCCTGCTCCTTGTTCTTGCTTTCCAGCTTCGGCTCCTGCTGGTGTAAAGGCAAATTTACATGTGGCCAGGAGGGGGTAGGGCGGCAGGGCGGGGCGCGGGCAAATAGGAATGCAATTTTTCAATACGCGCGCATAATTGAACTGTCAGACCTGCTCGACTCCGGCCAGGCAGAAATATTGCGCGCCGCCCTGAAAAGTATGCAACGCAAAATGGCTGCCCAGGTCCTGCCCAGGAAAAACTTTCTCACTTTTCCATTTTGCTCTCCCGGTTTCGCCTTGTAATTAAATCGGCTAGCGATTGACCACCATCAGATTTATTGGCTGCCCGCCTGCAGAGGCGTTTCCATTTTTCCGCTTCCTCCGCTTGTAAAGGTCCTGCTTCTTACTCCTCCGGCCAGCCCAGATCCTCGCCCACCAGCTCGTAGAAGCGCTGGTTGTACTCGGCGAAGAACTTGCGCAGCCTGGACACCACCACGGGGTCCACGTGCGGGTGCTTCCGGCCCTTGGTCTCTCTCAGGCACCGATCGCCGTTGTCGTAGCGCAGACAGTAGAACCCCTTCGTCTCGTTAAAGTAAAAGTGCTCGCTCTTTACACGGTGTTCGATACCTGGAAAGGAGTCATTTAAAAATATTAAAATTTATTAATATAAGCTACATATATATACATTCTACATTCTACATCATTCTAGATAAAAGCTTATTCATGAGTCTTATTTATGTAAGACTTCCGTCCACACTGATTTAAAACGGATATTAAATATGTAAAGATATAAGATTTGTTCTATAAAAAGCCCTATCACTTTTCTACTTATATTTCATTATAGGAATTAAATGTAATGTCCCTTAATGGCTTGTAAGCTATTATACAACTAACGCACATACTTTAGCTGCCAAGAGTGTTTAAAACATAAACTACCTATTGTGAAATGAAAAAAATAATACTATAAATGAAAAAAATAATATTGAAATCAATAAATAAATGCATACCCAGAAAAGCCTCGATGCGTTTTAGTTGCGAGACCGGGTCTTCGATCAGGCGATCCCCGTTGACGACCAGGAGCTGCTCGCGCGGAAAGACCTCCAGCCAGCGATGGAGGTGGACGTGGTACATGGAGATGCTGAGCGGTCGATAAGCCTCGTTAACAGTGCCGTTGGGAAATATGGCCAGCTCCTCGAAGGACCTGCAAACGAGGGAGTGAGTGGGTGTGAGTAGAAACAAAGGGTAAGTCCCGTATCGTGAGGGATGGCAAATTGAATGGCCAACAGCTGCAAATGAGCAGCTCCTCCTGGCAGCCCTTCACGACCATGTCAAGCCTTCAGGTCCTTGGCTCCTTTTCGCTCCTTTTCGCTCTGTCAACAAGTGATGCTGCCCCATCGGAGAGAGAGCAGGGTTGACAGAGCGAGAAGGAGTCGCATTTTGGGCAACTTTCATTTGCAGTTTGCATTTCATTTGCATGTCAAGCACTAAAGGATGGTCATGGTGATGGTGGTGTCCTTAACTTACTTGGCTGCCATTTGGGCGGCGCTTGCCAAGGGCGACAGAGTCGTCGTGGTCATGGCAGCTGTCCCTCCTGCTCCTCCTGCTGGCCGCCTGGCCACTGGTCCTGTCTTGGCTTTTGTCTCCTTGGCTCCGGCTCCGCTGCCCCCCAGGAGGGCATTGTCGTACCCACGGGCCGACTGCAGTTTCCCATAAAGCAGCGATTGCGATTGCAATGGCGATGGCATCTTGGCAGCTGCCGCTCCACTGGCGCCAGTGGCTCCTCCTCCGGAGCTCTCCCTGGGACTGGGGTTGGGACTCGCATTCTGGGGCTCGGCCAGGGGCAGGATGGCGGTGGCGGCATGGCTACGCAGCTGCGTGTAGTCGGAAATGGCCCGGGTCACCGGCTCCCGGACAATCAGCAGCAGTTTGATGCTCGCGTTCATGGCCCGCACTCTTTCCGGCACCTGCGAAATGGTACAAGTGGTTGGGTAAAGACTCTCCGAAAGATTATGAAGTGACATTTATGGGCTGTCTTGAAGTAAAATTCTTCCAAGACCGCAAAAGTCTTGAAACTTTGATTGAAAAGATGGAAAGGATAAAGGAGTCTGATAAATAGGTATATATGTTAAAGGACTTTTTAATTAAAAAAGAGCGTTTACTTTAAATATCTTTTAAAAGTTCATTAAATTGTTAAATTTTAAACAGATTTTTAAAAATTTTTCAACTAGAACCTTTTTTAAAATATCCCCCAAATAAATATCGGAATCGGAATAAATCAATGGCCTTTGTTGTCAAATACATTATCGCACTTGCGGCTTCGGTAATAAATTTACCTTTCTATAGCCTTAATAATTTTTAAAGATTTAATCACCTTCATAAAAGAGAAAAAACCAGTAAATAATGAAATGTAAAAATAATAAAAACACAAACTGCAAAAAGGTTGCAACGACAGCTGCAATAACAAAGACGTGGCTTCCATCTAATACAATGCAAATAATAAAATAATAAAACCCGGAATTTTAATTAACTTTTTTAAAGTTTTCACAGATATTTAAATTTCTGATAAATAAAGGTAGTTTTTTTTAACAAAGGAGCGTAAAGTAATATTTTTGTGGTAAACAGAAGCCGAGGGCTCGCAGACTTGGCCATCCAATTAATGGATTTATGCTTCTGGCCGACAATCGATAATAATTGCAAACTCTTGCCACTGCCACATTTTGAGGCAGCTCGAGTCTCCCTTTGTTGGCTTTAATTTACCGTGCTCCGTGCCACGCCCCCTAGCCACCCCACCTCCTCTAGCCTATCCGCCTATCTGCCCCCTGCTGTTGCACTTCCGCAGCAAGTGTGCTGTGAACAATTTAATTAAGCCGGAAAATATTGCCATACAATGTTGGCTGACACCCCGTGACCCCCCTGCTGCCCCCTTGGTGGATGGTGGTGGTGGCGCCTCCGACGGGGTCCTTGAATTTGCCACGTTGTATAAATAGCCTCGCAAATGGGCGAAACGAGCCGAGTAAATAAACTTAATCAATTTCAATAAGAGCCACCAGGCCGTGCAACAAGTTTAAAAGTTTTTCATTCTTATCTTGCTTTTTTATGAATATTATATTATTGGTTTTTTTTTTTGGCTGGCTGGTTGTGCCACCGTGTACTCAACCGTTTCAGAATTATTCACGTTGATGAACCATTTTCAGTTGAAGCGTGCCCCGGGGAGTATGCATTCCGCTGCATATTTAATGCGGCCAAAATGCATTTGAAGCAAATGAAAAGGAGCCCGGAAAATGTCATATCAGAATCAGAATCAGCATCAGAATATATCACAGGCGGGCAGAGGTCCCCGGGGGGCGGAGGAAATTGGGGCTTTAGGTTGAGGCCAAAAGTACGCCGTGGGGAGCTGCATTATTTATGGCCAAAATGGCAGTGGCAGAGGCGAGCTGGCTAATTTGACATTTTGCCGGCGAGTGGGATCCGCCTGAACAGCATTAGTTGATGTTGCATCTGCCACTTGCCACTGCCACTCTGCCCCCCCTGTCACGTCAATAAATATTAATAACAACATTAATGAAGATTTATCTTTCTGGTGCCGGTTGCAGGCTAGACCCCTTTTTTGTGGCATCCTTTTCCATTTGCCGGCTGCGACTCCTCCAAGTGGCTGACAAATTGAAACGCTGCATCAACTGCAGGCAGTTAAAATTGAAATGAAACTGGATAAAATATGAGTCTGTCAGCCAGGAAGCTGCACTCGAAAAAGTTACCTGCAAAATTCTGGGAAAGGACGTTTACGTTTGGGGCTAAAAATGGGGGAAGAACACATTTTACAATATTATTTCTTACATTTTTATTTACATACATATGTAAGTAAAATGTATCGTATTTATACCCGGTACTTTTGTGATTGTCGTAACATCATTTTATAAATTATTCTTAAAGGACGTATCCGAGCTTTAGGTTAAAGGTTAAAATTTAAGAAAACCAACAAAGAAAATATTATTTTTCTTTAATTTGTATATTCATATGTATGTAATGTGTATCGTATTTATACCCAGTACTTGTCGAATTGTAAAAACTACGTAAAAGGAGTAACGGGTATCGTATATATTTTTTATTTCTTTCGTTAATATGATGTTTAAACGAAGCAACTATTTATTTAAACTAAGATTTAAGGCAAGTAAGGTATATTTCTTGTATATTTCAATGAAAAATGTCCATAAGAACTTCAACCATAACCGGAAAACAGCTGATTAATAATATTAGAAACCTATCCAATATATATATTTCTCTCAGAAACAAATCTATACTTAAGAACTCATTTCTCCAATTTCAAAACCATATTTCACAGGGAAAGCCCCAATAACCCCATTTCTCATTTGAATGTTTTTTCTTACATCATTCTTTTTTTGTAATGAAGGATGTCAGGACCAGCCCAACGAGATGCTACAAACTCCCACCTCCCCACCCACATCACTCTGCCGTGTGACACATGCAACTTCCGGCTCGCAGCGAAATTGCATCAGCCCGAAAACCCAATTTTGTGACACTCTGCGGGCAAAGGCAACAACATTCGGCCGGAATGTAGAAACAATAATAAAACCCGGACCCAGAAAGGCAATTCAGTTGGGTGTTAGACGTAGCCGTTTGGCAAATGAATTTGCAAACATTTCCGCTACGGTTCCGACATGGTTACGGAAATTGGCTAGGACATGCTGGCCGGGCTAACGTTTCACTTTAATTTGATAGACGACGGATGGGCATTCATTGGGGAGGGAGGATGAAGGATGGAGTATAGAGCTTGGTGGCTGGAGGATGGACAGTTAATTAATAATTACTATGCCCAAGCAGAATGTGTGTGGAAAAGGCGCAATCTTAATTGCCAATTAGTGATCAAAGGTGAAGTCGAACAGGATGGGAGACTCACCTCCGGGGACACAAAGTAGCTGGGACTCTTCTCGATGGTGATTTGGCCGCGGAAGGAGTGAGGCATCTTCTTGCGGTACCACTCCAGGCCCTTCAGATAGTTCTCGTCGCGATCGAAGAAGTGCACCTCGCCGCCTGCTTTCTGAATCCTGGGATGCAGGTAGAGCATCTCCAGGAGGGCGCGGGTTCCGCACTTTCGCACTCCGATGATGAGAGCCTGTGGTCGGACATAAAACCATTTTTAATCAAATAAATTAAATCCTATTATCTTAAGTGTATGATTTACTCAATAATCGATTGGGAAACCCACTCACCTGTGGCAGCCGACGACTGGTTTTCGGGAAATGCACTCGACTCGAGGGAAAGACCATGGGATGGCTGAGCTGATTCGAACTCTGGACTGGCTTTACGAAAACGGGCTGATGATTGGAAGAGGATGACAGGGGGGATGCGGCAGCTGAGCCGGAGGAGGTCATTATTCCGGCGGACTGCGAGGAGGAGGGAAGGGCCGATGAGGAGGCGGCCAGGGAGAGGCGGTGCCGTTCGTGAACCGCCTGGGCAGCCTGGATGTTGTACACGGCACTGTCGTAGAGGACGTGGAAGGTGAGGAACAGAGAGATCAGCATGACCGTGAGGAAGACAACGGCCAGCTTTGGACGGGACACGCCCACCACCAGGATGCAGTCGGTGGGCGAGGTATCTGGTCCAGCCGGTCGCATGGCCGATTTCGGCAACCATCTGTGAAGAAACGGAAAGAAGAGACAATGACATCGATTAGATTTAGTAGAGAGTGTCCTGTTCCTAAGCTACGGCTTCCGTTTCGGCTAATTAGATTGCCATTTCGACTGTGTCGAGTAATTAACGATATCCTGCTACTCCTGTTCGGCTCCCGCTCCTGCTTCTGCCTCTACTCCTGCGAAATTAGCCAGACGACATGCTCAGGTTCCAGGCCCGCTCAGCCAGCCCCTCGCTTAAGCGAATTCCATTATAAACGCTTCCGTTTAGAACCCAACAAACACGGCCCGAATGGCAGCAGAAGAGCGGCATTATTATGAGCCACCACATTGCAGTGCATGGGTGCCGGCCCCACTAGGCGTATACGTAATATGGCGTATACGTAACGCTGCCTAATGGATGACTTCATTTGCAGCATGCCACAACGGTAGGCGTGGCACAGGTGACAGAGAGAGGCACCTGCCTGCCTCCTGGCACTGGCTAAGTGCATTTTCATAGAGCAGGCAAGGGGTGGGGGCAGCATGGTACGTAGCACAAGATGACTAGGACAGCTGGCAGCAAAGTGTGGCAACTGGTGGCTTACCCTGTCCCTGTCCCAGGCCCCGCCCCTCCCGCCACTTGTGCGAGCTTCGCATGCGACACCTCGTTAAAAGTAACGACACACTGGGCCGCAGGCCCGCAAGGAGTCGAGCACTTCAGTCGACGGCGCCGTTTGTGGCGCACAGTGCAACCTCAAACCAGGACCAGCCGACCGACTTCCTGACATCCTTGCTAGGACCCCCGGCCCTACACCCCTTACCCCCTACCCACTCCTCTAAGTTCCGCATTCCACTTTCCGCCAGTTGTCGACACGCTTTAAGTTCTTTTTATATTCCCAGCTGTTGTTTTTTTCATCGAGTTCCCCCTTAACCTATCCTATGTAGTAAGTCCTACTATATAGGAGGCGGTAGCTGCAGTAAAGGCAGTTTGAAAAATAAAGTGACGAGGTTTTTTTAATATTTACATTTATAAACTATTCTTCAATTCTCAAAACTAGTTTATAAAGTTAAAATCAACAAGTTTACTAAGAACTACAAAGCTTGTTGAATCTTTTGTGAAAAATTGTTTTAAAAAAATCTATAATTAAAAAATAAGTATTTAAAAAACCCTCTTATGTATATAAACCAGATATCTGAAAACTTATATCAAGAGCTAGATTGAAAGTTAATTATAAACGTTAAAAAACAATAAATATTAACAATAAATATTACCAATAAATAACTCTAAAAGACCTATAAAACATGTAATACATAGGATTTGAAATAAATATCAATATCATTTAAATATTTTGTGATTTTACAAATGGGGTTTGAGCTTAAAAGTACAATCTGTACTAAATAAATAATCAAAGCAACTAAAATAAGAAAAAAGCAAACGATATAAATATAAAAATAAATATAATAAATATAAAATAATATAGGAATAAAAATATGGATATTTTCAGAGAAAACAAAAGATTCCTGAAATTAGCTTTAAGAATGGGCACATATCTCTTGGCTTAAAAGTAATTTTATATAAAAGTCTGAATAGAAGAGTTATAAAGCCGATGTATTGCTTATTTGTTAATATTTTCTTGCTCTTAATAACATCTTAAATGTCAAGAAAGAAACCCTATTTCTCAGTGTAAAAGCCGGGCTGCGACTGGCCTCGTTTCACGGCCCACAGGACGACGGGTTGCCACTTGACTGCGATCTGCATAAACGCAGTGCCTGCTCCCCCCTCTTGATTTCCTCAAAGCCCCATACCAACACTCCACTCCACTACACTCCTGTCTGAGACCCTCTCAATACCACCCCCCTCCCGGCTGATACTTTCTAGTCCTTCTGGCCCGACTTAAAGCCAAATCCCCGCCGAGCGCAAAGCTTTAAAGACAGGCTCAGGCTCGCTAATCCTGACAAAACTGGAATAAGTTTCTTTTCCCAGCGCTAAGCATTTGAAACGCTTCATTTGTCCCTGTCTGCGGATTCATTTTTCGCACTTTTCCCACAGATCCTTATCCTCTATACCTTATGCCCTTATCCCTGCCATCCCCAGGACTACGCCTGGGCAAATATTTATAATTTTCTGATTCATTTTCCCCCTGTGCTGCTCCGTTCGAGTATCGAATCGACGAAATGTTGTGTCGTTAAAGTTAATGCAATTTTCATTTGCGTTGTTAAAATGTAAATTTTATTAAACCAGCTAGACGTGCCGGCAATCTCCCAGTCCTGACAGAGTATGACTTGACCTTTTTGCCGGCTGCTGTGTGCTATTGGCCTTCTTATGGGCCACGTGTAGAAGCCATATTGAAGCCAGAGATGGCAAAATAATTTGAATCAACGGGGATGCCTTTTTTATTTAAATAGGATTTGTTTAAAGTAAACTAATCAAACAGTATGTACTAGAGCTGGAGAAGACATCGACGATGTATCGATACATCGATGTTTTCTGAAACTCGAGAAACATCGAAGTTTTAAAACATCGATGTTCGATGTTTCCTCTTTACTCATCACTTCTTGGCTGGTATTTGGTAAGTGCACGAAAAATTATTATCAATTAAATGAAACAAACTTAACAATAAAATTGTTAAGTAATAAACAATAAAAGACTAATCTATAATTAGTCATAAAAAATGACTGGATTTAAATTAATTTTAATTTACTTTTTTATCTTTTTTTTTGTTGAGTAGAACCACTAACCATACAGTTATGGTTAGTGGTAGAACTCGTAGCTGCTTATTATTTTCGTTTCAATTGTTTTTTCATTTTAAGTTTTGCTTTCTATGAAAGACTAGCTTTAAGTTTCATTTTTAATATAAGAGTAGTATTTAAGAGTCATTTTGAATTTTGAAATATTATTAAAGAAAACTATGGATCTCACACAAAGCGTAATTTTTTATAAATAATTTACACTTTCTATTTATTTATTTTTAATAAATAAAAATATTTTAATATGATATGGTGTGAGAACAATTTTTTTAAGTGCACTCTAAGAAAGTTCGATGTATCGCGATACATCGATGTTTTTTTCTGAAAAACATCGAAACATCGATGTAGGTGAACATCGATGATTTTCCAGCTCTAGTATGTACACCTAAGACATGGATATTATTTACATTTTAAATACTTTTAGAGATGAGCAACGCTGTCTAATTAGCTTCAGTACGATCTATCGATAAAAGCTTTAAAGCGATAACAGCTAGATCTGCCTATCGCCATTATTAGAAATAAAGAACTGTTGTGGTAAGACAGTGCAAGATCGTATACTAAAGTTGTATTGTTTTATTCTGAGCTATAAACATCCCCATAGCCCAGGTCCTGGCCGACCTGTTTGCCATACTCACAGGATATCCAGTGGCAATTTGACAGAGCAATCGCGCAATGTCGCCTGATGCTGCTGGTGGTGGTGGTGCTGCTGCTGATGTTGCTGCTGTCTCTGGTGGTATTGCTGTGGGTGGCTGTTGGCCGAGTGGTTGTGCTGACCGTTGCTGCTGTAGTGCTGGTGGTAGTGGTGGTGCGGATGCTGCAGCAACTGCTGGTACTCCGGGTGGTGTTGGTGGGCCTGGTGTTGATGCTGCAGCTGGTGATGTTGCTGCTGGGACTGCTGGTCGTTGCTGCCATTGCTTCCACTGTTGCTGCCGCTGCTGCTTCCACTGCTGCTGCCACTGCTCCCCGCTCTTCTTTTGGCGGCAGTCATCAGTGTGGAGGCGGCTGTACGTTCAATGGGGCCCAAACGATTGCCGCTCTTGGCTGTTGCAGCAACTAATTGGCCAGTGGACGTGGGCCAGCTCGTTGGCAACGCGCAACGTGCAACTGCTGCCGCATGGGGGAGTGGATTTATGGTCCACCCGCCACCCCCGCCGCTGGGACTGGCACTCTTTTGTGCTTTAACCCTTCCCTGGCAACTCTTGAATTTTTGGTCTTTCTGGCTTTAATTAAATTCCAGGCAATACCTTTTGGGGCAATACCTATTCACGTGCTGCCGTCCAGCGGCTGGGTGAGTTATTAAGCCAAACAAAAAGCTGGTTTACCAGCAACAGCTCGGCCTTATTGTAGCTCTTTAATTGGATTTTTGGATCGGGTGGCTCCTGATCTGCCACAGCAACCTATGTTGTTGCCACAAGTTTCGTTAGCCAGCTCCATTCCGACGTGTTTGTAAAAAGTCCGCATCAGACACCTGTAATTGAAAAAGAACACAATTCGTGGTCAAGTTAGTCAAGACTGAGCAGTCGACGGCAATGATTAATTCAAAAAAATTACATCTAATTTGCCTAATGGTTGGCGAAACTTGAATTAAATACAAAACAATTAGTTGGTCTTTAGTTGGCGATAAAAAGAAACAGCAACCACGCGCTAGAATAGTTCATAAGTCAATGGATTGTAATAGAATGTACAACTAAACAAGTGTTCACACTTTGAGCGTTATGGTACTTTTTAAAGAACGGAAACCCAACGTGAAACACTCTTAAACATTGCAGTGCACATTCATTGTATCCCCGAAGTGACCCCTGATCATTCCGAATTTGAATTTCAAACCTACGCACCTCTCTGCCGGAAAAGCTATAACAACAGCATAGCTAATCAGGTGTCCGACGCAAATGGAATACTCGGCAAACGAATTCGAAAATAAAAAGCCGGCCACCAGCCCTGTGAGCAGTAGTAGCATATGGTCTCCGGAATAGCCACCATGAACTCGACAATATTGGATGTGTTTCAACGACAGCCAGCAGGTGGAATCTACATATCGACTTTAATACCCGAAATCTATAGTTTTTTGTTGCTCTCCCTGTAAAGATCCTGTACGACTGCCACTGTTGAGACCTTTGCCGGCCACTCTGATTGTTGCGGTCTATCTGCTGGTGGTGCTGAAGTGGGGCCCCCAATTTATGGCCAGCCGGAAGCCCTACAACGTGAGGAAGGCCATGCTGGTCTACAACTTATTCCAGGTTCTGATGAACCTAACTTTGTTTGTACTGGTAAGTTGGCGCACTCTCTCTTAAGTCATCTTTTGAAACCATACATCTTTAAGGCCTTCTACTACATGTTTGTGAAACAATCGTACGACCTTCGGTGTATGATCCTACCATCGGATCATCCGGACAAGGGAGTCGAACGATTGCTGTCCTACTCCTATTTCATCAATAAGATCCTGGACCTGATGGACACACTGTTCTTCGTGCTGAGAAAGAGCTACAAGCAGATCACCGTGCTCCACGTGTACCACCACGCCCTGATGGTTATGGCCACACCGATCGTGGTTCACTTCTACGGTCCCGGTGGGCAGTACAGCACGATGGGCATCCTCAATGTGTTTGTGCACGCGGTCATGTACGCTTACTACTTCGTGGCCGCCCTCCACCCCCAGATGAAGAACAAGCTGTGGTGGAAGAAGTACATCACCAAGCTGCAGATCGTCCAGTTCGTGATACTCTTCTGTCAGGCCATCCTGACCGTGTGGCTGAATCCCACTTGCAACGTGCCCATGCCCCTGCAGTATCTCCAGGTGGCGGTGTCGTCCTCTATGATGGCCATGTTTGGCAACTTCTACTACCAGACCTATGTGAAAGTCAAGAGCAAGCCGGAATGAGCAATAAACTGTAGACGATTCTCTTAATTTCGTTTAGAATTTAGAACGCGATCGCGGTTTCTCTTTGGGCGATCGCTAAAAAACTGGGTCAGACACTGCGGTTCAAAAAACTGAATAATACATTACTCGGATCGGACTTTTTAATTGCAGTGCCGTGGGCTACTTTCCCAAAAACAGTCGTAACGGATCCCTTGGACGACACACACCCCGACGCCAGCAGACATGCTCAACTTTTTACATATTCCCCAGGCCGATCCCGACCCGATACCCCTGGCGGGCTCACCCTGGCCCATCGTGACCATCGTCGTGGGGTACCTGCTGTTCGTCTTCAAGCTGGGGAGGGTGTTCATGAAGAACCGCCAGCCCTACGACTTGAGAAAGGTCCTGCTGGTCTACAACCTCTTTCAGGTGGCCTACAACGCGATATACTTCATTGTGGTAAGTAGGACAACCTCATTGGAGCTGACCGAGTGGAGTTATTTGTATTTTTTGTGTCAAACCAGATAGCCTACTACCTGGGCTACCGGGGCATCTGCAACCTGAAGTGCATCGAGAGCTTCCCCCAAGGCCACGAACACAAGACCCTGGAGCGGACCATGCACTTTGCCTACATCTTCAACAAGGTCATCGATCTGATGGACACCGTGTTCTTCGTCCTGCGGAAGAGCTACAAGCAGATCACCTTCCTGCACGTCTACCACCACGTCTTCATGGTCATGGGCGGCTATGTCCTGAGCAGGCTCTACGGCACCGGGGGCCACTTCAACGCCCTGGCGTTCCTCAACACCTTCGTCCACGTGGTTATGTACTTCTACTACTTCCTGTCCTCGCAGTACCCCGGCGTGAAGGCGAGCATCTGGTGGAAGAAGTACATAACCCTGGTCCAGCTGGCCCAGTTCGTGATCCTGCTGACCTACACAGCCTACGTGCGGTTCTTCTCACCGAACTGCGGTGTCCCGCGCCCCATTCTCTACATAAACATGCTCCAAGGACTCGTCTTCATCTACCTGTTCGGAAAGTTTTATGTTCGGGCGTACATGCGGCCAGCAAAGCCCCAATCCAAGGCCCAGTAATTGCCTATTTTTCTCTATTTTAAATTGAAATTGTTCGTTTTTCTAGCCAAATTAAAATGCGCATTCGTAATCACCCGGTCTGCGCATGCAACTCGGGTGTCGAGTGGAAAAAAGTGAAATAGTTGGACCTTGTACTCTAATACTCGTTAAATAAACCGAATAAGTAAAAGCTAAAAGCTCGTAGTATTATTTCCCATTTCAGACATAAATTTATTCCCAAGCATAGTAATCATATTCTCGATTCAAAGTCAAGGCCTTTGCGGACTGACCCTCCGAAAAATTCCACCCTGCGGAGAATAAAAGCAGCTCCAACAAAGCAAATCAATAGAATAGAATAAAATTATAGTATGTATCGCAAAGAAAGACGGGTAAGTAGACACCCTAATTTGTGTGAGTTTTTCAAAAAGTGTCATTAGGTAGATAGCACCAGTCTTGCCCAGAACTCGGGTGTATCGGATCGAGTACAAAAATTCAATTAGTATAATTAGACATCCTGCGACCGATATCTATATTCTCCTCACATCCATTTAGTGACTTTGTACAAAAACTGCTAATCAACTCCGAAGGACGCAGAACCTGTGACTATACCTCCAAAAAAAACACAGCTTAAAGAGTGTGGAAACTGCACGCCGGAAAAACATCTCCGAGCAATCAAGTGCACTCTCCGCTTTTATCCTTTTGGTTTTGCAACCGTTTTTGCTCGTTTGTCCTGGAAAGGCTCAGCTTTGCTTTGATAAGCATAAGAAATCGAGGCAGGCGGAGGAAACTAACCATGTGAGTATGTTTTTCTTCCTCCCGCCACGAAAGACTGCACATAACAAGCTTCTATCCTATCCCGTTTATGCTATTCCTTGCCAACTGATAGGAAAACCGGAGGCACTGCAGCCGTGGCCAAAGTCTGTTGCTCGAGTCAACCCGAAGACGTTTACGTGCAACAAGACTACACAGAGACCAAACTATTTCACAGAACGAGGTAAAAGGAACACTTTGCAAGTGGATAGAGTAAATTGTAGCCATTTAAAATTTGTATAAAGTCTTTCATAGGTTGTTTCTGGTAGGTGAAGCATACGTAGCCTTTCTCAAAGTGATTTGATTGCTTTGGCTCTCTCTGGGGTAATTAAATGTTTTCCTATAATGGGTTAAAAATGTTTTGAGAAACGCCTCTAGTTGTTAAAGACTCTTAGATCGATATGTTGTTAAATACTGATGAAATACTAAGGACATACTGGGAACCAACGGACGGACAACCGGACAAGAAGACCTACAGACACACAAGCGGACAGTCATACAACGAAAAGGACACCATTTTCTTTTAAATAAAAATTAAAAACAATATTATTCGTTTCAAACTTAGCCCCAATTTTTTGCAGTTCTTTCTGTATCCTGGTATACTGCATATAATACCTTCAAGATTCAGTTGCTGCAATTGTATTTACTGGCATGGAGGGATATAACGAAAACGAAAAACAATTGCCGCAAATATGGCAAATGGCAATTGAAAAACAAAAGTCCCTGGTGATACATACGAGACCAGAAATCCGGTCTCTCCAGCTACTTTCACACTTTCTTTTCACGCAGCCAAACACAAAAGGCTAAAATGGCAACAAGGACGTGGCAAAATGAAAGAAGTGGCAGGACGCAGGATGCAGGACGAAAAAATGCACTAAATTGGCTGTGAAATGAACGAGGCACAAGGAAAGCAAAGGCAAGACAAGGCGATGTCCTTTAGCGCCATTGAAAGGATAAACTCACACACAGGCCAATCTGAGGTCAACACTTTGCTTTGTGTGTGCGACAAAGTCAAATGGAAATCTGCATAAGACCCTCCAGTTGCAATGGCACACAAAGCCAAAGGATTGACAGGGTCCTTGAGATGTTTCCAGTCAAATTCACAGGGACACGCGATTAAAAAGATACTCAATACCGGATTCAATAGCATAAATTAAAGGCACTGGAAATAATGCCATACATTGTAAGTTTAAATTTCAATCATATTTAATTTTTTAGATTTTGTTTAATAAAAATATGAGTTTGAAGGACTTCATAAATTTTATAAGTAATGATTTTCTTTTTTAGTTTTAAATCTTACATTTTCTTCTGTTTTATATTTAGATGAATATTCTTCAGATTAATAATCTTATGTGGTAAAGTCTTAGAATGCGTTAAAAAAAAACAACTGATAATAATCATTTCAATGTTACAAATATTTCTTTTGTTACATGAAATAAAAAGGGAGAAGTATCTGTGTATTGAGTAAACGAGAAGTCAACAAAGGCCTATCCAAAATCAAGTGACTAGACTCTAATCACTGGAGTAACCATCCTTAGACTAAAAATACTTTTTAAAAATAATTTGTATCCTCCAATAGTTTTTTAGTCTTTGTTTTATTAAATTTTTTCCTCCCCGCGCATTCATTTTGTTGCCAATGTAGGTGGACTAAACTGAAACAAAAGAAGTACCTAAAATTTCCATATGTATAAATTATCATTTATTTTATGGTATGTTTCCTGAAACATAAGTTTGGGTTTGTTCTATTCTTAACTTAGTAATCTTTGAGTCTTTTTTAAGTCTTAGTGTTCCTGTGCAAACCAACAGAGAATCAAACCACTAACATTTTTTACGTTACCAAAATAAAAGTATCGGCAGAGGTATCGGGTATCTTATATTATCCGGAAGCACAATATTAACCTTTTCTGACCAAGAGCCTACACCGCCCTTAGATCAAAAATATGTAATTGTATATAGATAAGAAATATATGTCCTTTTAGACGTTTTAGTTTTCCTTTTACCCCTTTATATTTCTGCTTTGCCGTGCATATTACGAATGTCAGTATGCAAATGCAATTTGTTCAATTAACAATGCAAACTTCAAGCCCAGTGAGCACACAACGCACAAAAGACACATATTAAAGATATCAGAAATTATATGGCAAAAAGTAATTGGGTTAGGGATAGGTCGAGGGCGAGGGCTAGGGGGAGAGAGAAGGGACAGTGAAATTCCACAGGGAGCTGACCTGACCGGCCCGGCCCGGCCCGGCTTGCCAGTCTAGCTGTGTAGCCTGGCAACTTTCCCATAATTTACACTTTATCGAACGATAACAAACAACCTGCATAATGTATGGCTCGCTCGGTTGGCCCAACCCCACCCGGACTACCCGGCACACCTGGTGGGAGGGTGGAGATCCTGGGATGCAAAGCTTTGGCATTGACTGGCGTTTGAGGTCACAGGAGGGCCCTGCGTACAGAGCTACCATCCCCGACCCTCTCTTCAGTTTCAAACGCTTCTGGTATGCAAAATGCCCGTCAATCAGAAATGCCACAACTGCAACTCGTCGGTGCACACCTTTTGGCCAAAAGCAAAATCAGCAGTGTATGTGGTAGTGTGTGTGTTAACCCACATTTGGCCAGGTTACTTGGAAGTAAGAGCCACGACGATGACTCCGAGGATGAGGACGAAGATGACGACAAACCATTTGCATTCGAAACCCATAAAGGATACGACCCGTTCAAGATCGTTTGGGGAATATGGTATAATAAAATTTTAATTCGTTGCGATTGATGAAGATGGAGAAAGACTTTCACCCTCGCCGGCTGATATTCCAATACATTACATTTTACAAGCCCCCAACCGACCCGGCTAATTTACATAAACCATATCCTATGTAGAATGTGTGTTTGAATATGCCATTGATTGGATTTGTTTGACTTTTGCACTGGCTGATGGCATCAAGGATGGGCGGCAGGATGGGATTTTTTTGGAGTGGGAGCCAGAAGGGGGCTGTGGCCTAAGTGCCCGACATTTGCTAAATGGCAAAGGGCTACGTTTCACAGGCTTGTGCCGGGCTATATTCTCCCCATTTGCCCGACCGAAAATTGCACTTGGCTCGTTAGTCTGAATGGTCGGGTAATTACGAGCCATGGCCCCCCCACAACTCATCATCATCGGGCCTTTATAACCTTCAAAGTTCGGCCAACAAAAAATAAGGCAGCGAACTGTTGCCGCTTTAATGCCCATGATTTTGAACCAAAAACACCACTCCAAACGGGCGGCTTTAAATCCTCAATTAAATTATATGGCCAGCCCCAGATCAATCAGCAAACTGCAAATTAGTTTCAGTTCATTTGGTCTGTGTCAATTGTAAACCCACTACCCACTGTCCACTCTCCACATAAATACACAAATATCAGTGTGTGGCCAGTACAAATATGTACTGGGACATAAATAAATTAGCAATCAGAGTGTGCGGATAAATACACGGAAAAGTATAATTAATATGCCAGGATTAAATGGCGTAAACATCCACAATGAAGCTAAATCCTTTGTTTCGTTGACTCTTGAAATGGATCTTGACGAAGTCGCTCTGGGGCCCACCTGCCGTCAAATAGGCATAGCCACCTAGGCCTTCCCTCACCTGATCAGTAATCACAATTTGTGTGATGGTTCTGGCCAGCTTTGGCTTTAAAATAAATTTTAAAATTATTATTAAATATGACTTTTAAAAGAGTCAACCTACGTTTTGGGAAAACACAAAGTCCCTGGTAACCACTCGCAAGAACTTTGACTTCTCCGTGATAATCTCGCGTCGCACGTGCATGTCCCGGAAGGCTCGGGCTCCCCAAGTAACACTGTGGCTGGGACCTCGCCCATCTGCCTTCACGTAGGCGGCTAGTGATACCACTGCCAATACTATCCACAATTTCATTTTGGAAAATAGGTCCGTAAACGAAAAAATAAAGCTTTTATACCTAGAACCCCAGAAACATGTCTTTTGTTCAGAGACAGCTGCAAACTCAATAGTGAGTGAATCACTGCGGCTTTCAATATTTAATAATAGGATTTAGTAAAAAGAATAAATGTGATTTTTTAGCGATTTTAAAGGGGGTTTTATTTCAGTTAAATATGCTAGTTTCCCGTTGAAGACCAACATTAACAAAGTGTCTTCAAAGGGTAACTACTCTTGAACATAAAATGAGATTTCCGATACTTTTTAAAGTATCTTTTTCTTTAAAATATATTGAAGCTTAAGCCAGGATGGCTATAAAATATCCATACACATAGTTAATGCATAGTTAATATCCAAGCTGTTAAGTTAGTGTAATGCTTATATAATCCACTGAACACTAATTCCGTTTAATAAAATATTGTTTGATTGTCACACAAACCATTTAGAGAAACAAAAAAAATATAAATAAAAAAGTCATAATTAAGTGAATAATTGACTTCCTAACGACCAATACTAATTAAATTAAATATTCAGCGCTCTCATAAAAAACGATTGTGGGTAGTCATTAACCTAGAAGTCTCTATTATTCCCATTCCAATTGTAGTTTTGTGTTTATCTGCTTTAATTATTACCACAACTATTTATAATTAAAAAATAAATTATACAGGATTAGAGGTTTGCCGGATGGTTGCAAAAAATTAACTAAAATAAAGTGTTTTAATTGTCAATTTTAATTACAAGGACAACCAACTATTTCTATATTTTTTTATGGAAATAGAAAGCCATAAAGAATTCTCTACTCTTTATTTATAATGAAGGAGCTTTGAAAAAATGGCCAAACATAAATTCAGAATTTTATGGCCTGACAATAAAGCAAAGAAGAACCCTTTTTGGGGAAAGGCACCCCACCTTTCAACGCCCCCCGAAAAGCATCTGAGAGAGCTCCCCGAGCGGAAATACTTTTGCAAAGATTTCTGAGGGCCCCGTGGATACCAGAGACTTGAGACTCGAAGACTCGAGACTTTTGTTTCTGGCCCGGTTTCTGTTTCTGTTGTTGTGGTTGGCTGCTTTAAATACCGCTGTGTGGGTGTCTGGTTTCGCTTTTTTTGTAAGCCGCACCAGCAGCAGCGGCGGAGCTTTAAGGCAAATATTTATTTAATTTTAACATCAGCACCCCCTCATCCCATCCGCCGTGCCTTGTGGTCCGCTGCACAGATCCAATTTACTCAAGTACAAAGACCCTGTCGCGTATATTGTTGAAATTTTATTGTGCAAACATGAGAATGTCTCTATGCCGGGCCGGTTGTGGGCTGTGGGTTGCTGGGTGGGTGGGCGAGTGTGTTTTATGGTTGCCACGTTGGTTTTTCTCATTTATGCGAACAAACAAACAAACGCATAACGGCACACCACACCACACCAACACCAACAACAAAAACAAACGGCAAATGGCAGTAACACAAACAAAATGGCCGAGGAAACCGTTGTTAAGTGTCTCTTATAGCTGCGTTTGATATTGCCTTTATATCTATGTATTGGTAAGTGTGAGTCGGTGTGTGCTAGGTGGCTCTGCATTAGTGTGTGTGCTAGGGGTCCATGTGCTTACCGCAAAAAATGCAAATAAAAACCGATTCGTTGGCAAACAAATCAGCAAAACGAAATTTAGGTGGACAATAAAGTTCAGCAGCTGCGGGGCTCCATGCGGTGTGATGTGGTATGTTGTGGTACGGTGTGGCATGGTGCGGCACAAAAAAGAGGATCACAAATAGGCAAAAACCATAAGTATTTCTAACATTTCTAACGAAATGAAGTTGAAATACAAGTTGAAATGAAAATACAGTTGCTACCAAAATATAAAATATTATACGAATTTGTCTTTAAAAACTAGACATACGGCGCTAGAATAAGTCTAGATTATTTCCTAGATTTCCTAGAACGAGCTCTACTTTATCAATTTAATAATAGTTTCCATTAAGCTCTTTTATGATAAAAGTTTTATCACATGAAAATTTTTTTGGTAACAAACCTATTTTTAATCATTTTCTGTCGATTGCTAGATATGAACAATCGATAATATCGATGGATGCTGCACCATAAACTTTATAACTAAGATTTCAGGCGGTAACTAGTATATAAAAAAATAAACAAGTAGTTAAAGATATATTTAGATGTCAATGTTTAGCGACTTGATATTTTTTTTTGATCTTAAATATATAATGTTTTGATATGTTTCCTAAATGTTTAAGACCGAAATGTTAAAGGACTTTTTAACATTAGTAAAAATTTTCGTCACAATTTGTTTGTCACAAAAGACTACAATCTTCATAAGAATCATTCAAAGACTTAACTATTTGAAAGAGTTTTTTAGGATGGGATCCTTAAATAGAATTAAGTCTAAAAGCCTAAAAGCCTTTTCTGCTCATATCCCTGGTAACAAGTAGGGATGCAAAAACATCGATGTCACTATCGATAGTATCGAGGTTTTTTAAAAAGTCGATATATCGATGTATTTTTCAGAACATCGATGTTTTAGCATCTCTAACTTCACTAAGAAAAAAGACACCGAAAGTTAGAGAGGTAAGTAACTAAATGTTACAATTTTACAATTAAATTAATTAATTGAATTAATAATATGCATTGCCTTCATCATATTTACAGGTAATTTAAGATTTAACATAGTTGGGCGGTTCCTCTGCGAGGAAATTCTTAGTAAATATGGAAAGGTTCTTGCAAAAAACAAGTAAGTACACCGCACCGCAGTTGTTACTTTAGGCTTTGACTACGATTTTACTTTGCAGAATATGATCCTTCGTCTGCTCCCTCGTCTGCTGCTCCTGCGTCTGCTGCTACTGCGTCTGCTGCTCCTGCGTCTGCTGCTCCTGCGTCTGCTGCTCCAGCATCTGCTGCTCCTGCCTCTGCTGCTCCTGCGTCTGCTGCTTCGATCGCTGACCCTTTTGAATGTGAAATAGACTGTGAACCTCCAGGTAACAAAAAACCCAAAAAAAACGGATCAGACGTCTGGAAACATTTTGATAGATGCAAGAACAAATTGTTTGCGAAATGCCGTTTGTGTGGAAAGGAATACAAAACTTCCGGAAACACAACAAATTTGTATGATCATCTGAGGCGCCTTCACCCAATTAAAATAGATGAAAAAATAGCTAAAGTAGCGCCAATGGATGCATTTATACTCCGATCTCAATTGTACGATACCGCTTCAGCAAAAAAGATCCAATTGGATAGGGCCCTTACAAAAATGGTTTCATCTGATATACAACCTTTCAGTATTGTTGAAGATGAAGGTTTCAGAAATTTTGTAAAGTTACTTGACCCCAAATATGCTTTGCCCAGCCGCACTACTTTACAAAATGTACATGCAACAAAAATGTATGAAGAAACTATGGCAAAGTTAAAAAATAAGCTTCTCACGATTCCGTTTTGCTCTTTAACTACTGACTGTTGGACATCTAAGGCAAATGCCTGTTATCTTACATTGACATGTCACTTTATAGAAAATTTTGAGCTGAAAACAGTAGTACTGGCAACTCAGCCTCTCTTAGATGAGACAAATCATTGTAGCAACAATATTGCAGAAACCATCAAAGCAATATGTATTGATTTTGATATATTTAACAAAGTAAGCACTATTGTAACTGACAATGCAGCAGCCATGATAAAGGCTTGCGAAATTTTGAAAAAAAAACACCTTGGTTGTTTTGCCCATTCCATAAATTTAATTGTTCAGAGCTGTTTGGCTTTGAAAGATGTTCAAAGCGTTCTAAAGTCAGTAAAAATATTGTTACCTTCTTTAAAAGCAGCGCAATTGCCTATGCAAAACTACGTTCCGCGCAAGGCGTTGAAAAGCCTTTAAATCTTGTACAAGAGGTTCCAACGCGTTGGAACAGCGCATTCTATATGCTGAAGCGGATTTTGGTCGTTCGAGAAGCAGTTTGCGGAGTTTTGCTGAAAACCTTAAAGGCTCCAACTCCTTTAACGGAGGAACAATTTTCTGTTATTGAAGATTTGTGTTGTCTCTTAGAGCCATTTGAAACGGCGACAGTTAATACATCAGCAGCAAAAAATGTGACAGTATCGTTGATAATTCCGACTGTTCTCGGCCTTATACTTAAAATGGACCAGTTTAAGTATCAAATGAAAACTGAAGTAGGCGTTGATACGTGCCTTTTTTTACAAACCCAACTACAGAGCAGATTACAAACCTATGAAACAAGAACTGTTCCTAGAATAACAACAATCCTTGATCCAAGGTTCAAGCGAGAAGGATTCCACAACCAAAAAAATGCAGAGCAAGCAGTCGCAGCTGTGGAAAACGAATTGAGCTTAGTTAAAGATTTGCAGAACATTTGTCCCAACGAGGAACCGCCCCTAGAAGTAGACAACCCGTCCGACTTATATGGATTTGTAGCAGAAAAAATAAAGAACAAACCCAGAACAAATAGATCAGATTCTATTGTAGAAATTAGGCAGTACTTAACCTACCAAAATGCCCCACAAAAAATGGACCCTCTGGAATATTGGAAGGTAAGATTGATGTATTTTTAATATTTTTTGATTAATAACTTTATATTGCTATAGATTAATTATCTCCAATGCGGTTCCCTTGCGCAATGCGCATTAAAGTACCTCTGTGTGCCGGCCACCTCAACCGAATCAGAGAGAACGTTTAGCAAAGCGGGCCAAATCGCAAATGAACGAAGATCTCGCCTTCAACCAAAGGCCATTAACAAATTACTATTTCTAAAACAAAATCAATGGCTTATTGATTAAGTCATAATTGTTACTATTTTTTAAGCAAAATGTTCCTTATAAATATTCTTTAAGCAAAAATTCCTTAATAAATATAAAAAAATTAAAATATAGATGTTATTCCTTTTTATTCAACTATGAAATAACTATTTTGCGCAAAAAATAGAAAAAACTAAAAAAAAATTTTAAAAATTTAAAAATTGTTCGATGTTTTC